GCCTCCTTGCCTTTATCCGACCTCTTGTTTCTTCATCGCGGAGCGAGCGTCTCGTCGCGCGGCGAGACTCGCTCGCGAACGATAGCGTTGCGCGCTTGCTCCGAGCGATAACGATTTTCGAGATCAGACGATCGCTGGTTTCTCCGTCTTTTGTTTGTTCTTTTTCTCTCTCTCTCTTTCCATTTCTATAGTGCCGTTGCGACGGCACTACTTTGAAGCTTCCTTAACATTGTAAGCTCGATTAACAACAAAAAAGGAAAAAGATAATGCTTTACGACTGCGCTCTTGCAATATGTTAAATGGATTTCTCTCTCTCTCTCTCGTGCGCGCGCGGCCTAATGTGTTTCCTGCCCGCACGAAAGATCCTATCGTCCCAAATATTTGAGCAATTAGATGTTTGCCCCGTTCGTTAATGTGTGTTTGCGAGAGAATATTATACCTGCCCGCGCGCGTGCGCACCGTCTATCGCTTGGCGAGCGAACTCGGAAAGCGGAGGTCCATTTACTCCGTTCGCACCACAATTAGCCTAATTTTTCTTTTTCCTTTCACAAAAAAATCTTAATCTTGGTCGTTGAAAACGTTGCACTTTCTCGTAAAATAAAAAAAACAGATTTAAGAACACCAAACGAAAGACACAGAAGTATACTTACCGCTGAGTAATACGGTGGTTTGCCGTGCGAAGCCACGACAAAAAAGTAGAAGGAAATTTGTTTTATAAAATCATGTGCTCGAGAACAGTGCTACGAATGGAAAGTTAACAACTGCCGTTGCGGTCGTCGCTTTTTTTTCCCAAATCAGATTTGTAAGAAGGAGAGAAAAAAAGTAATTTTGAAGTTTGCTAGCCGACGGATGGTCGCGCTTCCCCCTCGAGAATAGCGAGCCACGAGAAAACTCGAACTTGCTCTTATGGCGCGAGGATTTAGTACGAGAAAAATAAAGCGAGCGGAGGAAAGTTTTTAACGCTGTCTTCTTCCCAGCTTTCGCGGTCGTCCGGATTACTTGGCTCGTTGTTCTCCGAGCCAAGGCGACACCGAGAGATCGCCCTCCACGGAGGCTGACGTGGTCGCGCGATGGCGATAGGATTGCAGCGGGAGGGCAGCGCATCGCGACGCCAATCGCGTCGGCGTGGCGCGCAATTAGTCGCGCGGGCGCCGATGGATATCGCGCACAGGGCGGCTGCGTGTATAAGAGCCACACGCGCAACGAGTCCCTGGAGTGCCGTCGGCTTTAACTGTTCGCAGATCGACGCGCCCTCGACGCATCCACCGCCGAGCATTCGTCTTCGCGCGATCGAAGCAAAAGTCCCCGCTCCCCTCCGCCCCGCGCGAGCGCGCGTATATACGCGGCATCGACGGCCATTCGTCATCCGCAATTCACAGTGATTGCCGTCAATTGACGCCCGTTTAGTCTGCGCTGCCCGACCGACGCGTTGCACCCGCAGCATTCGCGTTCGATTACCGAGACGCAATCGCTGCCTCGCGCCTGGACGCGTCGCCGCGTTGTCCCGGATAACTTTTATGTTGGTGCACCCGCTCGTTTTCGTAAATAATTTGCGAGGCACGCGTCCGCTACCGAGTTAGTCGGGTAAATAGGAGGCTCTTATACACTCGAAAATATGTAACACCTTCGGGAAAAGAGAAAACGCGTAAAAACCCTTTTACCTCCGGCAGCCGTGGTCTTTTACTTCTCTCTTAATACGATTTAACATGTTTCCAGCACGGACATAAGGAATTTCACAAAAGGTTAGACGAGGAATTCCCGAAGCAGCGCAAGGCTCAAGATGGTAGCGATCCTCCTGTTGGTTTTTCTTTTCTGTTTTGTCGGCATACGAGAGGAGCGAGCAAAGTGACTGACGCGCTCGTGTGTACCCCCATCGACCACGCAAAAGTTTCGGAAGGGAAGGTGAGCCGAAAAAAAAAGAAAATAAATAAAATCCGAAGCACGCGCTATGCACACGGACGTGTTTTCTGACTCATCGGGGACAGGTGAGTGCGCGCTCGTTTTTTTCCGACCTCGTGTCGTTTATGCGCAAATTAGGAAATGGACGACGACGACGACGACGACGACGCGCGCGCGCACCTGGCGAGTTTCACGGGCGCTCGCCGCTTATCGCGTGCGTTGGCGTCGAATCTCGGCAAAGCGAATAGCTTAATCGGGACTGCCACGGGGATCGTAAATCACGAGGGAAGCTGGAGGATCGTCGTGGAAAGCGTGATCCTAATATTGAGCTCTGCGCTCTTGCGACTGAGAAGAGCGAGCGGCATTAACGACGTACAATACAGGCTAATCCGGTCTTAACCCTTTCTCGTTTCGGCGTTCAATCGGATTTTCCCGGCGTCGGCTCAGAGAGAGCGTACGTACCAGGCGTGCTCGTGGCCCGCGTTATCGTTAGCCCCATTCTTCGTCGTATCGCGTTGTGGCGACTAACCCGTGAAACTCGGAAAATCGCACGTCGCATCGTGGCAAAGGTCGCGGGACGCTCACGGGAGTGCTCGAGAGCTTCGTCGCGTCGAGTCCAGCTAATGAAATTAAACGCTCGCATTTAGACCGCATTTGAGCGGAGTTTCGGCTCTTGGCGAGGAGCACAAAGTCGCGCGTATGTGGTCTGCTCGACTCCCCGAAAAAAGTCCAAATAGAATACTTTTATAGCGGGGTGGGCAATAAAATAAGCTCCGATCGCCCCGACTAATCTCTGCAGCACAATAAAGAAAAGGAAAAAAAGAGAGAGAGAAGCGACTCCTCTTCTTTTTATGCTCGCAGCGTCTTGCCCGAGGGCGCGTCGGACGGGCTGGCTTCCTTTTCGGTCCATCTGCAGAGCCGAAGGAACAAAAGGGGACCCCCGTACGAATGGCCGGTCTATATGTGCAAACACGCCGGCCGCGACGTGACCAATCGGTTTCCGTCGCCTCTTCGAATCGAACTCGAGCTCCGCGGTGAAAATATTTCCCAAATATTTTCAATATGGTTCCCGACGATTTTTTTCTTCTCCGGACAGTGGAAGCAAAAGCCACGCGCAAGAGCGAGCACATTATAGATATCCTCGCTCGCGGCGTAGAATGATTTTCGTCTTGCGCGCCCGTGAAGCCTCGCAATTAAAAAGCCATATTATGTTTCCGAGAGAATGCTAAAAAAAAAAAACTTACGTGCCCGACAGGCGCGAGGCATGGGAACGCTCGAAGTCACGCATAAACGTACGGATTCGAAAAAAAAAAAAAAAAAAAAAACGCGAATGTGGCACACAGTGTGTCCAGGTTATTACCGCAATACGTCAAAACTGTTCGACGCGGCAGAGACGCGTTCGACGAGCGGAAGGTTTCTGCGAAAACAGAGATATCATTTCGCGCGAAGCACACCGGCGCTAATAAAAGCCGATCTCCGGGCGTAAAAGTTGACGAGCTTCTATATATCCAGATGCGTGTAGGATCGCGCGAGCATGCGCGCAATTCGACGACGCGGCCGAGGGCCGGGGGACAGGAGCATCAAATGCGCGCTCGCTTAATTTATGCCACCTGAGCGTTTTACGCGGCGAAGACGAACGGCCGCGGCGCGCTTTATTTGCTTTTAATGCCACTTAAGCGAGAAGGAATATCCTCCGATGTTTATTGTGCAACTCTTGGAGGCGCGCTTTTGTCGTAATAAAAAAAAAGAAAAAGAAAGCAAAGAAGAAGCGAGAGACGCGGCGGCGCTGTCGAGCGGCCGCAACCGCCTTTACAAGTTCGACCGTTGGCTGGCTTAATTGTTTAGAGATTGTTGATCTGTCGCGAGAGCGGCGCGGCCAGCGAGAACAACTCCAAGATTTAATTGAGCCGTGTCGCGCGCTATAAAACCAGACGCTTCGTTCCCATAAAATCGCGTCAAGCAGATTGTAAACTAATAGCAATTGTGTTGTGCGTTATTGTTATGGCGCATTGTAAAATAATAATGGTGGCGCGCCTAACAGCTCGCGACTATTGACTGCCGCTTTATAATGTGCTTTCGCGGCGGCTATATTAAAATATCGGCTTCCGTTTGGCGCCTCGCGGTGCACGAGCGCCGTCGCGGAAATCGCGAGCGAGCGATATGGTCGGCGCGCGTCGTCGATCCCGTGAACTTGACGAGATAATTTGGAAGGCGCGCGCGCTCTCTTTCTCTCTCTCTCTCTCTCTTCGAAAGCTGTAAAATCAAAGATCAGATAGCGATCGCCGGCGAGCGCGTTTTCCCCTTTTTCCCTTCACCAGATTCGTTCTTGAAACGCCGCGCCTGTTATGCGCGTCTACCTGTTCGCCGGCGCGATTGTTTCTCTCGAAAAAGAGATGAAGGAAACGACTTCTTCAAGGCGACCTTGTCGAGCGGCCTTCTTCTTTTATATTTTTTTTAAGACTTCGTTTTATGCTTTGACCCTTCCGTCGCTTGTGTGAGCTATAAACTGGAACATTGTATAGATTTTGACGATTTCTGCTTTTCGGGAACAAGTTCTTTAATAGTTCCGGTTGTCATGACGGTCAGTTAAACGCATTGTTCTCAACTTTTTCCAATGATAGTTTTATTTAACGAGGAGCAAAATAGCGATATCAATGCAAATTATATAAGCTCAGAGCGTGAGAAATGTTTGCTGGCTCCATCTTGCGATGCACTAGAACAACTTTACGATCGCCTAAGGTAATCGAATCGATCGATATAATCGATCGTATAAAGGCAATTAAAATATCATCTAATATGGATGCTCAGCGCGAACTGCATTTTTGGAGGTGATTCCAGTATGAATTTTGAAAAAAAGAATAAATCATCGGTAAGGTAGGTGCCATCCATGTTTTGGTAATTTTGAAGAAAGCCGTGGAACTCGTGCTCATTTAATTATAGCTTGCTTGCGAAAAATTTTCACGCCTCGTCGGAAGCAAAATGTATTCGAAAGTCAGCGAGTGCCGCCAAATTTTCTCTAGCCACATACATTTAAATATATATGCACGCTCGAAATTACGTGATCAAGCACGCGTTTCGGCTTCAGTGCGCAACGACTTTGTCACGTGGACGGCAGTGAAACGAAGCGTTGACGCGGTAACTCCAACATCATCGGGACACGTCAATCAAGTCAAGTAGTTGTTCGGCACGGGATCTCGAATCGTATCCGCGATGTGACATAAAAAAACAGTTTTTTCGCATAAACAGCTTTATCGTATATTTTATCGAGCGATAACGATCAGTCGAATCTCAGCGTCGGCGCTAATCGCGTCGATTTACCTGCCCGTGAAATAAGTAAAACAAACACGGGAGAACCACGCCATGGAGTCGGCCTCGCGTCCACTTGGCGGGCAAATCGGCCAGAAAAGGCGCGCGCGTACAGTCGACATGTATAGTCAACGGGAACATAACAACGCGGTTAGTCTGGTAGCTTAATCGAGCGAGCGAGAGAAAGAGAGAGAGGGGGAGGGGAGCGAAAAATAAGTCGGTTGATAAGAGCGCGCGGCGATCGTGCGCGTGCAGTTGCGAAGAAAGAAACAGATAAAATAAAAAAAAAAGAAAAGAGGGAAGGAAAGTTCATGCCCCGCTCTCAACCAGAGCCACATCCGTAAATAAATTGTCAACGACGCGCGAGCGCACCGAAGAGCTTCTAATACTGCGGCATGTTTGCTCTGCGATAAACCCTTTTCTCGGCTGCTATCTCACTGGAGCGACGTGTATTTGCGCGTGAGTATCGCCTTTGAATCTCATTTCAAACGCTTTGTCGGCGGCTTCTTTGATCCCTCGAGAACAATTTATATTTTGCGGCTCGATTGAATGCGTGTTATCGAGCGGTGGTGAGGATTTCGCGAGTTGGAGGCAAATCGATCGCGCGCATTCGTTTTTGTTATTTGCACCGTTTGTCGCGACGTTAATCATGGGAATCGACGCGTTTCCAATTCATTCAATGTACCGTCGCGTCGACAGTGCTGAGCGATGACGTCCAAAGGTATTTTGAGCATCAGCGAAGTGAATGCGCTGCCCGAGGAAAATTTTGAATGGCTATTTGGAAATGTCATCGAGCATTGTCCCGAAGCAGCCGCGGCTGTTGCCGCTAAACGGCCTTTTTCCTCGTCCGAGGATCTCAAGAAAGCGTTTGAGAATTATTTGGAAAAATTGGATACTTCTGGTATGTTTTTGTAAAAAAATCATTTAGAATTGTAACATTATCAAAAATTTGGCAAGTGCTTTAATTCATGTAATAATATCGTTTTTTAACGGATTGCTAACTGGCGGTAATTGACGTTGGAGTCTAAAGAAAATTTATAAATTTGTTTATTAACGTCATTCGTTTAATCTCTGGACAAATAAAAATCATTATTAACTGTACTACTTTCATGAACACTATTTATTTGGTATTAAAAAGTTGGTTATAGTGCATTTAAAAATCATTCAAGTATTTGCCGATATGGAAAAAAATTTTAATTCATACATACATAATACTCTAGTGTGACATTTTTTGAGTAAAATTTATAGCTACCTTGGTAAAAAGTTGAAATAAATCCAATGATATATTTTGTTATCTCATCATTGAATAAACTATCCGAGAATCTTACGACGTCATAAAAACGCTGAAGAGAAAATAAAATAAACCCTTATGCATATGTATGTCACATCCAATGTCAATGCAATACAAAATTTGCCAAATGCGCCATAAAGGGATCATCCGAAAAATATTGAAATTTACATCATGACTTCGGCGACCGGCCTTCTTTGACAAGCGAACGCGGGATAGTTTGATTGTATAATTATTAGGCTTTTTTTTATTTTACAGACAAGGAAATGGTTTTACAAAAGCATCCAGATTTAGCGGGTAAATTAGCCGACGAAGGAAAACTCACTATAGAGTCTCAAAATGAACAGAAACTTGCAGGACTTGATGGTATGACAAAAGATGAAGCGCAAAGTTTGACTAACAATAATTATTTGTGGGTTGAGAATAATAATTGTCTTTAATCAGTGAATCTCAAACAGTTTTTAAATGATCTTTTTCAATTCTAGATACAAAGAAAAGTTTAGGTTTCCATTTGTCATTTGTGCAAGAGAAAATAAAGTTCACAGCATATTACAGGGACTCGAAATCCGACTGAAAAATAATAGAGAAACTGAATTGAAAACTGGAATCAACGAAGTGAAAAAAATATGCAGAATAAGGATTGATGACCTTGTTTGGCATGACTAGTACTAATTGAGGAATTATATCGAGTATTGTTCATTGTAAATTTTATACATAAGAGGTTTATTAAAAGATTTTATAAATAAAGAACAAATTTAAGTAATTCCTTAGATAATTAGCAGACCAGAGACCAACCTTACAGAATGCCTAAACTTTTTTCAACGACAGCATGGGGTTGTCCCATTTGTTCCCTGAATTCAGCTGTGTTTAATATATCTTCAAAACTGTAAATAAAGATTTATATGAGTATTGAAGTTTTATAGCAGCATAGTTGAACAAAATGACCACAAAATTCTTGTTTACCAAATGTCCTCATCACGTCCAAGTATGACATCCCTCATGAGGTTTGATGATGGCAAGAAAGGCAGTCTCCCAATTCTTTCTGCTGATTTAATTTCCATAGCAAGGCGCATTGGTGCATGCAGCCCTTGAGTATTGCGCAACATGATCATGTTCATACGGTCTTTATTTTTTTGGTACTGCAATGCCAGAAGTTGTTTTGATTTATAATTAAAAATATAATTACTGAAATATTAATTTTCTACAGCTATTTGAAATAAATATTAACTTACATTGAGCTCTGATGATTCAAGTTGATGAGAAAAACCAAGTCGTTTTCTAGCAGCACCCAATCTAAAAAATTAAAAAAACGATAAAAATATATATTTGAATACATGTATAAAATATATTTTTAATAATTACCCAGCAACCATAGGACTTTCTATTCCATAAGTAGTACTAGCTGCGTTTGAATCATTGAAATCCTTTGGTGTTGTTTTCAAAGCATTGAATCCAAAACTCTAAAAAATAATGAAATTTAGTTAATCATTAATTTATTGAAAACTGCGAGTAATGAAACTGTTAAACTACGAATAACGGTTAATATCTGTTGAATAGATAATGTTCATTTCGAATAAATGATTGTTTGACATAACCTAACAAAACAGTTTTTAGTTATAACTTGATTAAAATTGAATTTAAAGATATTTGATACTTATCGAAATCAATTAAAAATAACACATAAACTTACCATTTTCGTACGATGCCTAATAAATTTAAAAACAGTTCAATAAATTGTTTAGTCACCGATTGACACTCTCAGATACAAGCGGGCTCCAAATAACAGTGTGCATATACAAGCGAGTCATCATCACAGTCTGCCTTACCCACAACAGCTAACAGGCAAGCGGGAAATTGAAAATCGTAACCACCAAGTGGCCTCCAATTAGACATTTATTGACAAAACAAGCCATGCGCACACACTGGCGCAGTACAATTACGACCAACTGATCAACTGATAGTGTTTTAGATCTGACCTTGTTTCTTGTTGATAAATTGTTATGTTTATCTTTTATGATTTATTAGCTGTTGACAAATTTTTGCCAGTAGAATCCGTAAGCCACGCCTGAAGTATAACATGACGGATTATCGAAGAAAGAGTACCGTGCGCGATGCATTTCGAAAAAGTATAGCCGTGAAGACAAGCGCTAGAGTAAGTTATCTGTTCAATGTACATTGAGATGTCTATTTGAACCCTTGCTCATTTTCTAAAACTAACGATTCACCCTGCGCACTACTTAAAACGCTTTTGAAGGTTGGAAAATTAAAGGGCAAATATTTGTTTCGCGCCGCGGTGAGATTGGTCATTCAGTACAAAGAATGGATCGAAGATGTGTCCGAGGAGAAAATCGGCGACGACGTGACGGCCAATGTCAAATTGGCGCAACGCAAGAAAGTCAAATCGGAGGACGAAGAGCTGACCCTCAAAGTAACTTTTGCTTCGCTATCGTCTCGCCTTGCCGAGCAGTTCGACTGAGAGAATGCGTGGTGTATTTTTCAGGATCGGGCGGTTCTTCTGACAGCGCCGGACAAACGCACGAAAGAAGACGTGGCTCACATCGAGCGTCTTTTGCGCGACATCAAAGCTTTCAAAAGGTATCCGGAAAAGGTTCGAGAGTCTTTGGCTTCAGAATGCGCTTATCAATACGTGCCCGCGGGTAGAACTATTACACGGCAAGGACACGAAACCAGAGCCTTGTATTACATTGTCAAGGGACAGGTGCAAATTTTCAAAGACGAAGCTGACAGCCTAACCGGTAATTTCAAGTACTTACGATCATTCCGAATGCTCTTTTGGAAATATTGCGAAATTGCAGGTGAACTTCGACGAATCGACGTTGGAATATTAGTACCTGGGGATGTATTTGGCGAAATCGCCCTTCTGCACAAGATCCCACGGACCGCAACTGTAGTGAGCAAAAGTGCTAATCGATTGATTTTCTGATCGACGTTGTTTCGTTTCAACATTTGATCGTTTGATTTGTTTAATTGTAGCCGCCACCGACTTGTTGATCATCCAAAAACGGGCGTTCAATGCGCATGTGAGGAGCGTACTTTTGGAAGAATGGGCCGTATTGAAGGACGCTCTGGTTAATTTCAATTATTTCAAGGGATGGACTGACGACACCATGCTAGAATGTTGTATTTTAAGCAAGATCGTTACTTTCAAACCTAACGAGGTGAGCGTCGAATTATACGTTAAAAGCCAATTGAGAACGTTTTTTCAAGCTCATGTTTTTTAAGATTGTTCTGGGCGACGGTAAAGGCATGATCCATTACGTATACTTTTTACTGTCTGGAGAATGCCGTTTGATCGAGCACATGTTGATTGAAAAACGACGAGTAGGAAAAACAGTAAAGTACAAGATGTTCAAGTCGGACCAAGATGACGTCAATCCTCGTCAGCGTGTCGGACGAGCCGCAAAAATTGATCTTTCCGAAAGTAATCTACAAAGTCTGATTATGGAAAGTGTTCCTGAAGTAATATTCAAGTATAGTCGTTATACTTATCTACGAGTCAGAAAACCTCTGAGCTATCCAAATATATGTCAAGTTGCAGAATACGTCTGACGTGGCAAATAGAGAACCGTCGTCGGCAGCAGATTACATCAAGATGGTATCTGAGAAAAAATCCAATACCGCTATGGATCGACTCAGCGTCACAACTGTCACACTTCAAGACGTTGTGAGTGGCAATAAAATATCAATTAGCGATTCGTTTCTTTGATATTGCTAATTAAATACTTGGTTGGCAGATTAATCAGTGGCACGAGATAACCGATACGGTGGAAATGCTCATGAAAAAGTTATCTGTATCGAGTTTGCGTAGGTATCCTCCGCACGTCCAGACTGTGTTCATGCAGATTTGTATCTTCTATCGGGGAGCTTGCTTTGGCTTAGGTGCGTCACTTGTAAATTTTTCAGAATTTCAACATCCCTTATATGCTTTTATTTTAAAGGCGAGCAGATGAAAAACCGCAGAATCGTATCGATCACGGGCACCAAGTGTTTGTTAATTCCACGTTATTGGCTTACCCAGCACAACCGAGCGAATATCTGGGAAAGAGTCAAGCACTTTATGAACTCCAAGTTACTCGGAGATAAAGAACTGTTTCGAAAATATGTTGAGAATCGAAAGTCAGTATGCTGTTAATAACGCATTAGATAATACTAAAATTTTAATAAATTTGATGATTCTAGGTGGGCAAAATACAGAAGAGAATACTGCGAAAATGTCTTGACGAACGGGCGAATCATACCAAATGATAATAAAATCTATAACGTGCCTTACTCAATTAGAATTAACGAAAATATTGTTGACGAGTAAATAATTGTTTATTCAAATTTTAAAAAGTATCTACAGTAGTGGCTGAAAGTTTGATCGTTTAGACGTTATCAATAAAAATATACATTTAACAATGTAAAATAGTAAATTTTTTTTAAAACATGTATATTTAATACACGTAGAAAATTTTCCCATTATAAAATCTACTTAAGTACATATGCAAATGCAAAACACGGAATAATAAAGTTTTTTTAAACATTAATCGAAGTGTTTTCATTGAAATATTCATAACACTTATTTTACTTATTCACAATCCACATATATAAAGTTATTCAAAGCGAGATCTTGTATGAAAGTAAATAAACTTAAATTTATGTTTCTGATTGCCAATTACCGCATAAAATATATAAATTTTGCATAAGCAATAGCAAATTATTATTGAGTATTCTTAAATTTAAATAAACTAAAAATCATATGTAAATTGAATCAGTTATCCATGAGTCGAAATTTGTGTATTGGAAAATAAAACGTGTACTAGATAATGAGCTCTATAAACAATTGATGTCACACACGATTCCATTGTACATAAAACAGGTAACTAATATATACATACACGCAGACAATAATTTATATGCAATGAAAAAGCAGCAGCGCACAGCAAACTTACATAATGAAAATCAACACTGATTTTTGACAAGTAATACGTCATGAATGGAAAATGGCACTTAAACTAAAGCAAAGTTCATCTCAGTACGTCAAAGTACAGATTGTATGTTATCTTGAAGACCGCTATTCCGTTAAGTATTTCGCGGTCCTTTTTTTCTGTTCATTATTACGTGATTCACAGAGACATTAATCACACTGACCGCTATGCGCGCATAAATGCGAAAACACTCGCGCGAAAGAGAGAAAAGCATCGGGCGCAAAAGCGACGCTTTCTTCCGTTCACTTATCTCAAACTGTCTCTTGATTCAGCTTCTTGTTGGAATTAAAATAAGCGTAGCTAGGATTCATAAAGCTTTCGGGCGCTACGCTGCGCTGCTGCCAACTGTACTTTTCATCCGGCGTTTTCAGAATAGCCATCGGCACATCGACTTCGTCTAAGTTGCGATAATTTGGAGCTTCCATTTTGACGTCGACTAGCTCCAACGCTTTCGGAGTATTACAGTATCCCGAATCTCTGTCAGTCGATACTCTAGCGTTCCGTTCTTCGCTTTTTCGCTTTTCAGCTTCGCGTTTCCTCGTAAATTCGTCGCGTTTCTTTTGCACGTCGATGGGCTTTAGATAATTATCTTCGTCTAATTCGGGTTCTTCTTTCAGCTTTTTCAGCATCGGAGAATCTTCTCCATCGGAATTATTCGTGTTGGCTAACGAAGAAAAATCAAAGCAAATCAATTGGTTTTTTGCGCGGTCACGTCAAGCTCAAATCAAGTCAAACACGTATTTTGCTTACCAATTTTCGCAGTCGCGGAGCTTGGGAATTGAAAGCGCGAGTTCTCTTGAGTGTTCGGGCGCGGGCTGAAAATGCCAGATTCGTCAAGGGGACTAGGAGAAGTAACAATTGGACAGTTGATGTAATCGTGCTGAGGACTGGCGAGAGCGGCATGATCTGGAGACGACATCATTTGCAAGTAGTCGTGTTTCTCGTCGATCGTATCGATGTACAGAGAATTCAACTCCACGTAATGCTGAAAGGAAGTATCGATTGGAATTACCGTGAAAACTTGGAGAAACAACAGGTTTCATACCTTTTTCACGCCCTCTTCCAAGAGCTCCCCAATGTCCTCAACCAGCTCAGAGAAAGACGGTCTCAATGTTGGTTTTGCCTTCCAACACTGCAGCATGATATTATACCTGTAATGGGATTTAAAAAAAGCTGCTGTAGGCTACTGACTGCTCAAACGAACATTGAAACTGAAACATTGTACTAACAGATCTTTAGTAGCATATTTGGGCTGCTCCATACGATAACCCTCGATGAGTCTTTGGTACTGCGTCTCAGCGGTCATACCGGGATAAGGAGTTTCCGCGAGAGTGAAGAACTCCCACAAAACAATGCCGAACGACCAGATATCCGACTGCGTAGAGAATACTCTGTCGCGTATAGATTCGACGGCCATCCACTTGATTGGAACTGGACTATCACCCTTCTTTTGGTAATTGTCGTCTTTGTACATTGTCTTGGCCAGGCCAAAGTCGCATATCTTTACTACGTTGTTCTCTGCCAGAAGAATGTTTCTCGCGGCTAGATCACCGTGTAAAACCTAGTAAATCAAGATGCTCGTTGACGAAAATAATTCATCAATCATAGCGAAAAAGTTCCACTGACTTTTCTTTGGCATAAGTACTCCATGCCACGTGCAACCTGGAACGCCCAGGAAAGCAAATCTTGCGTACAGATAGGTTTCAAATTGCCATCCTTGTAATCGCCACGATAGTTGGATCTCCATCCAGGCTGGGAACCGTTACTGTTAACACCGGCCTCAGGAAGACCTGTAATATCTTGCGTTTCGGTCGTGTAGATCACAGTCTCGATGCCGGGTGCGGAGCGATGATCCGAAGCGCTGCTTAGACTACGGGAAAACGACAATGCTGCGTATTTTAACCTGTCAAGTGCAAAGAAGACAAACCAGAGGCAGAATGTTAGCAGCAGGCACATCCATGCACGTTACAGCGTCCTTCAGCCTACAATTTTTTGCTCTCCCAAGCTTCGAGGAACATTTTATATTATTTTCTTTTTCTTTCATATTGCCCCAAAGCTGTGCGTTAATTTTTGGCATGATGCTTATGTTTGCTCCGAAAGTGTTGAAGCAAATATTTCTTTCGAATTATTTAGTTTCGGTTAATCACGTGGAAATATTTTTTTCTATATCAAACATTTAGTCAAGCTATTTGTTAGAATTAGCAATGTCGACCATTCCGTTCCCAGCAATCAATCGAATATTAAGACAGAAGCGTGTTTCGAACCTATTATTACTGTCAGCATTCGTAGATTTAATAAGGAATTCATTGCCGATAACTGGGTCGATCCTCCCAGTCTCTGGGTCGATCTGGTTAATAAAGTCTTCTCGATGACGTAACAGGTAATTATGCAAATTACCGTAGCGGCAGTATTCAACAATCACCAGTAGCTCGCCTGAAAGAAAGGTGGAGAGGAAAAGATGAGTTACAATTAATGTTTGCGGTAATGCGTTATGGACTCACGTTTAGCGATATTATTGGTGCAAGCACCAAGGAGATTCACAACATTCAGGTGCTTTCCCAAATGCACCATGATTTTCAATTCGCTAGCCAAAGCACGAATGTAAGCTGGTTCGGCGTTTCTGTGAACCATCTTCACTGCCACGGTGGTGATAGATTCGTCAGCGAGTATACCACGAGCCTCTGCTTTCATGACAACACCAAATGCTCCACTTCCAAGCTGCCTCCCTGCAATTTAAGTGAAACGTCAAGGTCCGCTGCTAACTTTGAATACTTATCACGAAAGAATTATGCGAACCCAATTTCAATTTGTTTCTTGGAAATTCCCACTTTCTATCGTACGGCAAGAGATCTGCTTGGTCGTCTACGGTTAAGTCCGGGTTGATGCAATCCAGAGCTCCTTCCTCGAAATGCATCAAACCGGCTTCGATCAGTTGCTTTCTCATTCTCTGGAATGTAAAATTGCTTTTTATGAAGTTGTCCTTTATCAAATGTTCGGGTCAACATAATTTTTTTTACCTTTTCGCGTCGGATTTTGATACAGAAATAAATTAACAAAATGATAAGTAGAATCAACAAAACTAACATCGCGATAATCCAAACAATGGAGATTTCAGGACCTGGAACCAAATCACATTCATACATTTAATACTTTCTATTTGACAATTTTGCTTATTAGAGTAATGGACGTTCATTAGCTTTACCTTTCACTAAAAATTTTTGAAATGTTTTAACTTTGTTAACTCTATTTTCGGCAATACACGAATATTCCCCACTATCGCCATCCATTAAATAATTTATTATTAATTCTTCATTCTTTCCCACGATGATAAATTGTTGTCCATCCGATTTTATTGGTTGATCATCCTAGGATAGTAGAGGTAAAGAATTATTTTAATTAAAAGTTGTTAATGTATGCTCTTTACATTTACTTACTTTGTACCACTTAGTCTCGGGGTATGGTTTGCCCTCTACATAACACGTTAATCGAATGTTATGCGCTTCATCAACTGTAAGTTCAATTTCAGATCCATTCATGTTCGTTGCTTTGATACGTGGTTCCATGGGGTCTGTTGACGATAATTTACAAACATGAAATGATATTTTTTAAATTGAATCTAAAAGAAATCAATGTGTATAAATGAAAAATAGTATTTCAAAAGGACTCACCGTTCACAATGAGAGGATAAACTATTGTCGTATCTTGATTGTTATCCGTACTAAACGAAATACAAAAGTAATCGCCTTCATCTGCTTTGTGGACATCCTTTATTTGTAATATAGCGCGCCGAGTAAAAGTTGTATTTGTAAGAATAATTTGTATTCTATCTGAAATTTTTGCGAACGAAAATGAATTTATTTTACAATTGCTGATTTTTGTGAATTCAAGGAAATTAATTCGAGCTAACCTGTTTCGGGAATAGGTTCGTTGTTTTTATCCATCCATTTAACCATTGAGGAATTGTAAATCGGAGCCATACATGTAAGCGTAACATTGTCATTCGCAGTTACCATATCTAAATTAGTCACAATGCCCAACATCTGATTAGGCACTCCATCTGAGAATTGAAGCACACAAAACTTTCAGTGAATATTTCACATAGAAGCACGATAAATATCACGAATTACTTCAATATTGAAACCTACCAGTGACAAGAAACTCTGATTCTGATAAGTCGCAGTTAATAGAGTTACACGCATTGCAACTCACTTTCCCTGCCATTTCTGCTTGAAACTGCACTTGTATTTCTTTTTTTGTTTTAGTATCTTGTATGACGCTGGACACCTTAAAGCAAACGAATATGAAGTGACCGATGAATGAATTTAAAAAAATAAGAATAAATAACGAAACACTAACTATTTCGACTGTTTGGCAATTGTCCAGGTCTGGATAATGAGGACATTTATAATAAATGAATTTCACATCCGCAGGAGGATTGTTATAAGCAATGCAAGAAAAATTGGCCGTCTGATTGACGCTGTAAAACTGCACGTTATCGATATTATTCAGCATCGTGGATGGTTGGCCTAAATAAAAATGAAAAACTTGACAATAATCGAAGAAACTGCTTAAAGTCAATGTGATCTGCGAAAAATTACCTCGAACTTCCAAAGTGAAGTGCAAATATTTCGTTATGTTGGCATCGTTGGACGCCACGGCAACGTAAATGCCTGCATCCTGCCTTGACACTTGATTGATCTTCAGTATGGAAGACGACTTTGTCGTTTGTATATCAAAGCCAACATCTTTCGAAGTAATGACAGATGAATTCTGATAGCCTTGCGAGAAGTCATAATCAAGCGGCACCCTCGTCCTTGATTGGCAAAGATTTCAAACGTTATTAGTTGATTTTAAATATTTCATAGGTCGAATCGTCGTATCACTAACCATACTACACTTGGTTGTGGAAATCCATCGACGAGAGCAAAGAATTTCACAGGGTTACCGTCATCGACTTGATAGTGAGTATACGGATCGTAGGCTGTTAAATTAAGGTACGTCACTTGAGGATCTGCGAAGAATGATGTAAAAATTTAGTTGTTGATTAAGACTGACCATCAACGCAACGTTACTGACAAAGAACAGACCGTAGATGTTGATGTACATGTGCGTTTCTATGATATTGTTTAACGTTTGTACTTTGCAGTAATACTCTCCTTCGTCGTCGAAAGTTACACTCTTGATGCTGAGCACACCCGTTACCAGTTTCATGTGCTGATCTATTTTAGTGGCGTTCAACTGATATTCTTTTCTGAGGGCCTGAAAACGAGAGTCCCGGTGATAATGTGCAGTCGCAGCGCGGGACAGTTTGCTCGATCCGAGCGCACGCTTACCGGATCAACTTGGCTTGGAGTGACCCAAAGGAAGGCATGCGTCGAATCCGAAGGCACTTCGGCTTTGCAGACGACGTTCAGTTCGGAGCCAGCGGTTACGTGGTGCAAGTTATCCTTGGATATCACCGGATCGGGTAGCAGTTTCTTGTGCACTATTTTCACCGAAATATCAATTTCCATATTATCGTCGTCGTCGTCGTCCTCGGTGGTTCTGATTATGCAACTGTAGAATCCGCTGTCCATCGCTCGCATATTTTTCATGACGAAGCCTTTTCTGGGATCGAACGACACTCTGTCGTCCATTTCCACTGGCTGTCAAAGTATAAAGCGTCGTTACGCGCTCGACTGCCCTGTCAAATGAATTTTTCTCATCCGGCAGCAATCTTACCGCGTAGTTGAACTCGAGGTCTACGTGTACTTCGGGTGAAGTCGGCCGACATGGCAGCACGACGCTGTCTCCAGTGGTGGCCACGATCGATCGCGACTCGTTTTCCGACACGAACGAGGCGTTGGAAGCTGCCAACGGACAAGCAAGTATTAGCGAAGCACACGGCAAGTCGCAGCCGACAGCAATGTGCTAACTTTTCACGTAAACGTAGATCCAGCTGGCGTTCGGATCGCCGAATTGCCCCGGGTTATTCTCATCGGCGTCCTCGTCCACGCAACCGTACCAGCCGGTGTCGCCGAAAACAGTACTTCTCCGCAGAAATTTTCTTTTCACGTACTCGCCGCCGTAGCTCTCGTGGCGTATTTCGTGCTCGGACGTCGTTATCTTCAACAGTCAGTTTGAGTTTATCGTTAAAAACAGCCGACGGAGGTGTCCGCGTACACTCGTCCGCCGTTACGTTGCTCTTACGTGCTCTCTCGGCTTGGTCTCGGGAAAAACGAGCTTGAAGTTGCTCCTGCTCGTACAATTGATGACCAACTCATCCCCTTCGCTGATCACGATCTCTGGGCTGTCCGGGCTTAGGCGCGGCTTGTAGCCTGAGCAGCCTGCAAGACGAGCGTGTATTTCGGCGCTGACGGAACGAAGGGCGGCGGTGCGCACGGCAGCCGCGGCAAACGATGCAAATGGAACGAGCGATAAGCGATGTGTCCCGCGCGTAATAATAACGGGTTCATCCGGCGACTCGCGCGACTCGTGCTCGCGAGATCGAACGCGCAGAGCGCTCGCCAGCGAAAAGAGAGGAAGTCCTTTCGCGATAAGCTATCGCGCGTCAACAATGTAGCTCCGCCCGAGCCAGTGCGCCGCTGCTGTGGAGCGCTAGAAATTTGAAGAGAGGAAAAAAGGAGCGACGTCAGGCGTCAAAGTAGCGCAAGCCTTTCGAAAGATTTCGGGCTTCCCGGCGTCATCGACGCGACTTTGACGCGCGTCAGACCTTGCCGAACGGCCAACTCCTCCTTCGCCGCTCTTGCCGAGGGAAATACCATATCGCTCCTCGAGCAGCCACTCCCATGCGAGAGCACTCTCCGACGACATTGCCTTCGGCACTTTTTAAGGCGTTTCCAGATAAACGTGGGGTTTATCTTTGGCTGCCTGTTCATTTTCGTCAGGCTCACTACAGCCGCATCTCGTGATTTGAGCATCCTCTGTTTATTTCCGTGGTCTTGTCCGATTATCATCCTCGTTGACGTTCGTAACGAAGCTTCGCTGCCGTATCCCGCTCGTTATTATTCATTATTCACGCAGCGGCGCAAAGACTACCGAACTCGAGCCGAGCTCGACGAATCGACACGACGCTTCTGCTAATATAGGCCAAGCTAGACGGCAATTGCCTTCGATGAGAAGTCATCTATACCTATTACTGCGTCGCACGATCAGTTTATTCTATCGCGCACAAACGAATTAACCATGGATAACGAATTTTGTACGTCAATGAATACGTCGTACAGGCGTACAGGCGCGTGTTTCCCGCTTTCGAGCGCTCAGTGGGAGTTTTACCAAGTGAACGAACGTCTTTTATTGTGATAATATACGAGACAGCATTCTCTCTCTCTCTCTCTCTCTCTCTCTCTCTCTCTTTCTATCTGTCTTCGAGATAGTAAATGTCTGACGGCCGACGCCTCCATATATAGAACGTCCCTTGCGCAGAAAAGCGACGACGAAAAATTAACTACTACTTAAGAGTAAGCACCAAGCGTTCGAAGAATGTTTTGCAGAAAAAGGCACGTCCAGCGTTCAGCGCTAGGACTATCAGCTTCGAAGGCGCTATTTCGGACGTTCGAGCGTCATGTATTCGCGTACGCCAAGCTGCGGAGAGCGCAAAGTACGATTGCGAGTTGAATTTAGCTCGACGTTCGCGAGCTTCCGAAGAAGAGCACAGCTCGTCGAAGTGCACGGTCACGCGGGAACCGATTGTACGAAAAATCTGATACGAGCTATCGATCGACCGAACTGCACGGCCGCGACGAGATAGCGCGCGAACGCACGAGGGAAGGCAAACGAAGCGGAGAAAGAAAAAAAACGGGAACGAGCGACGATGCGTGCCTGCGGCGCTTTCGAAGACGGGAAAAGTCAGTGAGCGCGCGCGAAAGTCCGTGGAGTGCAAGGTGTCGCAGCGGCAGTCGAGCGCGTCACACTTCGCTCGGGGCGTCCCAGGTGCATGAATCACGCCGGCTTTGTCTGGCACGCGGACACACCGAGAAGGTGATGCGGCCGCGAGGAACCGGTCTTGCGAAGGGCCTGCCGCGCGCGACACCGCCTGCGCGCGGACGGCTCGGCAGTGCCGACGTCAACCGAATGCACGGCCGCATATACGCGTCTCTCTCTCTCTCTCTCTCTCTCTCTCTCTCTCTCTCTCTCTCTCTCTCTCTCTCTCTCTCTCTCTCTCTGTCTCGCTGTTGGGAGCCGTGGTGCCGATCACCTACCTGCCACGGCAAGCAGCAGCGCCATTGCCACGTTCGGCCAAGCCATCCTCGCAGCGGGCTCGTCGTCGTCGTCGGCGGCGGCGATGACTCGTTGCCGCTCTCGGCCACTCGCATGTCACGCGCCGCAGCGGAGCACTCACGAAAACGCGTTTTTACCGGGCGGCGTCGACACGGACCCGCCGTCCACGACCGACTGGCGTCGGGCGCAAGCGAGTGCGCGTGTGGGTGACGCGGCCTTGCCGATCCCCACCACCCGAGCGCTCGACCGGCCGCTGCGCCGTGCTCTCTCGAGGATCGGCTCTCTCTCGCGTGTGTATACAGCGCCGCGGCACGCGAATAGCTCGCTGCGGCCTTTTTATCGCTTCGAGGCCTGCCCTCGTCTTCGTGGGCGGTTGCCCGTCCGAATCGGCGATGTACCGGCTGTTGTCGCAGCTGCGCCCGCCATGGGGATCTTGGTTTTCGGGGGGCAGCGATCGCGCGAGTTGTATATTCTTCGAATTGTTCGTTGCCGACTTTCTCTCTCTCGCGTGGACGCGGTTATTCTTTTTCCGAAAGTAGCAGGGAAAGGCCAGGCGCTTATCACGCCAAGGTCGACACGGCTTTCTTTCGAGCGCTTTTAACGAAGTGTCGCGCGTTTACTCGTTGCGCCAATCCCTCGGCTGGAAAAGAAACGAGCGAACCCGTCGTTATGCTTTCTCGAGACACGCGTGCGATCGCGGATTTCCCCTTTACGCGCAACGCCATACGACGGCTTGAGAAAGAGCGCGCGGCGAATAAATGAAATAACGTCTCTTTTAGCGAGAAGCGCGTGGAAACGTGTAAAATTTATTGGTACAGCTGGTATTTTAGAAATAATAAGCATATTACAAATGACGTATCACCATGACACTAGTCGAATCTTCCAGTTCGATTGGATCGGTTGCTAATGCCATTGCGTTTTCAAGCTCCAACGTTACGGTTCGTTCTATGCGATTTTCGTCACTGACGAATTGCACGTGCTTTTCCGTAGACGAATCGTTCATTTTCATGATTTGCTAGAAAATAACAAAGTTTCAATCGATACGACAAGCCCCATGCGTACGTAAAATTCTGTAATTTGCCGCGGAACTTATTTTTCGTACAGCTTCGTCTAAAAGTGCTCCTGTTTGATCAGCGAGTTGATCAAAAGTGAGTCTTCTATTTGGATCCTCTTGCCAACACTCCAACGTAATATCGTATCTAAAAGAATAATATTCTGAACTGTTAGCGGGGCGAACAAACAAACGTAAACGTCTTAGAGATAAATAAATTACGTATCCTTAATAGCGTTAGGCGGCTTCTCCAAGCGGTAACCACTCAGTAATTTTTCATACAACTCTTCGTTCGGTATATTATCGTAGAGTATTCTACTAAAAGTAAACAATTTCCACAATACGACGCCAAAAGATCATACGTCGGACTGCAGAGAACAACGTGTCTGATTGATAGACTCAATAGCCATCCACTTAACTGGCAGATCTTTTTCGTGGCTCTGCTTGTAATCGTCGTCCGATAATAACAACGTTGTTTTGCGCCAACGAAATGTTTTCCAAGGCCAAATAGCCTTACACGATCTATTTTTTCAATCCATTGCATTTATCGAATAATTAAGTAAATTATTTTTATGCTTGTAAGCATTGTATTGATAATTATCTCACTTTTTTTGCACTGAGGTGACCCATAGCATTAGAAATTTGAAATGACTATGATAATAAATTTCACGTATATATAGATTCGACATTGTTACTGTTATAGTCGCCACAACATTTGGATTGCCAACCAGTTGAATTTTTCAGTGATTCAGTGTTCTCTAAGTTGCAAGAGTTTTCTGATGCTGATTGACGGCTATCAATAGTCAGTATAACATCAACACAAAGACATTAATGCGATAATTTCTACAAAATACATACTACGTATTATTGTTGAACGGAGGTGTCAAATTCAAAATGTGATTCATAAATTCACAATTTTTCTGGTTCTAAGATCTACTTCATTGATGAAATTTTTCCTGTTGCATATTAAGTAGGCGCTGATATTTCCAAAACAACTGTACTTCAATATCAAAAGTAACTCTTCTGAAATTAATAAAATTAATAATTCGTTTGTTTAATCGGCAGACTTTTAACTTTCCCCCATCGTATCAATAAATTGATTTCTTAATCAATTTTTTCAACATACTTTTTACGACTTGATCTGTGTACACTCCTAGAATATTTACCAAATTCAAATGCTTTCCTACGTATAACAAAATTTTTAGTTCATGCACGACACTCTTCATATGAATGCGATGAGCTTTCCTTGAAACTAGTTTTACACTGACCGTCGATATTCTAGCTTCATCTAAAATAGTTTATGCTTCTGGTTTTAATACAAAGCCAAATTGTCCCTTGCCCAGTTGTTTTCCTTATAATAATAATATAACAATGTAATCATCATCGACAAATTGAATAATAAATTATTTGAAAATAGACACCTAATTTTAGTTTTTTAATACTGAATTCCCATTTTTCAGAATAAGGAAGGTGCTGTATTTGTTCATCTGTATTCAAATTAAGATGTAAAGTTTGTAAGTGAGTTTCGTCGAAACAAACTAATCCTATTTTTTGCAATGCTTTGCTCTTTTTCTGTAAATAATGTTTACAATATATATAGTTTTTTAAGTACTAACAGAGATAAGAGTACTTACTTTTTGAAAACTTATTTTATACTTTGTATGAATAATGAGGATAATTATGGTAAACATAATTGAAACTATTATTGTTATCTATATAATAGACGGTGTTATGTATTCTGTGGCATAAATATACTTGTCATAACTGTTTTGCTCATCACGATTGTTATTTACAAAGTTATCTATGACTATTATTTCAATATTTCGAAGATCTGTTTGTCAAATGCGATTGAAACCAATACAAGAGTAGTTTCCAGAAATGTCATGCTGGAAACCAAAAATATATATGGAAAATCGAATATTTCAATCCTCGTCAATTTTAGTGGTATTTTCGAATAATTTTCCATTCTATAATAATTTTAAGAACATTTTCAGATTTTATTATTCATAATATATAGAAATTATCGACGAACTCATACTTTGTACCACCTTATTGTCGGAGGTGGCATTCCGACTATATCGCAATAGAGATGTTGCACTTTTTCGATTGGTTTTAATATTATTGAATTATTGTTTAAGTTAAAATCGTTAAATCTTGAAGCCTCTGGCTTTGCAACATGAAAAAATTTCATCGAGAGTATTATTCGTTTCAGTTTCTGATTTATTTACGTTATGAGCAATTCTTACCATGAATTTCTGTTACATTAAAACCAACAATAGTTACAGAACTGTCGTACTTCGTAACTCTGCAAAAATATGATCCTTTATTTAATTTGTGTATATCTCTTATATTTAAATCTGCACGTTTAACACAACGAAAATGTGTGTGATTGAAAATTGTCATATTCACATTTATTCTCTAAAAGTTTTAATATTCAATATGTTTTAATTAATAAGTAAAAAAATACATTATGAAGATAATTTATGGTGATATAAAAGAAAAAATGCACGATTTTCAGATACAGATTTGTTTGCTTTCAACCACTCGATTAATTTGGTGGAATTTCCCAACCAATTGTTACATCTTAATTTGAAGTCGTCATGTTCTGTTATGGATCCCACATTCGTGTCACTTCAATAGCCTCTCTTTTACAATCATGTATATTAGACTTTTGACATATTGTTCTAAATTATAATGTTCATACTAAAATGAAATATTCATTCACAAACTCACCACCGACTTTTATATACAAAATATCAACCTTTTTATAATACATGTTATTTAGCTGGCATGCATATAAAATAGTATCATCAATGGTTACATTCTCAACTACTAACTCTAGGATAATGTTTGTAAAGTTTGCGTTCGGTATTTTGTACTGGCGAAATTTTATGAAATTCTAAAAATTATAATTAAAAGATTGTCAATCGTATTCAAAAATCGTATCAAAAGATTCATTTTTTAGACCACTTTAACGAATTCCTAGGCGTTATCCAAGCGGCTTCTACTAAATTGGTCTTACATACCGTAAACGAACAATTAATGTTCAAAGTTTCCCCTACAATTGCGATTTGAAAATCCTCCTTAATTTCAATCGAAGGGTACTTTTTTACAAAATTACCAGCTTTAACATAATAGAAAATTTCTAAATAGAGTTTCGGACTACAACTGTTTTTTTCATTTAGCACGACTTTCTATAACACAAAATCTAATAAGTTACATCCAATAATGGGTTGGCCTGCTTAATGCAATTATTTTTAACAACATAAACCTGTACTTACGGTATCAAATTGAGCATTTATAAAATCAACCCTTAAGTTTGGCGATGTAGGGCGACATGGTATAAGTAATTGATCATCTTTATTATTGGCTGAGCGATGCGTTAAAAAAGAAAAGTTATTAATGAAATTTATCACGTCTATTAGATTATCATCTATCAAAGAAATTGAAGTCATATAAGCATCATATAAAATTTTATTTTTCGCCAGTCAAGGCAGAAATACCATCCTGCGTTGCCAAAGACAACTTTTTTCAATGAAATGTCCACTTTATAGTATTCCGTGTAGAGTTGTTTTCGTTATAATATCTTTCAGAAGTAAATTCATGCTTTGAGGTAAATACCTGACGTGAAATATAAGAAATACAAATAAAAAGTTCTAAAGATAGAATCGATTATAATCTTTTAAGTATGTTTTTATGGTTCAAATTTTACGTATTTAAGATATACCCTATTTATTGTATCATCCCTTGGATAATTATAATTAATATTATTGACACCTTCATAATCACATGTTATTGATAATGACTTGCCTTCGTTAATACCTTTATCTTCGTGATCATTCGACATTTTTAACTTTGAAATCCTTATTAATTGTAACTAATAAAACAAATAATATTAATGAAATTAAAACAACTGAAATAGAATAGTTATTTTAGTTGGAATATTTATTTATAAAACTACATTATAGCATATTAAAATTAATAAGAATATTTAGTTCTCTGTTAGTGAAAGGAAGTCCTTTCCTTTTTTGATAACCATTATATCCGCTCTGCTGTGTTTACGAATCATAGATTATTTCTATCTGTTATAGTACCACATCGTAAAAGCTTATTTTCCCAATAAAGAATTCTTCAAATTTCATCGTGTGTAATTTGCAGGTATGCATTCGATCAATTGTATTAAAGTTCTAAATTTTCATACGCGGCAAGGAAAGAACTACAGTAATTAGTTTTTGTCATAAAATGTTAATAATGCTAGCTAATGTAATGCTTTTAGAAACGTATCAAAATAAATTAACAAACGGTTATTGTTTAGATTTTGAAGTAATTTTTGATTAAAAAGAAAAGTAATTGTACTTAGTACAAAATAATTTACCTATTATAAAAGTTATAACAAATAACATACGTTCAGTTACGTTTATGTCATTTCATCCCATGCTATCGAATTATAAAATGATATTTTTAACAGTATTTATACCAACACTGATATACAAATAAATATTATAAATGAATTAGAAAAAGTACATGTAATTATTTGAGAATTTACTAAAGTTCGTTGGTGAATGTGGTACTGAATGATATGACGGCAGCGTTAGCACTGATTAGAACACCAAAAAGCTCAATCATTTGAATAAAAGACAGAACCAAAGTGGGAACATGATTCAAATAGCCTTGGACACATTTTAATTACAGAATTATATATTCTAATAAGGTTCAAAACAACGTTGCCTAGTCGTAATTTTAGCGTTTATTTTTCAATCAATTCATTGAAATAAATAAAATATTTGTTCGTAAATATTTATTGTCATTGGATGTATTTTAATAAAACAATATTTTTAGTTAACACAAGAATGTCAATAATTATTACTATGAATTTTTAATTCTTAGCAATAATTATTGACATTCTTATCCCATCGCGTAAGTTGTAGATTGTGTCAACAGTGTAAATGAGAACAACCATTTAGTTTATAATATTTTATTTGAAATAACACTCATCATAAATAATGTATTCTTTGGGTAAATTCACTAAAATTATTTGTGTTATACAAGTACTCACATATACAAAAAATTGCAAGCAAACATGACGAGTGTCGTAATTTTCCTTTGAGAATATTGCTTTGAGAAGATTTTTGATGTTTATACTGTGAACTTAAAACTCATTTTTTCAATAAATTTTATTCACATAAGTAAATGCAAGATTATATATACTGGATAGTTTCTTAAGAGCTATTTGTATGTTACAATTAGATGATTATCCATAATACATTTTTGTGCTGTTTTCAATTTATATGTATTAAAGATAATCATCTTTAATTAGATTTATCATTTGAATAATGATTCACTTTCTTCACATGATTTTTGTTAGAACAATAAGTATCATCATCTTACAACTACTTATATAGTGGAGCTGCATAAATAATAATTAATTATAATTTTCACTTAGAAACTGGCGGCTATCACATCGTTTCTAATCAAATAAATCACTTTGTTCACATAGCGTTCGTTCCCGAAATAAGTATCTAAATGATTCACAAAACATGGAAATAGACAAGAATAATAATAATCATTACTTTATAAAAATGGCATTAAAAACAAAAAACGTCGATATGTTATGTTTATAAGCACTATTAGATCTCGATTTGTCTAAAATTACAGGAACTTTGGTATAAAAAAAATTTCAATGGCTACACAGTCAGTATTATTAAAGAAATTAGTTAAAAATAATTTAAGTAACTAATGTGCGTTTGAATAAATAGTGCATCTATGGAGCGTCATATTTTATATTTGTATTTTAAATATAAAAATTTTAATGTCAATATATTAAACTTCAATTGTAGTTAAAATGTACAAATTGATATTACTTTCTGTTATGATTAAACCAGAGAGCTAAATTTTAAGAAAAATATAACATGGTATCTCTATTCTTAAAGCAAGTATAGTTGCATTGTTTTAATCAAAAGATGAAAGTTGACTTCCCACAATAAAACTGTATAAAAATTGCAACTCTTGTACATATTGTCTTTATAAAAAATGGATTATCCACATTATATCATAGTCTTTGCACTATATGGCTAAGAAACCTAAAGATTTTCTAACGCTAGATGTTTCTGGTAATGATATGGCCCACTTTCTTAATCCTGTTAGCAAGACTGAACTTGTTACAAGAATCGCACCACCAACAGAATATCTATTTGGAATTTCATTGAAAAAGAGCACTTGCCAAAAGAATGCAAATACAATGTCCGCTGACCTGGCAATGGCGACTGGTCCAGCCTGTTCCATCTGTAATGCCAAGGTTAGTAAGATTTGTCCTCCAAAACTAAAGAGAGCAAGAGCAACCACCAGTAATCTACAATTGAAAAAATAATAATGTGAAAAATATCCTAAAATATATAACAATTTAGAAAAATAGAATATTTTTATTCACCTGTCAGTACCACAGCGAGGTATGCATAAGGCTCCAATTGCCCAGGTAACCACAATTGTTTGTATCAGTGCAAAAGATCCAAAGTTTGTCATTATAACAGAGAAATGTAAGCCTTTCAAGGCTCTCAATAAAACATAAGCATTTGCACCAAATAGTGTTGCAGAGAAAGCTGCTATAGCACCCCAAAGATCTACATGTTCAGTTTTTTCATGATTGTCAGTTAAAGATTCAACTGTATTTCCAAATATGACTGGTGGGCGTGTAATTAAGACAACACCGATAAGTGTTAAACAGACTGTAACAACATTAAAAATCCCACAAGGCTCTTTGAGAAATATTTTTGCAAATATTGCTACAAACACAGGCACAGAAAAAACTATAACGGATGCATCTGCCAAAGGCATATGTCTGAAAGCATAAAAGCTGAGCATAAGTCCAGTTGTTCCGACAAAACTTCTAAGAAGTAACATAATTCTTCTGCCTTTGGGAAAAGGGTGATCTCCTTTATAAATTACTATTGGAATTGCTGGCAATAAAACTCCTACAAATCTAAAGGCAGCTAGTTCCATTGGATTGATCTATTATGAAAATTTATATATTAAGTTGTTTGTTTGTTCTCATTTATTTCCTAACTTACCAATAAATCTTTATCCTAATAAATATTCACATACGTACCTCTACTAAACCTTTGACAATCACACTACATAGAGAAAAGAACAAAGAAGATATTGTGGCTAAGATAAGGCCAAGATATGGGCAAGACTTGCATTTTGTGGATGAATAATTATTTGCTCGAGGACGGTTTTGGCACTCCATGTCACCACCCACTAACTGCTGTAACTCTACACGTTCTGGCATCTCTAAAAAAAAGATACAACTTTTAAGTCATACTACGTCAGTGTAAATGAACGTTTCGTAAGTTATAAAATAGACTATTAACAGAGATTGATACTAATCTCCACCACTAACTTGTCAATCCTGCTGACTCAATCCTTTTAACAGAAATTTTAGCTTTACGCTATAATGTTTTACAATATATTTTCGACGTCACTTGTTTAACAGCAACAACCGTAACACACTTCATTGTTGTTTACGTACGTTAAAAATCAAGTACCGTATAATGCTACGGCACACTTATTAATTTTTTGCATTTTCAAAGTGCAAATGTTCTTGCGAGACCGCGAGGTTTAATTCTAACATTTTAGTACAGTCCATATCGGCCAATCCATTCCAAGATCGCGATACAGTGCTGTCTGCTGACTGCTAGACCGAATCGAATATCTTGCTTTGAGATCGCTTCCTGATTGCCTTCAAGTCGTCCACTTGGCTATTGCTTCGTATGTATAAGGTCTGTTCGTTGCGTTCATTCCATCAGAGTTCAGAAAATCTTAACAACGGACTGTGGCAAAATACCGCGCGGTTTTTTGACTTTTAGATCTTATTTGTAGAGAGCCTAAAGTGTACGAATATTCCGAGGAGAAAAATCTTACGGAACAACATCACAAGAATATTTCTTTAGTGTGTAGAAAAGCCCTAATGGCGTGAGAAAACGAGATCACTTTTCTTTCCAAATACCGAGAACACACCGAGACTTTGAGTTCTAAGATCGTTATGTATATTGTGAACCAATGTATAACATTGTAATTTTTATACCCAATTGCAAATGAAATTAAGAATTTCGATTATACAACTTACAATTAAATGGCGAAATAATTAATAATTAATTATATTACATTTACGTAATTTTTATTTAATCCAATATTTAGGATTAGCAATCATAGTATAGAGACATATTTTTACATAAATTTTTTTCAAATAGTATTTGACACTTTGATTTTAACAATACATCGAATTTGAGATCCATAGTTAATTCATAATTTTAAATATATATTCTTACTAAATGTAAAGCTTGACTTCTTCAGAATTTTCATAGAATTATTTAATTCAGATCTTCTAATACCAGATTATTTTAGAGATCGATCGTTGAGTTATGAATCTGCATTTAATAACAATCATCACTTTCTTATACAAATGCAACATGAAATTTCTTTGTACGTCGATTTAAAAAAAAAAGAGTTGTATAAAATAAATACGGTAAAACTAATGCTAGTTGTAAAAGATATGTGATTGTGCAATACTCAGCGAGTAAAATTACCTATAGAATATAAATATACTGACATGCACCACTTTGAATCTTTGGTTACTAGCACCGTTTTCATTAAATTTATATTCGGTGAATATAACATTGTACATTTGTAAAAACATAAAGTTTATGTTTATCGTGGAGTGCCGTTTATAAACTAAAGAAAAAGGTATTCTGATGTTTCTCCCGATCTCAATAATTTTTTTTATGTTTTGCGGGACTTTTTATGAATTAATCCCCGTTAATCATATAAATTTAGTTTAATATATATAGAATTACTTGTTTTCCGTACGCAGACTATTACAAATATTAATATTTGTATCATAGTTTTCACAATTATTTTCGTAAATATATACATATATAATAGCGTTAGATATTTTTTACTAATTTTAATGAGATGGTTGATTAGAAATAACCCTTTTTACATATGCTCATTAAAAAAGATGTGGGCTGGTCAGAAGATTTTTTATTTAAATTTGCGTTGTAAGACAAATTGTTGCCTGATTTTTTCATAAAAAAAATGGATTTTTAAAACTTTATTATATAAAATATAGATTTATCTTTACTTGAAAATAGATTGAATCTAACAAAAAAATTGACAATTTAATCACTTTCAGCAATATGAATAAACCACATAGTTTCATTTGAAAATATTTTTTCTCTATTAATAAGCATTAAACCACTTTTTAAAATCCATAACTCTTAGTCTATGTAACCAAGTAAAGGCATTTTTCTGTATATAAAATAAAACAACATATTTTTCAATGTTTTACGAAAAAATTATTGAAATCATCGAAATACATCTGAAGAATCTTGCCTATAAATCACCAAAAATATTTGTTAAAGATTAACTCTTAAAACTATAACAAGTTTAAATTGAATAATACATTTGGACTTCAATTTATAAAAAGGCTTACATAATACTGACAAGTATCATCAGCACCGATGAGTACTACGTGTTCCGATTCCAGTTTAAAAGAAAAAATTATTTTACGACAAACCTCACGACCGTGGCAGCCGATAGTTCAACAGACAGTGTCACGCGGTTCTAAAATTCAACTAACAGTTTGTTCAGGTTATATATTTGGTTCGATGTAAAAATACTTTAATCTTTATCCTTCTTCAATTCTGGAAACATCTCGAACATCACAACTTCAAAAATATCCTGAAGATTTGGCAAACAATTAATAATTTTCGCTTAATTTTTATTAATGTAGGTTAAATGTATGTAGTGTAAAAAGTTTACGTACATAAAATAACTGTTTATTTAGCTGTACATTTTGCAAAGAGTTAAAAACTTTCATAGCTCCTCGCTGAGCACTTTGAGCCCCAACCAAATTAGTTAAGAAGTCAGGTACGTTGTTTAAGAATTGCCGGTGAGCTTCAACGCGTGTTCGTATTTTATCTTCTTCCGTCCTAACCGGTGCTTCCGTAGCAAGTTGACCGTTAGGCCACCAAGACTTAACTAATAGTTGAATGTAGTAGTGAAGCATGGGCTCGGAAAACATCCAAGCCACTGTGTCTCTGACTTGCCTTGAACAATTATTTCACACACAAACACAATTATTTATAAGCTGATATTTTTAGAATAAATGAATAAAACAATAACTTACCTATTTATTGTTCTTCCGTAAGTAAGTTGCACAAAAGTTATAAGAGATCGCCTTAACCAGCGAAAAACGCCTCTTAAGTCGAAAACTTCGCCAAGTAAAGCGTAAAGAGGTTCAGCTATAGAATCTTTTCCTGGTCCTAAGAACTCGGTTACTGAACGGATAGGTTCATTATCGTCTAACAATAATGAGTAGTCGTCATCATCATCTTTCTCTCGAGATCCTCCTTCTCCACTGCTACCAGAGCTACTGTTGAGTTGAAAAATAATTTAAGCGTTCAATTAGTAACTAATTATTGAAACACTTACGACTTGAAAAGTGTAGATAATGAAAATCGCGATTTCTTTGGTGAAGGTGTATTACTTTTTAGTCGTTCTGAGCTTGGACTTAAAAAAGTGTATAAAGCTTCACTTTGATTCAGACGATCATCTTCCAATACAAACTGACGAAAAAAATATACATGTAATTTGCCATAAATATAAAAGACGAAAAATATAGGATATTCTCACATTTAAATACTTCTGAATCAGTGCTTTAGCCTTTTCTGTAGCGTTTTTATCTATTTTACCGAAAAACTTTAATGGTTGTGACGGTAATTCAACATTCTTTATACTAGGACATAACTGCCGTAGCTTTTTATGAAGTTCTTGAAACTCGGGTAGTTTGCGTAAGACAATCCAACCAGAGGAAATGCTAGTTTCATCCGCTTCATCAGCGACCATATGAACTACCAGAACAAAATGAGGAGGTTCGCCATTTTCTGGAATCTATAAACAAAAATATTCACATTACATTTAAACGAATCGATCATATTTACTAAGCGTTGGTTTTACAACAACAAATAAAGCGAGGTTTGGACGAAAAACGTAATAATGTATATTTACCTCAGCACTTTCGACATCCGCCCTCCAATGACCTAAATGTTCCGCCCACATGTCAGTATGATTTAAATGGGCTTCCAGTTGTCGTTTTTCACCTTGTAGCCATTCAACTTCCTTAGCCAGTATATCCAACATTTTGTTTTCCGGTTTCAGCGACGACTTGAGAGCTTGTAAAGCTTGCATTTTATTGTTCAGCTTTTCTTGTAATTGATCTAATTTCTTGCGCGCGTAACTCGAATGTTCGGCTACCAATAAGGATGTATTATCTGATATTGTACCATTGACCAATGATCTCTGATTGTCTATCAATCCTAGAAAATGTAAGATAAAAAGATTAAAAACATTTATTTAACAACTTTAATGAGAAGTAAACTGGATTTGTGTAACAAACCATCCAAATTCTCATCACTTATAGTTTCTAATAATTTTTTGTAGTGCTCAGTAACTATAAAGGAGGGATAATATTTTTCCTCTATCGTTTGAACAACCATCTCCTGAACTTCGTAGAATACGTCTGGTCCTATATCACCTAAGAGAAAACTTTCCATTCGTTTCCTGGTATCTTTGTCAACTTTAATTTCAGCGGTAGGAATAGTAATATATGTGTAAAAAATTTCGGCGCCTAATTGATGCCAACTAGATTTTTCGGCCGCACGAAGTTCTTGTACTGCTGTATAATAACCAACTAAACCTTGACTAGATACTTGTTCGAGAAATTGTGACAGATGTTTCCTTCCTGCAAAAAATATTTTATACGTCAAACAAATGTATTATTATTTAACAAGTCGTTACGTACCTATCACACTATCCAAAATCGTTTTCAAAGGTATAATTCTATTATCTGGAGGAGACATAGGATCAATTACTTCATCATCTTCCATGGGATAACCATCCCAACCTAGAGCTTGCATATGGCACTCGCAAGTTTTCTTGGCATAAGTCAATTGACTGATATAACGTTTGAGTCTTCTTCCTTGCGCTAAATCGGATTTACCGAACATCGTATTATTCTCCGGATCTAAGCCTTGAGCACGTTGAATATTCTGAGTTGTAGTTGCTTGCATAATCTCTGATACAATAGAATATCTAATGCGTTTGAGATCCTCTAGATCTTTAGTTGTTTTAATCATTGCTATAAAATCCTCAAAGGAATCTGCATACTCGCAAGTTTTTCTGTGTAGTGCCTCCGCCATTTGTTGTTGTTGTATGTAAGATACAATTTTACGATTAATATAATCTGGATCGGTAATTGCATTTATAACTGGGCTTAAAACTTGAAAAGAAAAATATAATAAAAATATACAGATATAGAAATGAAATTTTTTTAGTAATATTAATGATTTAATAATATTGATAATTACAAACTTACTTTTACAGGCAATAACTTCCCGTAAAAGACATTTGGCCACAGTAAATGTATAATCTCGCGGCATGAAAAATAAGATAAAAACTTCACTAACTCTCCTTAGATATTCCAATTCTCCTTCGTTTGATAACAAATGTGGGAAAAGTATATATGTTGGCTCCTCTCCTTCAATACTAAAAACATAGAAGTTGATGTGTACAATAAGCACTATGTGTTTTAAAATATTTTACTCACGTATTCTCTTGAGCTATTCGGATCTTTTCAAAATGAAATGTAATTGCATTAACAATGCTACAAGCCACCAAATTAGTATGATCTATATTCTGCGTTCGACTGTGGATTTTCTGAATTGCTTCCCATAAATCTTGTTTCGCAGAGCCAATCAATTCATCTGTTTCTATTCCCATTTCACTCAGCCACCAGCCAACAAAATCTCTGAATGACAAATCCAGAAGGTTTTGCAAAGCTCCATCAACCAATCTTGATATTATGAGAGGATAACGAGTGGGGTCTCTTCTTCTAGCTTCATCAATGAAAAATGATTCTCTCTAAAATGTATAAGTCATTTGATTGAATTTTCAATCAATTTAATATTAATTTAAATTATATAGATACCAGTAGAAGGATTTCAAAGGCATTCAATTTGTTAACTGCCGATCTCTTTATTCCTTTAGAAGTTGAAGAATTATCTAGCGAGAGAATGTTATTCACGTACATAACAATTGTCGGTCCAAGAAGAATTCCACAGGCAGTAAGTAATCCATAGAATACATAAGCTAATAGATCAAAGTAGAATAAAACAGAAACTAAAGAGATTGCTGTGCTTATGCAAAAATACTTCCATTCTTGGGGATATGTTGGTGACAGCTTGGTATATCCATAATATAGGACTGCTGGACCAAGTAATGTTATGCATACAAGTACCAATCCAAAAAATATATAAAACATCAGACCAAAATATTTTATCAATACGATCAGGATGATCGCAATTGATATGAAAATACCAATATAAAGCATTTTCTTGTTTGCATTAGTATCTCTGAAAATAGAAATAGCTTAATTACACCATAATATTGATTTTATTTATTTATTATTACTTAATAGATACTACCATTATAATTGATTCATTCAGTATATTATTATTTTAAAAAATGTTAACGCAATGACAAATAACATTGAACTTAGTCAGCAATCAAACAGAAGGAAATTCTCAAACAGTGTAATTTATCTCATTAAAACTATTTATAAAGAATAAATTACTTTTTACTTATAATTCACTTATTAAAAAAAACAAAGAGAAGCAACGAGTAGTGTAAAGAACCAACATCTCTTAATGCTAATTAGTAAATATATAGAGTACTTAAAGCAAACTTGCTTAAAATGGTAATGAGCAATAACTATGCTGGAGCACAATAAAGCCATCAGTTGTTGCTTTTTTATTATAGTTTAAAAACAAGTAATAAACAGGATAATACTATGTTACAAAGATCATTTTTATAAGGAATATTAATTTTTAATTCATAAAAAATCCAAACATATGTGAGAAAAAAAGAGCAAAGAAAAGTCTTATTTTTGCGAGAAACATCAAGTGGAAGGAAGCTTACTTACCAGATATATATTTCGCAGCATCAAGTTACAATTAAAGGCTGGCTGTCCCTATCAATCCTCTTATCACATAAGGAAATAAATTGCACTGTTCATCGGCAGCCTGCGACCGGCGAAGCAGCCGACGTACAGTAATTTTCTCACAATTCATTTTTTTATCCTGCAAACGAATTACTTTTTCTTCTTCTCACATGATGTATCATCAAAATCTTGATTCCACCCTTGGTTAATTTTCAATAATTGATGATATCAATAGCAATCTGAATACATTTTGCCATCAATTAAACGAATACAGACGAATGACCTCAGACGAATCTTAACCCCGTAACCATGCTTTCTTTTACAATATGAGTTTTTACGCGGATCAATAGGTAAACTGCGATGTTTGAATCAAGTGTCAAATGGACCAGCTGATCATTGAAGACGCAACACTTAACAACTTCTACTAGAGATGATGTACGAGGTAGATAATCGGAAACTCGCTGTGGCATGCGCAGCACACACTACATACTCGTTCTGTAATTGTACTATATATATAACAGAACTGCGTAGGTGAATCACAGGTGGTTTGTCAAATAACCCAACTCTGTTGCTATGAGGTTTGTTATGTGTATGCGAATATATGAAGAAGTCAACCGTCGTATGTATGTGTGTGGATACTTTCTGATATATAGCAAAACGTTGTCTATTTGAAGAAGTATAATAAATATGGGTTTGGCCTTTAATTAAAGCTGTTTTTTGTTCGCGTCACAGAGAATACCGTCTCGCTGTAATCTATTGATTGTTTGTCTATGTTATGGCCTTAGCGATATCACTGCCCTTTTTTAACGATTAATTATTCTATTTTTACTCGGAGACTGCTCTCAATTAATTCTCCCTTTACATTTTCAATTAAAGTAATTTGATATAGAAGATTCAAAGAGTGAAAGTTTTATATAAAAAAATAAACACATTTTCGATATCTTTGTTTCAACTGTGATGTAATTGCATTGTAATATTAATATACATGGACTAAAACAAAAAAAGTAATATACACATATATAATCGGAGAATTAAATATACTTCTATAGAATAAAATAATTCATTGATCATTTAACAGTTTTTGGCTCAGTATATAAATTTATAATTCTTTATTACACCTTAACAATAAATTTAGCTTTACTATAAATATACACAATATAGTAAGGCTACCGACCCAATACGAATAATAATTATACGCTTTTTTCAAAATTACTTTTTGTATATTAACTTAAAATTCCCTGCTGCTAATTCATTATCTCTCGACTGTTTTACAATTTCTCATTTGTGTCGCCAAACTCTCTCACACCAAAACATTCATTTTACTCTACTTAAATAGATTTTTGTTTTTATTAAAATGCGGCTCGAGATGCTGCTAATTTAATTTAATATTTACTAGCTAAGAAGCGTTCGAATTTCCCTGTGCATATGACACAAAAAGTCCACGTATCCTTGACTGCCGTCTGCACCGCGATCTTCTATCAAGAACTGACGCATCACCATTTCCATTTTGTCTCGTTGTTTCGTGAGAGTCAACTGAAAGTAAAAAGTAATACATTGTTTTACATATAACACCAAAAAAAGTTTTTAATTTAACTTATGTAATACTTTCTTACCCGCATGCTATAACGTCTTTCGCTCTGAACATAGACAATAATGTCTCTGATTTGTTTGTTTAATGGATTATCTAAGTTTGGAATTGTAGTCCTGTCAGTATCGACTTGATTTACTGACGGAACTCCAAATACTGATTGCACCCATTGTGGACTTACAGCAGAGCCCAACCATAAAAACATATGAATACCATTTTCTGAAAGTAGAATTTGCAATTGAATATATTCTATCAAACCATTCAACCCATTAAGGCTAAGATAAAAACTGAGCTAAATAGAATCAAACCAACTGTACTATTTATAGGAAAATTGAAAAAAAAATATCCGTATTTTTTCTTTTGCCACTTTTTATTGTTTATATAAAGTTATTTAAACAAATTGTCAGCATTTTCTTTTCTTGAACAACTAATTATAATTATCGATTCTACGAGATATTCAGGACGAAAAACTTTTTAGGTTTTTTTAATGAGTGAATTTTGTTATCGTAACATTTTTATAAAAAAGTAGAAATTTAAGAAAAAACAAATTTTTTTTAATTTCTAGTTGTTTATAACGATTTATATAACCAAAATAGAGTCTAACGAAAATAATGAAGAATATCCAACTTCATTTTACCTATAAACTTGATTAGTGTAATTTGATTTCCAAGAAAATACAACTTTTGACTATTTGTTCAAATAACTCGTTATAAAAAGTTCGAAATGTCAAAAGAAAAAGCATGGATACTTTTTTTATATAACTATAAATGACCTAGTTGGTTTAATCTTATCTACCTTAGTTTTTGTCTGAGTTTTAATAGAATAAACAACGTTAGTAACTTTTACCTAATAAATAGACACCATCGTCCATAAATTTATCGATCGAGCAACGTAACATAGGAGGAAAGTCATTTTTTTGCGGATCAACATCATGAAGAGGAAGTAATCGAGGATAAACGTGTGCAACGCTTTCGATAATAGGCATTGTGGCGACGGCCATCATTATATAAGATTTTTGATCAATCGTGATTCCACCACCTAAAAAACGGAAATGATTTTATTATTATTATTATTTAGCGACCTAATTAACATAAAATTTTAAGAGTAGCAAGTTAGAAAGAAAGGTACCTCCAGTAATGGCATCACTCTTCTGTATTCCATTTATATAAAGGGGCAAAAGTTTCATACATTCAGGGAGTATTAATTGACCAGCACTTGAAGGCGATGCGCAGTGCTTTCTGTAAGATGCTAAAATAGTAGCACACCTTGTATTCAAATTGTCTTTAATTTGCTTAGAAGAAGACTCTACAAGCTTGAAAACACCTAAGATGAAAATTGAAATAAATAGTTAAATGTAACTTTACAAAGTATTTGTTATATAGTAATTTATAATAATAAAAAAACTATAATAATTAAAATTGAAAATATCTTACTTTGCTTGAATAAGAAATTGATTACAGCGTCTAGGTCGCATGCTCTATAAAGTTCTGCCATTTGTGATGAAGTCTTTAGACTCAAGTTAATAATTCGTAACCTTCGGATGCCACTACAAGATGTGTAAAGCAATGCTGCTTGAATATAAACGCCCTCGTCTTCTGTTAATTTATCGTCGTGCTTAATTTCAATAGCGAGAGCCTGTTTGAACAAAAAAAAAATTAAACCTAAATGTAAATAGTACGTCCATTAAAAATAAAAAGAAAAAAAATGAATTACCTTATCACAATCTATACTAGCTAATTCAATATCAGTGGTATTAGACATATAAAAGTTTCCATAAAAGTCCGTAGGTCTAACGCCAGTAGACGTTCGGACGCGCATAACTGCATCAAATACAACAGGTCTACTAATATTATTTATGATATCTGTAATCAGTCTCTCTCCATCAACATCAGCCTAGAATAATTCATGAATATAGGCTGTTGGTTCTCAACTTCATAATGCACGGTATGAGTAACAGTACTTGAAAAACAAACTTACTTGGAAATAAGTATACTTGTAAACTTCACCGCCCGTAAGTCTAGCAACTTGGCCTATCGTTGCAATATCGACATATGAATTATTGAAGACAAATAAGTCTACACTGCAACCAGCCCCAACACAGTCTTGTCCAAGATTATTATAAAAACTGCTTTGAGGCGCTAGAATAATGGCAATAAATATTTATATTACTGTTTAATGATCGTCAAATAAATATAGTTATTTAATTGAAACCCACCCAAGATACTTTTTTCTTTATCTGTACCAATAAGTTTTCGATCGTCCCTATTTTTAAGTTTTCCAGGTGCGTCAGCAATGGGTAAAGATGAATGGAATACCATTAGCTTGCCTGCACATTCAGATGCCTGAAAGAAAATATTAATTATAGTGATTTATATATATTTTCTTATGAAATAGTATTAAAAAAATTCAAATTACTTTTAATGCTTCAAGGCCAGCTTGGATAGCAGGAGCAAGAATTATTTCAGTTTCTTTAGTATCCCCAAACATGGTTGGTATTTGAGACATAAGACTGTCAATCAATGCTTCGCTTTCTACTGGATCGACCAGAAAACCATCGAGAAGAGGCATAAATACATCGTGCACGTCTCCGACAACCATCATTTGAGGTTGAGCTAAACTTGCTCTAAGATTATAAAATTGAACACTGCTGCTATAAGTAATAAAACCAACTTTCATTTTAGATTTCTTTTCTCCTATCTCAACTGGCAGGTTGCGAATAATTTTTTTCATCTGGTTACATAGCAAGCTCACTAAACGCGATTTCACGGTGTTGTAAGAAACATCAATGATAAATATAATTGCTGGTGGTTTTGGAAATGTGTTATCCTGAAATAAAAGTAGCAGTAATAAATAAATGTATTTTAAAATTAATCATAAAAGTACTTTAATACATACTCTACAATAGTCTTTAGTGGCTATAAACTCATAAGTCCCAAGTATCAATTCAGGACGTTCATAACGATCCATTCTCTGTCCTGTATGATCCAAATGTTGAAAATATTCAGCTGGTACTGTAAACAATAAATATATTGCACACAATTTCTCTCAAGAAAAAAATTTTTTTATTCTCAATTTTTTAAAAAACAACCTTCCGTAGTAGCTTTACAAAACATGCATTGAAACCGTCTACCGGCATCAATAAATTGCATGAATGGGCTCATATAAGCTTTACAACGAATGCAACGTACTGGACCAATATCTCCCATATCTACAATAGGTGGTTCATATTCACCCTCCTCTACTTGAGCTAATGGGCTAAGTATGAGAGCAAACGGGACTTGCGTCTAAAATTATTTGTTAGATATATTTATAAAAGCTTTTATGAAGAAAATAATTGTATTAGATGTATTTGATGTTGTTGATAATAACCTGCTTAATGATATCTACCGTTGTTGGCACAGAATACATAGATGACCTGATAAAGCGAGGTGATGCGTTTCCTTGATCCTCCACAGTGAATTTTGTAGTAACTAATGGCGGAACTAATCCTTTTTGATTTGTAGCGAAAACACCACCTTTGAGTCTTTGATCATCTTGAATGACTTGAATCTATGAATAAAAGTTATTTAATTATTTGTTCTATAAATTGAATATAATTTTTAAAATTTTTATACTTTTAGACTTACAGGACTAGGCATTTGTTCAGGATCAAGTCTTCTTGCTTGCTGAGATTGAGCACTGGATTGATAACCACCAGTAGGACTAGACAAACCAGTTTGATATGGACTTGTTTGATTGTATGCATTCTAAAAAAACGAGTTATTGAAAATTTATCTTTTTAGAAAATTGTTAGTTTTATAACTGTGTAAAAATCTTACAAGTTGTCCAGAATAGCCATAATTTAATTGCTGATAGCCTTGTTGGTGGCTTGGTTCGGAATGCTGATGATTTAGATGATTATAAGAGTTGAGGTTTTGTTGTCCTGGTAAAGACGCGCTTGCAGAATATTTTCTTTGTTCTGACATTTGATTATTACATGAATACTGTGATTGAAGATTTTGTGATGGTGAAGGTCCAGTCATGTTTTGATTTACATGAGAACCTGATAAATTTGGTTGCCCTTGTAGTGAAGTCCCTGATAATTCATTATTTTGACCAGGTAAAGGCGGTCTCAAAAAATTTTGATTTATTGCCGGTGAATTTTGAAGATGTCCAGGTAATGGTAGTCCAGATAAACTTTGTCGACTCGGCATTGATGGAGCAGGGGAAAGCGATCCAGGTAAAGGAGGACCAGACATATTTTGCTGGTTTATTGTAGGAGCTAGTCCTAGAGAAGGTTGAGATGAAGATGTTAATGTAGATTGGTTTTGAGATGGATATTGCCCATAAGGTTGTTGACTTGAACAAGCTGGTAGCATACTGGTTGATTTATTGGAAAGAAATGGTTCTGCTACATTAGGTTGATTTATTGGAGGAGCATAAAACTTATTCTGAGTTGACATTTGGCTTTGATAATCCATTAGTGGCAAGGTACCAGTAGTGCTTCTTAGAATATTTGTTCCTGGAGAACTTTGAGGAGGTTGATTTGAGTATGACATTTTTCCAGGAAATTGAGATCCTCCAGATGGTGGAAGATTAGATGGTTGTGATGTAGAAGGCCCTTGTTGATGATACAAGGATGGCTTAGGTGCTGCTTGTTCAGACTTCTGTACTACTGGTATATTATTCATACTCGAATTACCTAAAAGTAGAATTAAAATTTTCTTTTCTTTATTCAAAATTGAATATAGAACTAGTTACAATAATTGCATCACATGAATGCATTACATAAATGGGTAAATTAATACTACATTATTTTATTGGGAACTTGATATTATTTGAATTAATAGAATTCAAATTAAAGTACCTTGAGGTGGATAATGATTCTGGTTATTGACTCCATTTATGGCTGAAGACAAAGGCATTGTTGGCATTGTTCTATCTGTTTGTTGTATAAAACTTTGAGACAAGGGAGGCCTTTGGGATCCAGTTAGTGCCATGTTTGACATTTGATCCACTATGTTATTGTGATTTGGCTGTTGTGGTACTGTTTCAAGTTGTGCATTAGGTGCTTGTCCATGTATGTCGTTTACATGATAAGATGGTCTTGTAATAGGTGGAGCATTAATTGTAGGCTGAGCATTATTAGTTGCCAGTGGACCAGGTGATGGTCTTTCTATAGGGTATGTATATAAATCTTGCGTTCCTTTTGGAGGTAAGTTGGTATTAGGCTTTTCATAAGGTGCACTTTCTTGTGGAGCTCCATAAAGTGGACATTGTTGTTGCATATGTTGTGGATTCATATTTGTTCTAAAAAGTTATTACAAAATATAGATGTGCAGAAATACTACAATGTAAAGCAATATTTGAAATTATTATTTGAAAAAATTGTTTCTAAAAATATAAAAAAACTAGTTTATACAATACATGCTATTGGCTTAGGATTATTGATTGTTTACATTGTCTCAAAAACTAGATGAGTCACAATGATTCAGTCAATTTTTACTTTATTTACTTACCAGAAACAAAATACTAAAATAAATAAATCTATATATATATGTTTTTTAAGTATTTTAAAATAAATTCAAAGTTTTTATGTCATAATTGATCCTTTATATTAACAAAAAATAGATATTGAACTAATATAACCTATATCAGATAAAGCCTTTTTGAACTTGGATTGTTTTTTAATATTCACTTTTACTTTACACGTCAATGAAATAATTTTAATGGTATATTTAACAAAAAATATATTTAAAACCAGTTGCTGTATTTTTAATATATAACATTTCATTAATGACTTAGCAACTGATATTACATTTGATAGCTTTAGAAAAATTTTTCCTAACAGAGGTTTCTAACTGAATATTTTTGAATATAAAGTCAACAAATTATTTTTACAGCTTACAAACAAATAGATAATATTACACCAATGCATATGTTCATGAATATTTATTGCATTAGTGTCCCAAAAAAATAAAATATAACATTGCACAAATCTAATTATTCATGATGAGCTCTTGTTTCTTAGTCAATAGTTTATAAGTTACAGTAAAACAATCAACAATGAAACTTAGGAAAAACAATAATTCAATAATGTATAAACACAAATATATCTAAATAAATACCAGAATGCATTCGCCACTGTCAATCCTCCGTGAACATGTGTACCTATAATCTCCAACACAAGTAAATGTAGAATACACAAATGCAATTATCCCACGCGTAAAAATAAATGAAACACTGCACTGAGTAATCGTTAAATATATTTTAAGAAAAAAAAGGAAAAAGTATACAGAGAGATGAATCTATCACCTTCTTGGATTGTGAATGCGTGTGACTAAGAGAGTTAAGATGAAAAAAAGAGATTTAGCTTACTGTCGATTATTCCTTCACGACTTGATCGTCAAATCAGGCTTTGTCTACGATATTAATGAAACTCGAGTCTCACTTGACCATGCATTAGGGTGTTTTACATTTGCAGACTAGTGTGCCATCTTTAATCCATATCTAACCTTGAATGTCCTTGAGCTATATCTGAAATTTCGAAGCGAAGTCAGTCTTTAATCGTTGGGTTATTCGTGATATAAATTTTAGCGCCAGTTGGCGGTGTCTGCTTGATACGATACGAGTTTTTATTTGTAAATTTGAAAACAATAACGGCTCGATTTTTCTGATACATATGTTCTAACGACTAACGGTCGATGGATCACAATTACACAGGTATGATGTACGAATGGTTCAAATAAATTTAAAAATTATGAGTCTCATTCAGTCTATGATTGTTTTTATTGCTCTTTGTTTGGAATCTTTGTACCGTGTATCTTGTCTTAGATGTTCTATAATTCTAACGAGATTTTCTTTTGTTTCACTAGAGTGTTATTTGAAAAATTGAAATGGCTGTAGAAGCCTCAATAGTTGAACAGCTTCAGGAGCTTAGAAGGTGGCAATTACAACAACAGCAAGAATTGATAAAAAAGCAGCAGGAGCAACGTGAACTGCTTACTAATGAACAGAATCGACTGTATGAGGCATTGAGTTTGTCAGTTGATGAAATGAGTTTGAACAGTGATTCATTGAAAGAAATAATTGAAGAACAAAAAGTAAATGGAAATTTGATAGATCTTGAGATACCGGACGAGGATGAGTTCAAAACACCTAAATCAAGTCACAGCTTTTCACAATTTAATCCCCTTAGTAATGAAAACAACAATAGTAATGGTTTAATTTTGAATGTACCAAAGTTACAACTTGTTGGGAAAACTACTAAAAGTGATGTAAAACAAAATATACAGCACAATAATTCATATAATCAAAATGATTACAGTTCAGAACTTTCTATTTTAGATAGTTCACAACCATATTTCTTAGATAAGTTGCAAAGGCAAAGTGCTCCAATAGATGAGATGCCAGTTCCATCTCCAAAGAAAGATTTTATTACATTATTAGAAGAAAAATTGAAAGATTCTACAGAGGTTGTCACTGAAAGTAAAAATAAACCTATTGTGAAAAGACCATTTCTTAAGAAAGGTGAAGGACTTGTTAGATATATGCCTAATGCAAATCCTAATAAGATATCTAGGACTACAAGAGGAAGAAGTGCATCTTTTTCTTGTGAAACAAGAAATAACAATATAAGGCAGCCCAAAAAAACAAATTTAGGAAGGTGTAATTCTTTGCCTAGGTCAAAAAAAACTGATGTTCCAAGAAAACCTCTTGTCACTAATGCTTCTGTCGCACAACAAAAATTAACTCTCAAAAATATTCCTCCACCAAAAAAGAAATCTCGTAATAAATCTATTGGATTTCTCCCTAGTCCCACAGAGAAAAAAAAGCTATTAGTTAATGTCTCTGACTCTAACACATCTGATTTAGAAGTAAAGAGTAAGAAAGAAATGGAAGAAGTTAGAATATTTGAATTATTAGAGGACAAAGCTGAAAATTCAAGTTTCTGTTCAACCTCAAGTACAATAATAGCTTTCATGCAACAATCTACACCATTGAAGCATAAAGCTCTTTTGCATAGTGCCTCTAAAAATAAAATTTCCCTTTCTGATATAGGAGATGAAACATTGGATGAGCTTGTAAAAGCAACGAAATTAAACTATCACGTTCCACAATCACAAAAAAGCATCAAACATAAAACTCCTGATATTCCATGGGATGAAGTACCCATTTCAACATTGAATAATAAAAACACTGCTTCTGATGTTATTCTTCCTTATGGAACTGACATAGATGAAAAATATGAAGATGATATTTCAAATAAAGGAATGGATGAAGTGAGTATACTACAATATTTTTATCTTTATCTAAACAATACTTTCATAACTTAATTGAAACTTAATTTAAAATTTAAACCTTTTAGAATGAAAACAATGTAAGCCTCCATGTCAGATTTGCAGAATATAACGAATATAAAACAATGACAGATACTTCTAGCATTGCAAGTGATTCTCAAGTTAATGTAAACTATGTAAGCGAAAAAGGAGCATGGTCAGATTTTTCAGTAAATACTGATTCATCAGATATTGAAAACCTTATCTTATCTGAATTAAAAAAGAAATTGCAGAATAATAATAATATATTGGAAACTCCTAGATGTGTTCAAAGTAGTCAATATGATACTGATGAAGATGCTACTGAAGATTTCAAGAATGGTGAAGGAGACAATGACAATGAGAATGTTGAAGATGAAAACGAATTGAAAGATGAGACAATACAAGAAGAAAATGGAATTGTCATAGATGAAAATAATGCGAATCACTCGATATTTAAATCAGAACTTCTGAAAACACGTCTTCAAGAATTAGAACGGGAAATCGAAATTTTTAGAAAAGAAAGCGCTGCTCTGACTTTTCAAAGACAAAAACTTCAAGAAGAACGAACAAAATTGCAAGAAGAGCGCTTAAGCTTGCAAAGAAGCTACGAGGAGAAAGAGAAAACTCTCGAGATAGAGAAGAAAAGAACGGAAAATCATCTCCAGGAAGAGAAGAAGAGGTTGAATCGAGAAAAGACTGCATTAGAAAGTAGAATGAAAGATGCTTGGGATAAAGCGCAAAAAAGTAAACAGGAGAGACAGGAAATTGAAAAGCTACGTGAACAAATTGAAGAACTGAAAGAAGAGTTAAGTCAAAAAGAGAGTAAATGGTCAGCATCGAATGCGCGGCAACGAAGTCAAATGAGAGTTTTACAAACGGAAAATTCGAAGTTGAAGCAGGAGCTAGAAAAGCAGCAACAGAAAAAAAATGTTAAATCTAAAAAACCGACAACGAATACGCGAGCCATTCATCAAATTAACAAATTCTTAGCCGATCGTAAAAAGATATCTCCATTTAAAAACGAGGACGACTGTAATGAAGAAATTGTAAAAGCTACTGAACCTGCCAATGTTGCGTACGATGACTTGGATCTAGAACCAGTGGAATTGGATGAATTCCAGTCAAAAAATAACAAAAGTGAAAAAGTTAAAACTTTGAAATCTGCTGAGAGTATTGCAAGAACGCGAAATTTGTACGAAAGTTTATTGAGAGAAGCGACTGGTTGCCTTAGTGAAAATTATGTAGAAAGGAAAAATTTACTCAACCAACAAAAGCAAAATAAAGTACAAGATTCAGTTGATCATTCGGACAAAGAAGAACATAATTATAAGGAAGTGCAAGTTAACGAAATAAGAACATCACCCAAAAGGAAAAATTCAAAATCTCCTGAAAAAGAACAGCAAGAGTCGGAAAACTACAACGATCATGGAAACCATGTTGGAAATCCAAAACCAATTTGTAATAAACAAGGTATCAGAGAAGTCCATCATTCTGATGGTCGTGTTGAATATTGGTACCCTAATGGCAACGTTAAGAAAATTTTTCCTAACAAGTGTCTTACAAAAATGATTTATTACAATGGCGATGTTCGAGAGACTGATAAAAACGGTAGAGTTAAATATTTTTATGCTTCTACAAGGACATGGCACACGACTATGCCAGATGGTTTAGAAATTTTAGAATTTCCTGAGTAAGTATTTGGCTTTATCAAACTAATATTGTTTTCAATAAAAATTATTATTTTTTTTATTTACAGTGGACAAGTGGAACGGAGAAGTAAAGATGGTACGATTGAAGTAACGTTTCCCGACGAATCTGTTAGAATAGTTCAAGCGGATGGATCAGAAAAGTGGATATTGCGAGATGGAACTATTGCAGAAACTTCAAGTGACGGAGAAAAAATACTTACTTTACCTAATGGACAAAGAGAAATCCACACCAAGGACCATAAAGTAACTATTTTGTTTTTGCATAATTTAATCATAATTTTGTTAATTTTTATTTCGTCTTGTTTTACAGAGGCGAGAGTATCCCGATGGTACCGTAAAACTTGTTTACGTTGATGGAATTCAAGAAACGCGATACGCTAATGGTCGAGTTCGTTTGAAAGATAAAGATGGTAATCTTATAATGGACACTCATCAGTGACGTATTAGAATTTAAACGAAAGACTGATAGTCCTGGAAGAATATTTTGTTATAATAGAGATAAGAGATACTTTTCTTCAAGATTTCGCGCACGTGTAAAAAGTAATTAAAAAAAAAAATTTTAATATACATTTAATGATAAGGTCTTTTTTATGATGACAAAGAAAAAGAAATTTTATAATATCTATTTTTTACTTAAAAATACAAGGTTTATAACTTTTGGTAAAAAAATTGTGTTTATTTAAAGCTCTTAAGCACTATAATAAATTAGTAAAATATTCACATATCATTACTAAAAATACAACTAATGGTTTGATTTATAAAACAAATGACAGTCATACTTTTCAACAAAATTGAATTATCCAAAACATACATGCAAACTCTTGTCTAGTTAATTCTGAGTAGTACATTCTTCCAACATCTTAACCAAACAATACATTTGTCTATCTAGCGGTATCTTTGGTTCGTCTTTCTCAACAATTTGTAATAAATCGCCCATCTTTAGCTCTGTCTTCACTTTGTCATTCCTTTCTGGCAGATCATTTATATCGATATTTTCGAGTAATTGCAGAGCAGCTTTGAACGTCACGATAGTATATGAAAAACTGTCGTTAGGTGATATAGACCAAATAAAGTTTTCAATGTAGTACAAGTCTGTGCGAAGTCTTTGCGATCGACACTTAACAATGATGTAAAGAAGTAACGAAATCAAATCGGTAGTTTCTAACACACAAGTTTCTAAATCGGCGTCGTTGTCGTTCAACGATTCATTTCTCGATTTTACATCAGCCACAGCACCTTTGATTTCAGCGACAATGAAATCCAAAGTTTCTTTCAAACACATCAGCTTTTCCCAAGGTCCTTCACGGGTATCCAAAGCCGCTGATAACAAAAAAGAAAATAAAATCTTTAGTCGTTGAATTTACTATTCGCATATTAATGCATTGTTTTTATCGATCAATAAAAAATACATTTATTACCAAGTTCAACCATCGCAGACGGTAATGATACAACTAATGATTCTTTAACTCCCAATTGGTCTGGTGAAACACTGACGTCGATCAACTGGTCGATTTTATTTTTCACGAGCAAATCGCCCGGTTCCAACAAACTGATAAGTACAGGATATACACTGTCATGTAACTGATGCATCACGAATATTTCTAACGACAAACTCAACAATTTTTGAAAGCGAGCGTCGCGTTGAATGTCTAAACTTTGTCTTCGCATCGTGCTCGCCCAGTAGTCGCGTATTAATTTTTGTAAAATGGTTTGAATATCCTTGACATCTGTGAGTTTCAACGCTTCCATCTTCTTGATATCAGATTCCAAATTGTGGAGAAGGTCGAATTTGTCGTTCCTTAAATCTTTTAAAAAATCGACAGCCCTAGAAAATTAAGAATGGCAACTGATCTAATAAAATAAAAACAATAGATGAATTAAAACACACTGTTTGTAAGTCGTGATTGAAGTATCCAGGCGCAATTCACCCGATCGGGACTTTTTCGAAAACACTCGGTACTTTTTATGAATAGGTTTATCAATGATCACAATATTATATGGCTGAAATTCCTTATTGTATCCCTTCTCAATCGATGTTAATTTGACTTCGTAATCGTCGCTCGATTGATCATCGCTAATTAATTTCAAAGCGCCGTTTCTAATTTGGTACAGGTGTGATTCTTTCTCATCGGTTGATAAAAATTGCGTATTCGAACCTGGAAGCGGTCTCAGGATGTGATCATCTAGAAAGAATTCATTACAATAAATGTCTGTCATTTTTAGACACTACTGTTATCTTATGTTATACGATATAGATAAGAGCTTTATCAGCGTAAGGTGAGAGGTAGAGAAATGTAACACCGTATATGTACGTCAAATTTCAAGAATAAAAATATCTATAATATATATGCTTCATCATTTTCTTACGGAATGATTTACTTTTCATGATTTGATTTTACGAAAAGTTTGCTTACCGACAAATTTTTCCGTGATAGAAATATCCCTGAGCGAATCCCCAATCGGCACGCAAATAGTCCAACATTTAGTCAATGCATGGTCGTATTTTTTTCTATACTTATTCTGGAATCAACGTAATAAAATACATATAATGGTACTGAAATTACAAAATTACAAGAAATTCAACACTTAATGATTAACCCGCATAGCAGCGAAGTAAAAATATCAAACTTGTTGCAACGACTACAAAATAACTGCGTAATGATGAATGAAAAGAGACTGCTCACGCGAATAGCATGTAGCACGAACAATTCGTTTAAAAATTAGAGTAATTGACTGATTTACAAATTTTCTAAATATAAAAGGCAACTTGTAAAACAAAAATAAAGCTGCTCCAAAAAACATATATTTCGTAAAGTCACAGCCCCGAAAACTATATTAAAAGTGAACTCACTCTCAGTAATAAGTAAAATACGTTGTAAGACAATTCATCATCACCCATCGTTGTGACGATATAAAACACTAATTCGATGTAAACATTAATAACACATACGAAATTCATGTACCGTACACTTTACGAGATAAAAATACGTTGCTCAAGTTACATATTACAAAAACAAACATTATAGAGTACAACGATTTAATCTCGCGTGATCTCTTCACAGCACAGTTGTCGTCGCGAGACTGAGCGCTCGAAGGTAAAGGAAATTTTATAAGTGCAGGCCTTGGCACTTGCCTGAATGTTTGTGATTCCTACCTCTCTCGGGCGGTGATTTTATATTACGCCAAAGCGGTGCATGAGCATACAATGCACGCGTACCGTTTCACATTTCTCACGGATTTATAGCGTAAGATGTGAATAATTGATTGTGTGCCAAGAGCAGTTTACGAGTGTGTGTGGAAAGTGTTGGGATAAAATTACAGTTAAATTTTTGAAAACATATCTGTTACGCGCGTCTGCAAAATATATATGTATGAGTGCGTATAGTACAACTATTTTTCTCAAAATGGCTGTCAACTTTTGTTTACTGCTCGTCAGCTGAGTTTAATACTGATTTTTTTATTACGGAATTTACGGAGAAAACAATTAGTCATGTAAGTAAAAGGAATAAATTTTGTACTAATTGGGAGGTTATATATCGTGAGTTTGATTTCATATGTAGTTGGTGCAAAGAAAAATGCAAAAAAAAAATAATTATTGCAACGTAACCTTCTTCATAACTGTTATCATTGTTATCATTGCTACTGAGCATTTACACTATTATCTCTAATTTATGAAATTAAAGCTATTGACAATATGCTTACAGAAATAGATGGAATTTCAAACGGATGGTGTGAAGGAAAAAATAAATGCGCTCAGCACTAAGTGTCATATTGTCGAGTCCAGTGCCCGACAATAAAATGTCTCATCCAGATTATGAGCAAACGGCTCATGATCACGCAACGATATTAATATTACTTAAACCAATAGGCACGCAAATCAAGCAGAAGACTGTGACTCGAGTGTGTGAAAGAATTATCAAATGTGGAAGCAGATTCTCTGTGGTTGATTCGACAAATAACACTCGTGAGATACTTGCTAGGTTTGTTAAAGATCATCCTGTAGAAAATAATGATTGGGGAGATTTTCAGACTCATAGAAGATTAATAGGTATGAACATTAATTTTTTTCTGTCAACTTCCACTTCTCAAATTAGTTATTGTAATAATTTTGATTTTTCAGGACTCATAACATTTGGAAAATATGATAATCAGACTGAATTGAATGAACTTTGTAGACTACATGAAACCCTCAAAGTTAAGTACACTCAAACATTGTATGATTCAAGAGCCATTTTATTGGGACCAGTAGCATCAGAAAACGTGAATGAACCTCCACAATCTTTCACTACACCCCATAACTTTAAAACAGTGGGAATTTTTTATAGTGATGAGTCATGTCCAGATTTAGAATCTCAAATGATGCAATGTTTTCATTCACTTTTCTATATTTTGGAGTCAAAGAGATTAGAGCGTTCCAGAGAAAAGATTGAGAAAGTTGCTTTACTACAAGCACCATTTGAAAAGAAAGATTTCATAGGCTTAGATTTAGAATCAAGAAATAATCGTAAAAGATGTGTTGGCAGAGCAACAAAACATCTAGGAGATTTGTGTTTTCAAGCTGGTCTGCTTGGTGATGCTCTGAATTATTATAATAGTGCAGCAGCAACATTACAAGCAGTCAACGATTGGCTATGGCTTGGAGCAGCTTATGAAGGACTTTGTGCTGTCTCTGCTTTAATTTTATACCCAAACATGTGCAGAAGTCTACCTCTACAAAGAAATTCGTCTCTACAAGAAGGTAGTCCAGGAAAACAAAGGTAATAATTATGAATTTCTATTAATTCAAACTTATAATTAATAACTGTGACATTTATAAGGCGAGGCTCGCAAGCACCTACTGTTTTACCAGCACCGCCGACAATTGAAGCCGTAAAAGCTACAATGCCATACATTTTACCGCCAGAAGAAATATGCAAAAAATACCGCGAAGCAATTGTACACTACAGTAAATATCAAAACGCTGGTATTATTGAGACTGAGGCAAGCTTTAAAGCTACTAGAATTTCTATTGAACAGAATTTAACATTGCAAGCAGCTTCATTTCTAAACAACGCATTGTTTAATAATATGACTATGAATGAGCAAGAAAAGGTAAACTATAATCATTAATAAATTTGTCAAATAATACGATCGTTTCCTAACGAGTTAATATAATATTATCAGATTGATCGCTTTACTACATTGTCCGAATTATACGCCTCATTTGGCTATTCGCGGAAATCTTCTTTCTGCTTAAGATACGCTGCTTCGAGGTATGTTTCACAGTACAATCCAAATCCCGACTGGCAGCAATGTTACAACTTGCTTTTACAAGCTACAGCTGGATTCAAGTTATCTTTAGATCCAGTGGAAATGACACTTGGTGATCAAACTAAAAACTTTTATCTCAATTTTAAAGAATATATTTCTTTAACGTGAATTTTACTTGTAGAAAACAGAAAAGGCTGGCCATCCATTCAAATTCATTTATTAAACGAGTTAGTAACAGCGGCTAATCGTATGGGTAATCCATCGTTAGCAACGAGACATCTTACCTTTCTTCTACAGACAATGTACAACTATCTCACTCCAACTGAAAGAAAAGATGCAGCATTTCAACTGCAAGCTGTATCTCAGCAAAGTGAAGGTGCACCTGTTCCTCTCGTAAGTTTTTTAAAATTCTTGTCTTCTATTCTTATATTTTAAAATTAAATAATATCATTTGCGTTTTTTAGGTACTTGATTCCGGTACAGTAATTCCTCCAGCCAATTTAACAAATATTCCTCGAACGAAGTCGTTCACCCTAAAAAATTTGCAACCACATTTGCAACCTCAAAAAATTAAGCGTGTAAAGGAAGACCATGGTCCATTTCTATTTACACCGATAAATTTCGGCTCTTTAGAGCGTAAAAATCCATCCAAAAGTAAAGTTGACTACTTGTGGGTAGATGGTGATATATGCGAAGTATCAATGCAACTGATAAACCCGTTGCCTTTCGAGCTTCACGTCTCAAACATGAGGCTATTGACCAATGGAGTTGTTTTCGAGTCTATACCCGAAAGTATTACACTACCTGCAGAATCGAGTACCATTGCTGTTACATTAGCTGGCACACCGAGGGAAGTTGGTGATCTAGAAATTTTGGGATTTAGTACACATACACTCGGAGTAAAATCTAACTGCAGGTTAAGACATATGGAAAATATGCCTCATCCTTCTTACACTGTTGAAGTTGTACCTGCGTTACCAAGAATAAACGTGGAGACGAGTCTTCCGAGAACAACAAGTTTTAGTTCGGGAGAGAACATCGTAACTAGTGCCAGCATTTCTCTGTACGGAGGAGAAAAGTAAGTTCTGTCTTTTTTTTTACATTTTTAGACTTGTAAAGTATGTATGATTATAATAATTCCTTATAGTGCTGAATGTACTATAACAATAACAAACGTCAGCCAAGTACCTATCGAGATGGTAGAAATTTCAGTGCAATCAACATTAGACAATCTCACAGAAGCCAAAGTATTCACATGGAGCGATGAGAATTTGCAAGCTCAGTTACCCTTGCAACCTCAAGCTAGTGCCTGTATTACTTTGTACATGTACGCTGCTATAGATTTTGTTGTACCACACTCGCAACATGGTATTTAACTTTACCTTATTTGAAGTTTGAAAAAAGTAGTGTATTATTCTCTCACATTGAAACTGCATGTGTACCACAGAAATTTCAAGCACATACCTCAGTCAACCAAACAGCTTGATGTCGCACTCAGGTCCAAGCTCTCTACCATCACGACTAAGTTCCCCGTCGCACTACACCAAAAGACATACCGAGTTAACATCATCTTTTCGTTCAGGTACGAGTTCAAACTCGTCGAATTCCATGAGTAGTGCGCGATTGTCCAAACTTGCGATGCCATTGCATGCATCTAATATCGTCGAAGGTCAATTGAAAATTAAATACTCTGGTAGTGCTGGCTTGACTGCTGGATACTGTAGAGTCTCGTCAGTGTTTATCACGATAGAGATGTTGCCTAGTGTTCAGATTACTAGTTGGGATGTCTTACCGGCGGAAACGTGAGTTTTTGTTGATCGAAATAGTAAATTTAATTGGTAAGTCCCTTTATAATGTCAGAATGCTTTGTTTCAGACCTACGCAATTTTATTTAGTATTAGACGTAACAAATATGACAAATCACGAAATGGAATTACACTATACGCAAAGTAAATGCATTTATATGGAGGGTCGAGAGTCTTGTAGAATTCCTATTCCGGTTGATCGCTGCCCTTTGAATAAATTGGTAATAATAGTACTCAAATTCAACTATAGTCAATAATTTTCATAATTGTATGTGTATAAAAATGATAATTCTTTTACTTTTAGACTAATGGACCAGGGAACAATGATGACTTACAAAAAATTTGTGCAGATCATATAGCATCACTAGCTGAACTAAAGTGGCGCCTGTTAGGTACTGAATCCAAAGGAAAGGCTACCTTGTCAGGTATAACTTTGACGCAGGATATGTTAGATTTAGTAAGGATGAGCCCGTTACAATGGGGTAAGCTTAAACGCAAGTGTTAATTTGTTAATATGTCATAAAAATGATTAACTAAAATTATTATAAATTTCTAGAGGTCACAATAAACGACACACTTTTCAAAGCTCAGGATGAAGTCACGTGTAATTTAGGAGAATGTGTTAACGTTGGTGTTGCCGTTTCAAATGCTTTAGAAAATCCTTTGAGAAATTTAATGTTGTCTATCAATTTGTACCAAGACCATCATAATGGTGTTAATAATTACAGATTAGATACTAGAGTTTCAATTGCAGGAGCTAATAAAGTTATGCTTCCAACAGTAAGTTAAATTAATCAGCAGCAAAAGTAAAATGTTTTTTATTTATCGTAAGAAATAATGTTATATTTTTTAGTTACAAGAATCCGGACGTGCCTATCACGAGTGTCGCGTAGTTTTTCTTACTGCTGGGCAGTACAAAATTGATATTCAGTGCAGCAGTCGCGAATCATCGGTCGATTCGACAGCAGCTTATTCGGAATTGGCTAATGCTGGTCACACATGGCGTTATATACCACCAGTTGAAATAAGAGTGGAGGATTATTGATTATGTTGTTTATTGCTTATTTATATTACTATATTTATTTATTAGTATTTTGAAAATAAATTATTATATATTTTCCATAGATTTTCATTGACACAATTTTATTTAACATCATTTACTTTATCGGTCGTTATAGTTCAAGTAAAATATGATTCAGAGTACAGAAAACTATATTAAAATATTTCGTATCTACACTTATATAAACTTCTTCCAACAATTTTTTATGTAATGTTAAAAATATAAATGTTTTCCATACAGAATTCATATCTTGTTAAAAAGATAAAATTTATTAGACTTCTTTCATAGCTATTAGGTGATCGTACGATTTTATAAGCTAATAATGCACGTTTTTTGTTGAATCAATGAATATCTCTCAACAGATAACTTTAACACAAGACAGGTTGTATAAATAAAATTATTTATGTTACTTGTTTTTCTATTAAAATTCAATTGACTAATAAATTTTATTTTTTCGTTATAAAATACTCTACTAAAATTATTAATGGTTCGTTATTTTGTTCAAATATATATACCATTTGCTGTAATAATTTTTATAAAAGTCTTCCAAACTTCGGTTTCTTTCCTAAAGGAATTATTTCCATTTGCTCTAACTGTCTTCTAAAACGCTTGTAGAAGTCTAAAACGTGCTTGTTAGCCCAAACTTGATTAGAATCAAAGTCTAAAACTCTAAGAGTTTGTAAGCTTTGAGCTCTAGATAATGCTACATAAGCTTGTCCAGCATCAAATACCCTAGCAAGGCTCATTTCAACACAATCCAACGTTAGACCTTGACTTTTGTGAATAGAAAAAGCCCAAGCAAGCTTCAGAGGCAATTGTTTCCTATAAATAATTGCTCCTTGAGCCGTTTTAATACTCCACTTTTCCATCTTGGCTTTGTAATTACCTGCAGTTCGAAAATGAATAACTGGCAAATCTTCTTCAAATTTAATTACAACACCTCTGGCTCCATTTACAAGTCCAGCATTAATGTTTAGATTTTTTAGTAACATCACTTGTGCTCCTACTTTGAGTACAAGTTTACCAGGTACAGGTAACTGTTGATCTAATGACTTTGTCATGGATTGATCTGAATCTTGAGCATTGTATACTTTTAAAGCTCCAGGTAGCTTTTCCAACTGAGATTCATTAATTTCATTAGCTTCATTTACATGGGAACACAATCTAGTTGCCAGAATACCTTCACTTTCAATCTTCTGTTTTGCTGTGTTTCTTAATATTTCTGTAATTTCATCTGTTGCTTGTCCTATTCTTAATTTATTGAGAATGTTAACAAACTTTAAATCCTTTTGCCTATAAACAGTTTTAAGTTCAAAGTTCATATTAATACATTTTGACCAAGTATCACTCTGAAAGCAAAATTTTACTTTTTCATCTTTCTTAGCAACAGGTGGTAGTTGGAAGAAATCTCCACACAATATTAGTTGAATCCCACCAAATGGTTTGTCACTATTCCTTATAAATCTAGCAATGGCCTCTATTTTGTCAAAAAAGTCTCCATCTACCATTGAGATCTCATCAATAATCAAATGTTTGATTTTTCTCCATATTGTACCAGCTGCAGACTTTGATACCATTTGCTTACATCTCTCCATCGTTCCAGTTCCTAAACCAATACCTGCAAACTGATGCAACGTTATACCTCCTATATGACAAGCAGCTACTCCAGTACTTGCTGTGGCCATTGTTACATCTGGAGGCAAAGCAGAAATAATTTTTTTCAAAAGGTAAGACTTTCCAGTGCCAGCACTACCAGTAAAAAATATGCTGTATCCTTTCAATACATAATCTAAAACGTTTTGTTGTTCTGGTGTTATTTCTCCAGTTGCATGATGAGTGAATAATTTTTTTGCTCTTGGAATTTTTGGAGTAATTGAAGTATTACCAGTGTCATTATCAAGCTTTCTTTTACGAATGTTTGTAGGTGAAGGAGTAGTAACAGTAGCACGTGATACTGCAACTTTCTGTTTAGCTCTAAGAACTTCTGCAGTTGTTGCAGGACTGATATCTTCAACACAATTTCCTTTGTTACTCATTATTTTTTCACGTAAAGGATTCTTAAAAGGCTTATTATTGTCTTTATTCGACAACTTTATAAACATTGTCTTCAAAAAATTCATAAGTTGAGAAGCAGGTGCATTAGAGAAAAACACAGTACAATTTTCTGCTTTGAATTTTATTGAAGCCTTGCCTTCAGCCATAAATCTATTAAACACTATGTAGTCATGTAGGTGTAATTTAATTGTAGCACCAGCTGATTTTTCAGGTTTTATTTCAATCAAAACTTGACGAATACTATCTCTCACAAGTCTTGATGTAGCAGATCGATAAGTAACTTTTTTTGTGGTTGTACCTTGAGAATTTATCCATTCTACAATTGTTATACAAGTTACACTAACACTATCAATATCCATTGTCCTTATTTTGTTTGTACCTGTTACTGCAGTGATAATATCTGAAATGAACACAAAAATGTTAATTATAATATAAATTTTAGTAAGAAAGCAAGTTTCATACTTTTTAATAAAGTAAAGAAAAAAGTCGTGTCGTGTCAACTTGAGCACGTAAAAATTACAACATCGATCACTTAAAAAGATAAACATTTTTGCTGATTTAGCAAATAACTTAAGTGTATATGTACAGAAACATAATTACGATGGAAGTGTGCGAGTGATTTTTCAAGGAAAATAACGAATATTTATGAAACTATATGTATCCTACCAACTCAAATTTAACTGAAATAAAATGCAAGTTTAAAAGTATGCATTTCATTCATATTAATGCATATTTAAATAATAAACAATAATACTCACTTTTGAGCGGGAACTTCTACAATATCGTCCGCAACAGTCATTCATTCTATATATGAAAATTTACCTTGTCACACCAACCTGTATAAAGTAGCAGTGAGCGCACATTACAAATATGTTGTACATATATATAGATATATATATATATATATATATAGACTCCCTTGCACACATATGTACAAATTCAATTAGAATTAAAATTAGAAATAATTTCATTTATTATTTCTGAAATTTTCTTGTTTATCAATATTTGCTGATGTTACATACAGGTTTTGTACACATTTTATCGGAAAAAATGTTTACAAATTTTGTACTAGTATTGCACAGATTTTTACAGATTTGGCCCATGGACTCATTTTTCAGATTTTGCACAGTTGTCGAAATTTGCAATTGATTTTGATATATATTTTTTTAAATATACGGCAATCGTTGCCCTTTCTGATATTGAAGCCACCTATAAACATTGATCAAAGTATTACATCTATTATCAATTAAAGTCAATAAATCTAGAATTGTGGCAAACCAAATTTTTTACAAAAAAAATTTCAGACTATATTTCTTTTGCATTAATGATATTACTAAAAATTAAAAGTATTATATAATTTTTAGATCAAATGTCCTACTGTACGTGCCAAGGCGTCTTTCTTTTAATTATAGTGCCACAAGTTTCGATATGTCAGGCATTTGAATTTTATAACTGATTTTTATAAAAAAAATCCTCAGGAATTCGTCGAAGCAGGAATTTAAAAAGACTACCTTTTGAGTTATTTGCAATTATTTAAAATACAAGTTAATAACTTTTGAAAAAACAAATTAATATTTTTAATTATATTTTTTATTGCAATTATTTAGAAAGTTTAAAATTTACTCATATTTTAACTTCGATATCTTTAAGCCTTTTGAAAAAATGTTATCATTTTTCCTTAATAGTTAATAACTTTTGATATAATTAATATTTCGAGATGAAAATTAAAAAAAACTTTCTTTCAATATGTACGATAATTATGCAAAATATGAAAAAAATCCGTGACCTCTGGCTTCTTTGAGCCCATCAAAATTGCTATAAAAATTACACTACCCATATATTCTTGTATAGAAATTTTGTATATATTTATGTATATTCATATGCTATTTAAACATATTATATTATACAAATTTTCTTTTTAAAAAACACTTATTAAGGAAGTAATGTAAAATCAAGTAATTAATTTAACTCTTACAGATTAATTTCAGAAGCGAAAAACTTGCGGTACTGCGGTACGAAGTTTATGGAAATTAATGAATGTTATAGTTTAATATAGGAATTTGAAATATTAAATATCTGAATTTAATTACTAAAGCTAAAAAACCAAATACTGGACATGTATGCATGTATATCCATAGTCTGAAAAATTCGTAAGTTTTTTTTTTTAATATTACCGATTACAGATTCGCAGTCACTGCCACTTTTCGACTCACGTCTACTCTACTCTATCACTGTTGTTCGCGCTCACATAACCTACACATTATCCCAAGCGGTCTGTGTTCTTTCTTTTACTGGGCACGCAAGGTGAGCAATGAAATTGTTATAATCATTAAACATCAGTCAGTACTCGCACTTTTTGTTGTTTGTACCTTGCAATAATCAAAAGTGGATTCGTCAACAATGCAAACTTCTTTATATTTATTGTATTCGCAAGGTTTTTATATTAATTTTTTATTTCCAACATACTGTTCAATAACTTAACCTACATATCAATTTCATAATTTTCACGTTTGTTTTATCATCACGATTATTAACATAAGATTGATATTTAACTGTTTTTAAGATCACAATAAAGGTTAAAATTATTTTTGTTTGTAATTAGTTCGAATTGCTTAAGTAAGAAAAAATAGATTAAGTTCGGCTGATTATGCTTATTTTCTTTTATATGCAGCAGTTTTATTAACGATATACTGTTATAATTAAACAATATAATAATCAAGATTCTTTAATATCTACATTTTTAAGTGTAGTAAATCGATAAAACTCATTAGCAGTTTTATATCGTCCCGGTGATTTTATAGATAACGTCTTGTGTACTGCATTGGGACTTCATTCCAAGTGAATAACATAATTGAAGTTGATTTTATTTACAGAAATTCGGAATGGGTGCATACAAATATATGCAAGAGCTTTACCGCAAGAAGCAGAGCGATGTGCTCCGTTTCTTGCTGCGTATCAGATGCTGGCAATATCGCCAGTTGACTAAGTTACACAGAGCACCCAGACCATCTCGTCCTGACAAAGCACGCCGTTTGGGATACAAAGCTAAGCAAGGTAATGTCTTTAATACTAAAGAGCTATAATTATCTAGTGTTATAATAATAACTTACAGTAGAATGAAATTGTTTTCAAGTTTAGGCAAACTTATTTCTCAAATTATTATTCATTAGCCTTGATGTTTATAAGAGAAATTCCTATTTTTTATTTAAAATGATGAATTGTACATGCACCACTCTCACCTTATATGTGGGGATTATGTATTTCTGATGATCCATTATAAATTGTAAAAGGGATGTAAATGTAGTCTTCTTGAAAATTCATAAATGATATGTTTTAAAACAGGATTCGTCATATTCAGAATCCGTGTTCGTCGTGGTGGTCGTAAACGACCTGTTCCCAAGGGTGCTACTTATGGCAAACCAAAGAGCCATGGTGTCAATCAGCTGAAGCCTACCAGAAAACTGCAATCTGTTGCTGAAGTGAGTTTCTTTCAATTTTTCAATTTGTTTATAACTTTAGCAACAATTTTGAATGATGATAACCATTTTTACTCATGAATAAGATGATTTATTTTCTTCCTTGGATGTCTGAAGCTCAAAAAATTATAAATTCTCTGACCTTAACATAATTATCAGTTTATTAAAAGAAACATTATTTTCTGTTTTTTAGGAACGTGTGGGAAGACGTTGCGGTGGACTCAGAGTATTGAACAGCTACTGGGTAGCTCAAGATTCCTCATACAAATACTATGAAGTAATTCTTGTTGACCCAGCACACAAGGTAATTGCCACATTTAATCTTTTCTAAATAAAAAGTTTCCCAACTTATTGGTTCTTATATTCTTATTTGTTTTTTTATAGGCAATTCGAAATGATCCCAAGGTTAATTGGGTTTGCAATGCTGTTCACAAACACCGTGAACTTCGCGGCAAGACCTCGGCTGGCAGGAGTTCTCGTGGCCTCGGCAAAGGACACAGATTCTCACAGACCACTGGAGGATCACGCCATGCAGCTTGGTTACGCAGAAACGCCCTGTCACTTCGCAGGAAGCGTTAATCTGTCTTATAAGCCGTGGAATTTATACTATCTATTCAATAAAATCATTTTATTTCAAAATCCCACTGTATTATTCATAATTTCGTCACATATTAAGAAACTATATTTATTTTACTTAATAATAGCTGATTTAAAGCTTTTATATATAAATTAAATATATATTAACATTTTTTTGCAAACGACTAATATCGTTGTGAAAGATTTATCGTTATTAAAAATCCGACACGCAACAGAAAAATGTTTGAAAAGTATATTTCATACCAAACTATTTGACAATTGTAATTTTGTGAATGAGAATTCTAAAATTATGTTCAGTTATTGATCATGTGATTTTATGAATAAGTAGTGACCAAAAATGTAAGACACATGTTCTACTATTAACTAGGTTATGTTTAGTTTTGTGTTTTGAATGAGGGATAATAAACATCATGAGCCATGAGTTCGCAATGGAAGAAATATTTACTATGGTTCGCTCACGAACACGTAGAATTTCGCATACCAGTTAGTAAACAAATTCGTATATGTTTCTCTAATATAAATACATATTCATATAACAATTCATTTATTAATCTATAGGAAATGGATTCGATATTCAGCATGTTCGACATAACCTTAGGGCGTGTTATCAAAGCAACAGAACATGTGAGTTAAAATAGCATTGTCGTATCGATTTTTCCATCAAAATTATTGATTGTTTTATCAATAAATTATTTCAATTTCACCAGCCATTCTGGATAGTTGAATTACCGTCCGAAGATGTAGCTCGCACAATAGCTAGTAGGTCAGTTTTACTTCGCCACTGCATTGAACTATGGGCACATTCAAAGATTGTGGATGGTCTTCATGCAAATTTAAAATCTTATCCTCAAGATTTAATGGAACCTTACCTAAATACTGCATTTAAAGTTGTTGTGGAAACATTTTGCAAGCATTTTACTCAAAGAGAAAAAGTAGAAAAGATTGAGGTAACAAATACAATTTTCATCTAAGTATCTTTTTTGCCTTTAGCTGTAATAATGATTGGACATATATTTCAGACTTTTAATTATTTGCCTTTGAAAGGCTCAGTAAATTTAAAGAATCCAGATACAACTTTATTTTATATAGAATATTATGGCCAAGAACCAAATAGTAATCCAGAAAATCCTGAAGATTTGTTTTTTGGTAGATGGGTAGGTATTTGATTTTTACATCCATTTGTAATAATTCAGACTGATATGTATCTTAATTTAGAATATTGTTATTTTATAGATTGCTGATGGTCAGAGAGATAAGATTCAAAAGCTTTCCTTAAAATCTAGAAAATTTATAGGCAATACTTCTATGGACCCACAATTATCTATATTAATGGCAAATCAAGCACAAGCTAAAGCTGGAGATATTATTTTAGATCCATTTGTTGGTACTGGTTCATTATTGATTCCAGCTTCAATGTTTGGTGCTTATACTTTAGGTACTGATATAGATTATTTAATGCTTCATGCTCGTACAAGGCCTAGTCGAATCTCACAAAAAGTAAGTCATTTTTATTTTACTTTATATAAAAATAATTTGTCTGAAAATTGATTAATAATCAACGAATACTTTTAGAAAAGAGAAGAAGATGAAAGCATAGCTGCTAATATGAAACAATATGGAGTAGGATCTCGCTTTGTAGACGTTATTGTATCAGATTTTTCACGAGAAATGTGGAGACCAGATATAAAATTAGATGCTATTATTACTGATCGTAAGTTTATCGAAAAAGAATAATCTAACGGTGGGATTTTATGATTAAAATTTTACAGCTCCTTACGGTATTCGTGAAGCCGTAGAACGGATAGGCACGGCCAAAACAAATCCATCTATAGAGGAACATCAAATTGAAACGCACATTCCGTCCAAAGTTGTGTATGAGTTATGGCAATTATTTATAGACTTGTTGAATTTTTCTGTAAAACATTTAAAGTTGACTGGGAGGCTGGTCTTTTGGTTTCCAGTATTCAGGTGTTTTTTCAAACTTTTTTTTAAAAACTTATTTTACTTATTTATTCTTAAAATCTTATTTTTCATTTAAGAAAACAATACTCCGAAGATCAATTGCCTATCCATCCTTGTCTAAAGCTTGTAGCTGATTCTGAACAAATTTTAAGTACTTACACAAGCAGACGACTACTGACGTACGAAAAAGTCAAAGAAGCAAAGGTACTTTTTGCTTCTCTATTACAATACATTCAGTTAAAATATAATGAAAAGAACATTAATCAATATTTCTCAACAGCCTGATGATCCTTCGTGTAAAATAGGTGAAGCAAATTTCCGGGACCAGTATTTCAATTACCGCGAAGAGCTGCGTAGCGTGAGACGAGCGCGAAAATCTGCCGAACGTTTGAAACTCAAGGAAGAATGGGAAAAGAGGAAAGTGACGAACGACGTGATTAGAAAAGAAAACGAAGCAAGTTATTCCTTAAATGTATAATATAAATATAAAATACAGTTATTTCGTTTTTATCAACTAAGGAGTTTACATAGTCACCATCTTACTCTCTATGTCAAAACATACATGAATCATGAAAATGGTATGTGCTATACATACAAAAATTGCAGATGCACGACATGTATGTATATAAATAATGAGTCAGAGTGCAATAAAAACTAAAAGGAGTAATAACATCGTAGCAAAAACAGTACAAAATTATAGTTTGGCATATAACAGTACAATTGGCACCATTAGTCATCTCGAGTGCAATTGCAAAGATGAACTTCCCATAAAATGAAGAAGTCTTTCGTCGATATAAGTTTGTGCGTCGCACGAATAGCTCGACAGTATCAAAGAGATGCATGTGTATTTTTTAAAAATTATTTTCAACACACAGTTGTCTCGTTGTCGTTCCCTTTAGCATTTTTTTATTCGCGCAGAGTTAAATTATCAATACGTGATATAATCGATTATCCAACTCGATAAGATATATATATATATATATATATATATATATATATATATATATATATATACACGTAAGATTTTTTATATCGCTGCGCTGATCCTACTAGTCGATTATCTCTCAAATGCCCAAGGGAACGTCTCTCTCGTCGTCTCGCAAAAAGTAAAAAAATTGAATACTACCGATTGAATGTGGAACGTAGCAATTTTCACTTGGACAATTTCCTACCAGACTCAGCGTTGACGTTAAGCGTCTCCGAATCAGACTTTGATACGACTCCCCTACCAACCATGGGCATGTGTTCTTGATCTTCATCTACTGGGAATTCGTAGATAGGTTTGAATCCGCCGAACAAAACTGGTTTGAAATTGTCGGGATCGAAATTATCATCATTCCTCTCGGTTTGCGTTTCGTTCTCGATCGATTCATCCGTTGACTCCTTTTTAGTATCTTCCTTGTGGTTTGTGCGTTGTTCGGTGCCGTTATTAGTCGAGACTACGACGCTCCAGCCATTCTTCGCGGGCATCTCAGCCGATACACTAGCGACGAATGGTGCCATGAAGTTTTGCGGCGACGGTGCCGACGAGGATGAGCTGCTTGGTTGTTGCGACGGCAGGAGCACTGGTTTTTCATCCTCATGACTGTCGAAGTCGTGACGACTGATCGCAACAGGTGTGGTAGGCGTATAAACGAAGGCGATGGGGCTCGACGACGATACGACGGGGAGACGTGGTAACGTCGCTGAAATTGTTGCCGAGGGCTGCTGCTGTTGTTGAGATTGTTTCTTTGCGGGGTAGGGTAGGAAATCTTGAAGGTAGGAGATTACGTTAGGTTCTTCTTCGGGCTCCTCGTCGGCTTCGTCACTCGGCACAAGCAGAGGTTTTTCGCGTACCAGCATCGGTGAGTCAATGCCCGTGGGTGGAAAATTCTAAGAAGCAAAATGAATTAGCGTCAATTTGAGAGACAAACAATTGTCCGTTTAGCAGCGAACGTAAAATGTACCTGCGGAAATTCACCATTGACCTGATTGAATTGCGGTCTCGCGCCAAAGAAGTATCCCTTATCATCGCCATCCTTGTGCTCCTCTTCGTCGTCCTGAGGCAGCGTGTCGGGTGGCAATGGACGGTGAGGTCCTCGAGTACCAATTACTACGGATTCGTCGCGCTCGACCGTATCCTCTTGGCTGCCAATGTTGACGGCACTGTTCACCGGGTAAACCACGTAAACGGGACCAGACTCGGACGTTCCCGCTGCATTCGATTCGTCGCTGTCCTTGCGACGTTCTGCGTCGCTATTCTGTTGATTATTATCGAAATTGCTTATTAATTCGGTGCTTGCATTTTCTTTGCTACCGCAAAGGTACCATGCGAATGATCATAATTGACATACGCAAACAAATAGTTAGATAAAAAAATAATGATTTTGTCCAATGTTCTCATCTTTGCGAAGTATTTATAATGTACAATTGCTGGATATTTGTGATCAAACACGCTCGATTTAACGTACCGTTTACCGCAATAAATAAAGATATATCTTTCAATGCTTAGTTGAGCGATGACTTACCGAGGTGGAGCTTTCTTCGATGTTCGCCTCGTCGTCACTTGTCTCGTCTGACCGATTAATCTTGAACAGTGGCGGCAAGTTCGACTTGATAATTTCCTCGTCGATGCCTCCCCTCTGTTGGATCATTTGCAGCGTTGCGACCTTCGGCATCTGACTGTCAGCTCTGTTATTTGGAAAAATAATTGGTCTGGGCGGCACTTGTGGAGGTTCGGCTGAGAAACGGTCGGCTATTTCGTCTTCCATGCGAAGCTTTTGCACGACAGGTCGACCGGGGTTGGCGTTTGCTGGAACTGGCGGTCGAAAGCGCTTGTGTTGTTCTGGACTTGGTGGAAGTTGTTGGATCGCTTCTTCCTTTTTGCGTAGAATTTGATTATGATGGTGATGATGATGAGGTGGCTGTTGATTTGGGGATGGCGGAGGTGGTGGACTTAGACGTTGCAAGTGAGTTGGAGGTGCTGAGATTGGATGTGGTTGAGGTTTTCGTGAGGGGTGAATGTGCGGTGGAGGAGATTGTGGTCCGGTTGGACGAGGCCGATTTGGATACGACTGGGGGGCTGGCAAGGTACCTGTAAATACGTTTGATTAATAATTTTTTGCAAACCAACATTCAGATACGATAGAGACGATATCTCTAATTAAGCTGGTACTTGTTTGCATGTGAAATATATGTATGCGGAATTTTTTTTTGCCAAATACAAAGGTCAAGAATATTCTCACGAAAGACCTTCGAGAAATCAACCATTCATATGAATTCATGCTAAGAGTAATGTAAAAATTGACAACAAAATACTTTGAGCTGAAATTGAAAGGTTCAACTCAAGACCCGATTCCCACAGATTCGCTCGCGTGATCAAACGTGCGCTTTATCATTCTTCGCAAAGCCTATTCTACTTCGACTCTCGGCGTCAGACGTAATGATGATTGAGATTAAACAGTATTCGCCGCAACAGCTTGAAAAAAAGAACTTTCGAGCTGACATAGTTTTGCGACAAATTTTAGCGAGCGTATAAGTTCTCACGGCGACGCTGCCGAAGAAGTAGGCAGTCGTGCCACATTCGTGCGAGACAGCTATAATAATGGCTGCACATTCTCTTTCGCTTACGTACACTAGTGATGTGTATAGCGCTCTTTGCGCACTCATCTTTTATGTCTTTTTTATGAATTCATTTTAATGCACAAATATAGATGAAAACTTTTATTGGTGAAATTAAAAACTCAAAAATTCAATGTTCTTTCAGTATTCCCATGACTTGATAATATGTGAGATATAGCCAATGATATTGTCTATTGGTGAATAAATATGCAGTTACGTTGATGATTAAATGTTCTCAATATGAAGTTTTAAGTTTTATCATAACAGTATCATATAACAGTATTATATGTTCTTAAAACATTATAGTTTTCTATAATCATATTCTTCGCGATTTAAAAACATACTTCGATAGACGTTCTCAGTCGTAATTAGTGAATTAAAAAAAATCTAATATTATTACGTAACCAAACAAAGTCGAAATGACTGTACTATTTTATCGCTATAATTTTTTGATTTTTATCTTTTATTGTATATTCTGTTTATCCGAAGCTAAACTTTCGATTAGAGCAAAGTTCAATGAATTTCTCTATCGACGATTAATTTCTCACGTGGTCTTTTTTATGAGATATATAAGAATATATGAATTATGGAGTGAATTGTACTTGTTTGTTGAGATTGAGAAAGAAACTACAGCGTCATTTTGAATAGCGTGTCGCGTCGCGAGGATAATGCCATAATGCGCCGATATCCCACTTGATCATTGTCGCGAGGCTTTTACTTTTGTAGAAAGCGCGATGAATCTCCGCGGTCGCTCGATCTTTCATATTCAAGAGGTGAAATTTCACATCGAATCGTCGTAATCAATCTGGCTGACACTTACCAATTTTGTCAGTGCCGCGATGTCCATGAGAAGTCTTGGCATTAGGTCTGAACTGTGGCAGAATATTTGGTAATTTCTGATCATGTGGAGGCGGTCTTCTTTTAAAGCCTACCGGCGGATATTCGGGCTTCTGTCTTGGAGGTAGCGGTATCCTCTGCGGACGTGACGGAGGACTGCCAGAGTTCGGTCTATTGTTTGCATGCTGGTAGTGGAAGTAATAAGGTGGTCGTGGACTTATTCCTGCCGGTGGTGGTCTGCCAATCAAAATAACGTTTACGTTCATTGCACACTTGACGCTCAATTGACTTGCTTACCTTGATGGTTGATTTTTAGCTGGCGGAGTCAATCTTTCCGATAATTGCGGAAGATTGGGGTTGCCGACCTTCGTACCAGCCGATCCATTGGAATTTCCGCCGAGATTGGTCGGTCCGGTCGGGGTGATCTCCTTGATCGATCCATCGGCTTGGTTAATAACGATGACATGCTCCTCCACCGGTCGTACATTCTGTACTTGGCTTTGCTCGTCCGGCTTGTCTTGAGGAGCCTCGGGGAAAGTAACGAAGCCAGTACTCGTAGGTGCTTCGTCCTTCTGAGTGGCATCGTTCGCCGGCGGGAAAGCGAAACCCGACTGTGCTTTGGTATTCTGCGACTCGCTGTCGCTCGGATGCTGGCTGGCAAAGTTGCCGTTTTGTTGCTCTGTGTACCACTTGGTCGGGTTGTACGGCGGCTGTGGTTGTTGTTGAGAATTGTCGACCACGGCAACCGACGACATGGCTACAGACATGGTTTGGTCGAGCGCTGTTTGCGGGACTTGTGCGTTCGAGCCCTGTGAAGCAATTTCATCGCAAATAAATATGCCTGAAAGAACAAGCCAATGACACGTTCACGACTGTGTACGCTTACCGAGTCCGCCATCGGTCTGAAAGTATTCTTATTGGAATTCGGCGCCAAAGGATGCTCCTCCGTCGCAGCGCCATGGCTGTAATAACTCCCCTCGACATTTTGCCGGTTGCCAAGTACGAACGACACGGTATCTTGATCGTGAGGCACAATCACGTTGCTCGTACTCTCGGGCAAGACGCTAATCACACTTCCAGGTCTGCCACCGTACACGCTACCAGGGAAATGGACGCTTCCGTGTCCGACGTTATTATTGTTACTGTTGAAAAACTCGACGGGTCGATGACTCTCAACGAAGTTTTCATGCACGGGTGGCACGTGAGCGGGACTGTCTAACGGCAACGACGTCACTGGCGTTTGTTGAGCCGGCTTATTGGTTGTCAAGTGTACGGTTGGCGTGGACGGACTTATTGTAGTTGTCGTAGCAGGTGATGCTGCTGCTGGTGGAGTTGTAGTTGTAGTGGTGCTCGTCGTGGTAGTTGTTGTCATGAGAGTCGATGGAGATATCTCGAAATCGACGTTTTGTACGACGTGCGGATGTTGATGATGATCCAGTGGGATTTCTTCGTGAGACGAGTCGTAATACTCGTAACCGTCGCTGTACTCGTAATTTGGTTGACTTGCCGGTTGCGTGAAACTTTGTGGGCCGTTGTTGTGTCCGTTCACTTCTTTATTTTCGGTAGGATAGTTAGTTCTGTCAGAGATTAAGAAAATAATAAAATTCGTTTTTTTTAACCGACGAACGCAAGTACTCACCCATACTTTGAGCCCTGCATTTTCTCGATCGGTAGCATCTCCTCGAATTCCCCGTACTGCTGGGTGGTACTCTTAGACGGTTTCCAAGTGGTGACTTTGAGTGCAATGGAAGGTGGTGGTATGGTCGTAGTGGTCGTAGTCGTAGTAGTTGTCGGTTTGGTTACTATCATGGTAGTTAGTTTCTTCTCGGTTGGCCTTGGAGTCGTCGTTGTTGTGGTGGTGCTCGTCGTTGTTGGTTTTGACGTTGTTGTAGTTGTGGTCGTAGTAGAAGTTGACGTGGTTTTTGGATAATAAACCCTACGAGTTTGCGTGCTAACAGACGTCTAAATAAATGACAAATAAAAAATAAGCACGGTTACATTCGAATTCACAGTTTATAAATGTCATTAGATTCGTAATTTTTATACTTCATTAAAGCTCACCTCAGTGACAGTCTCTTGGTGATACGACGGCCGATGATTATTAATATTATAACTGTTCGAACCACTTTGTACCTTCGTATTGGCATACGAGCTCGAGATCAATGGGTAACTCTCTCTGTTGTACTTCTCCGAGGTGTACTTCACCGGAAGATTGAGGAAATCGTGGAAACTCGGAGAGTATGGATTGATTTCGTTTGGACCGACTCTCTCGTTCTTCGAATTAGTCGAAACCACGCGCTTACTGTCCGAATAAGTGACTTTGTCGTATGGCTGATCGATACGCGCTGTGTCGTCATTTTCTGGCTGTGTTTCTTCTTCATCTTGATAGATCTCCGTGAGATTTAGAGCTTTTAAGGGTGGAGTCTTTCCGAGGTCGATTTTGCCTGTTATTGGATCTTTTTCTAAGGAGAATGGCTTGCCACCGTTGAATGCGTAGGCGAAAGGCACTTTGTACCTTGATAATTGTAAAATTATTTATTTCATGGTTTCGATTAAAAATGGATTTTGTGTAATAAAACAATTAATAAATAGATTGCGATAGCAGAATTTTCTGCCGTTGTAACTTTTTGAATGAAACGAGCACGCTACAATTGAAGATTCACAATAGCTAATAAAAATATCCGAATTTACATTAAAAAAGAAAAGGAAGACTGAATGGTGATTACCTTGGTTCCTGATCGGGATAAGGCGTTGAAGCGACGCTGGAACTGCTTTCTTCGGCAATCAGATCCAGGCCATCGTCTTCGGCGGTCCTCGCGAGAACCAAATGCGCTGGATTTGACCACACCGATGGATCTTCCACGAGCGGCGAATTCTTATTGTCTAAATGACCACCCATCAAGAAGTCCGCCGATGCGCACATTAATGACACGCTGGCGAACAACAACGGTGACCAGACTGCTGATCTCATTTTAGTTTTCTTTTAATTCTGCAATGAAAGAGATATTTGAAATTTTATTTTAGTTATTATGAAAGTGAAAGATGAATTAGTCTTCATCTTATTTATAATTACTGTGAAAGTTGATTAAAGGAATTAGCGTGGATTTTAACAGAATCAATTTCTGAAGTCAAGTATGACCAATATGACTTTTACTACTTGCTAATTAAAGTTCAACTTACGATTTATGTTCATAATGTACGTAACCGTTTATAGCTCATTGTGACAATTCTAATTTGTTGTTAAAACTATAAGTATTCAATGCATGTTTGACACACGTATGAGTTAAGTTTAGCTTGAAAAAAAACAGTACTGATAACGTAGCCACATGCATCGAAAGAAAATCGTGGCCCAAAAAATACAAAAGCAAAGTACATTTGAGATAATGGAAAAAAAACGGCGTCTCGGTCGTCGATATCCATGTATAACGAGAAAGGAATACCGTTAAGGTGGATTATTACGTCAGCGAAGGCACGCCAGCTTATAGTGGGTCATCGCTTTCGCGGCTACGCGGCGGGGCCTTATTTTTCCGAGTCGCGAACGTGACACTTACGATTATCCCCCTCGTCGCGTTCTCACAATTTTGTTTTCAATTTTCGAATGTGACGAGACGCCGCAACTAACGACGCGACAGAGCGACATTGATGCATCGGCAATTCGCTTTGCAACGGAGGCGCGCGAGAGAGGTGAAAGGACGCAGCTGACACAGATAGCGCCGGTGCGAGGATCCACGATCACGGACAATGGCCGGCCCCCTCCTTAGCATGCGGCCTTCGACGCACACGCGAAGAGGAGCAACAACTTTTCCTCTTTTTGCTCATTTCGGCGATTGACCCTTTTTTTTCCGCGCCCAGCCGATGGTTTCGCTTTGAGCTGCGATCAACCGTGAGCTTGAAACCAATGATTATAGACGACGCAGGTGTTTGCAGAAAGAAATCGCGCGTGCCGATGACGCTTAGCTATCGTGAGTTAATCACGAGTCTTGAGAATTTCGAATGGTCGTTGGTGAGCGCCGAGGTGGGCAAATGACGCTTATTATTATATACATTGACATAATTGGCCCGGAAATGAAGTTACAGTTACGCAGTCGTGGCGCGAGATGTTTGAATTCAATATACAGTTGAGGCATAGCTTTGCATAGTTATTTGTCGGGCATAAAATCAGTGTCACGTTATTCTACATTGCGCATGAGTTTTGGCAAATTGTCGCTGCAAGCGAACGAGTGGAAAGTCAAGTGAAACGTGGGAAAACGAATGTGAGATCAGCCGAAGTGACGAGTGTAAGTAGTAAGGGAGCAATTGATCGGGCGCATCGGTGAAACTTGATTTTCACCGCATCTTCGTGATCCAAGATCCCAAGGATTGCGATGTCGACCGTTGTTCGAACAAAGAATACCACGTCACGGAATGTCTCATTCAAAGTGGACGTCTATGTATCCCGTGAGCCGTCGGTCGAGGCGCGCGGATATAGTAAACAAAGAAGGAAGCCGAGGAAAGAAGTGAACGACATTACTTCGAGCAAAAAGAGACGCTGCGGTGTATATACGAGAAACAGCTGAGCGCGAGAGAGGAACTTTTCCGCGTCACGCAATGACGACGACACGTGTGGTTGGGACGGCATTTTATAGCGGAAACTGCAGCTTGAGAACCGGCTCGGGAGAAGACATTCTATGTAGGCGCGGCGCACGGGGCAGCTTTTTGTCGCGCACTCGCACTTTCGAGCGCGAGAGCTGCTGCCGCTGCCGCTGCTGCCAGTGAAAAGTTCGCAACGCGAGAGCCGTTATAATATCGTCCCTGGAATCCCGCGCGAACAACATTAGTCATTTCGTCGATATCTAACGAGCTTGCGACAGGGCGCACAGTTATTCGGCAATTTTTCAAGACTTTTTGGACGGCTTCCGCGAAACCACGATGGCTTTACGAGACACTATATCGTTTTCTTCGATCGAACCAACTTTCGTTTGACGACGAAAGGTGACAATGTTGCAAACACATAACACATAACCATTTGGTTTTTATCATTGTAATCTACTTGTCAGAATAGTTGCTTGCGTGGAATAATGAATTGATAATAGAGACTTTATAGATATACCATCTTGCGGATAGAAGATGGCACCTGCCGTTAAAGTGTTTCATAGTACAGCGAAAGACGCGTTTGCAAGGTGCTCGCAACCGGTCCGAAACGAATATGCGTGATTCACGAGTGGCTCATGCCGCGCCGCGGTGAATGGTACAGTGGGATTTTAGGACGACCTACTTACATTCCAGCGTGTGCGCGGTGCGTCCGACTGGCCGCGCGCGCTCTTCCCAAATATATCACGAGCGATGCACAAGCCGATTATTATTCGTAACGGCTTCGAAGTTAGTCGCGAGCGTCACGCCATAAAAGCCCACTCGATCCGACGCCCGCCCCGATGCCTTTGAGCTTCTGCTCTGGCTGCATCGTTTGCTTTCCTAGCTAACGTCTCGTTGCGCGCTGCGCTGCTTCGTTTCTTCCGACGTTCGAGCTGCGCCTCGAGACTACGAGTCAGATTCACCATTTTTCGCTTTTGCCTTGTCAGCAACGTCGACGAAAAATGCAAATTGCAATTGATTCGAAACAAGGACAATAACATTTCAGCGGAACAATTCAAAAAGGTGCTCGCTCGTTATCGCAAATATAACGCGCTATTATTAGCAAGTTATTGCGTCACGGAAGAAACCATGTATACAGGTATATCCTGGGAAAATCCATAAAGATTTCTGTTAAGAGAAGCCCGCATCCGAGACTTCCTCGTTTGAAAAAAAAAAGTCGTTTTTAGAACTACGCTTTCATCCGTATCTCACGGCTCTCTACGCGCATTAATATGTAACAATTACAAAAGTGAAATAAGCGGCGCCGCCGACGACGCGCAAGATCCCTCTAATAGCGGGCATTTGGAATCCGAGGTGCAGCGCTGATTCGTCGGCAAACGCAGTTGCGCAACAGCTTTTCGCGAAAACACGCGCGCACACACGCAAGCGTTTCGGAATTCAGGATGCGCAAAGTGAAAACTTTAGAAATGTGTTTATCAGGAGAATAGAATTAATCGTTGCGGATATAGCGCGGCTAAGGGGAACTTTCTTTGTTGGTTTAGCTTAGGCCATTAGTCGCAAGCAAACAAGCGCCGGAGAATTGCAACCTACTTGGTTTCGAAAAAATATGTAAACACATCGAACGAAACCGGCTGGTCGATTCGTATATAGCCTATAACCGATACAACGAGAAAGCCGCGCGGTCCTCGCGTATCAGGTTGATAAGAATCTCGACTCTCCGTTCCGGAAATGAAGCTCGGCCGTCTTCTCAATTGCGCAACGGCGCGTATACCCTTTTCCGAAAACGCGTCGCCGTTAACGACGAGAACCACGAGGCGAGTGTCGTATATTGAACGCGCGCTCGCGTGTCCCGAGGCAGGCAGCCGAGGTCAGCGACCTTAGCGTGTGGCCGTTGCGAAGGAATCCTCGGACGACAGGCCGAAGCAACACACTATATCTGCTCATTAACCCGTCAAAATGCGTATCCTGCGAGCTTCCGCGAGTCTCGCTGCAGCGGTACCGCAAATAAGCACGTGCTACTGTTATGTATCCTTTTAAACGCGTTGCCGCTGAGGATAAGTGTATGGATAAGTGCCAGTGGACACGTAAAAGGGATATCCTGTCCTGCGCGTGTAACGCGATTATTCGGAAAAGTACTTTGCTCGTTACCGCTTAGAGGAAGTGTCACTGTGATTTTTACCACTCAACTCCTGCGTTTTAGTTTTCACGAGCGGCAAGTCGTCAATCCGTGCTTACACTTTTTTTTCTTCTTTTCGCTATCTCGTGTCAGCGCAAAAAGCTTTTCGCAATTACCGGTTGGCTAGTTACCGCCTGCAAGCAAATTCCAATACACCGTATCTGTCGATACTTTCTTTCAAATTTTCCCATTGGCAGTTTTATCTTTTATTTCGATTGTGCGATTCTATTTGAAGATCCAAGTAAAAAGTAGAATTAAGAATGTTATCGACATTTATATAGAAGTATCTTGGAGTACCGTTCTCGAAAAACTTCACTTATATACTTTCAACATTATATTAAATTATAGGGTTAATATTGCTGAAATATAAATACGTATTGTATAGCTACTTTCAATGTAATTCTTTATAGCAATTTTGTCGTGTAGAGATGTTTCTACAACTAGAACTGATCCAAATCAATTGTTAGTTTTTAAAGATTCACACTCGTGGGTATTTTCATGGTAGAGAAATTTTGTTAAATAACGTAATAATTGATTATCGCTTATTATTTGAAACTGTTGAATTATTCGTTCACAGTCCGATAACAATAAAATAATAATAGTCAACTCACCCAAGATTCTTGGTAGCAAAAAAGAAGAATATCCTCACTCTTCTTTCCTTACGAAAGTCTAATCGAAAAACGAAAAAAAGGAAAAAAAAAAAAAAAACTAACAAACAAAACAAATAACGAAATCCTCGTTGTTTCTTTCAAAAGTGGAAGAAACGGGTGATCATGGTCGAAAGCCGGCCGCTTTGGGGATTAAAAGCGAAAGCCGAATGGGAGCGGGTTGCGTTAGAAGAGTGCGGCCGAGCGAGCGCACGCCGCCGCGTACCTTCGAGGACTGTCCGAAAGGTGCGTGTCCTCCGTGCAGCAAGGCGCCGCGGAGATGAGGCTGCTGGCCGCCAAAGTGGGAGGACGAGCTGCGAACGGTACGGCGGAACAGTTAGACGACGACCCAGATTCGCGCCCAAGGCGTGCCAGTTTTGTCCACGCGACACACACACACACACACACACACACACACCGCAGCTGCTACGCTGCCAATGCAACCACCGCGTCCTTTCCACCGTGCATTTATTTCTTCCGAGGCTACTCAAGGTTGTTTTCGGACACAGCTGCGTCACCGCTCCACTCGCTCGCTCTCTTTTCATTCGCACACTGCTGCCTGACAAATTCGCCCGATTTGCTTTCGCTCGCTCGTGTGCAGGCGACCAATTTGGGATTGTACGGGCTCGATTCGCTTGGAAGAATTTTACGCGCGAATGAGATTTCAGAGTGAAGATTTCGTAACAGTACTGCTGTCTGCTGTCATCTATCTTTCATCTCGGGATAACTCAATTTGCGTATTAATCGAATACCTCTTGACAAAAGCTCCGACACTGTACAATCGCACAGATTATGACCATAAAACGTTCTGACATATTCGAGTATGTTTAATAAATACATTACTATTGTTACACCCACTTTCTGTCGATATACCGATTCTTATCGATGAACGCGCTTCGTGATGTTCTTCCAAGTAAAATGTATTATCGCGACGTTACCATTACGTAAATCAAAGCAGTGATTTCCGAAAAAGCAATACTTCTGTCACATACTACTCGTGGAGTATTCGCGTCAGTTATTACTGAACACAAATTCCAGGTATTTCATTTAGTATTTACATCAGCTTTGGCTCTATTAAAAAAGCTCGCAACGTTAATCGCCTCGATTGTACAGCTGGAAGAATACGTCGAAGATAGCAGCTACGAAACTTATTGGATACGTAAAGGAACTTAGTTTTCTATCGATCAATTGGTATTGCGTACGTGCGTACATGTACTTTTGATGATGCGCGCGAGCTTACCGCGGAAGATTACGACGGCGACACGCGCGTATACGCGGCGCACCGCTACTCTCCTCTTCTATGAAAGTCGGTTTTCCTGATGATAATTGGTTCGTTGCTTTTTTGCTCGTCATTCCACCATCTCTTTCGTGCACTTGCTCTTATAAACTATATTCTCTTTGTCTTCTATATTTTTCTACCCATTGCGAATGGCTAGTCAATTTGCTGTCCTGATTTTAATAATTCTGATCAATTTTTGACGTCCCTATACCCCGAACATCTTTATCATATTTTCACATAAATTCGGCCTCGATGAATATTCTCTTTTCGTCATTCATTCTAACGTATTTTATACTTCTTGTAACATATTCGTTGATTTCTTATAATTTTTTGATTATTTTTCTAGTGTCGAGTAAATAAATATTTCCTTCTAATAAATATTATAGGCAGTGTGCGTGTAAAAATCATGCGAAATTATCTTGAAATAAAACAATAACACGTTCATATTTAATAGCTTCGAAAATTGTCCTGGGACCAATATTATTCATTATATGTGATCTTAAACTATCACCGGATAATACCATATTGCCAAATACTGACAATATAATTATTGTTATAGTGTTGTGAAGCAAATTAGACATGAGCTGAAACCAAAATAAACGAATATTTAGACTAGGTTAACTTATTTTGTTCTCAAAATATTATTAATATATAATAAACAAGTAAGTATATAAAATAAATTAGTCTTTTGGCTCTATGATAGTGTTTCTGATATACAAACATTTATGCAAAACTCAAAGCATTTCAAAGAGTATTCTCAAATAAATTTTTAGGAATTGCAATACATTAGAAACTTAAATGAGAATATCAAATAGACTACATGATAAAGAAAACGTCTTCGTGTTGTTGAAACTTGCCAAATTTAATGGATAACGATTATATATACTATGCGTTGTTCCGGTGTTGTTACTCTAGGAATTATTATTTGATTGAGAAAAAGCCTATTATAATATTTTAAGTGGTGAACTAATATTTGAAAATAAATTAATTGAAATTCTACTTAAAAAATCGAAGAATTTACCATTGCTAATATCTATCAAGAAACATTTTCTTATGGAAGCGGTTTTAGACGAATTATATAGCTGTTTATCTTAAGCAAAGCGATTACATTAAGAAGTCATCGGTATGCTGCAACTGAAATATTCCGAAATAAAAGAAAATAGGGAAATAAAATGTCTCACTGAGAATTAGACAAGTAATAAAAGTTTAAAAAATATACTATTGAAAAAATGGATATATTTTAGGGGATATACTGACATGATTAACATAGAGGAGTTACTACAAACTTAATGTCTATAGTTAGTTATAACTTTTAGTTATTAATTTTATGTTTATGCCTCCTTGCGTTCAGATATCTTTGAGTACCTCTCCAAGTGCTTGTAGATTGTATCAGCCTATAGCTAATCAAATGATAAGAAATAATTGTTTTGCATCGCATAGATTTTACTCCCATCGATCTATCTGATCTTAAAATAATAAATTGTTTAGTTTCTTCTAAAGACTTTCAGAGAATCGAGCATATTAAAAACTCAGTAAATATTACGCGCAGACGTCTTGAATGAGAAATGCTAAATATACATATACGCATATGCGAATATTGTAACAAATGTGTGTTGAATAGATATAGTTAATTATGAATCATACTATTGATAATGTCCTTTGTTCTTCATAACTACTACGTGCTTCTACCTATTTATATTTTGTATATTGAATTTTGTTTATAAAAATGTATATTATAGAAATAAATATAATAATGTTTTTAAATACTCGCTCGGATGATTTTTGTCTAGTGTTTCTCCATTCATGTAATTTTTATTATCGGTTTTATTACACAAGTTGATTTACAATGGGGTTCAATTGAATGCAAAATTTAAAAAACAATTCATTTTATTTTTATTGATGTAGCCATTTACTTTGATTATCATATAAAACAAATAGTTATACGTGACTTGTGAGCATACATTAATTAACAAAATTTCAATCAATTGAACCCATGTGTAAGAGCTCAATGTAAAGTCAATAATTATCGTCTATTTACAGATACTCGCTTGTATGAATTTTGTCTCGTGTTTTTTTCAGTCTTACTATACTTCTATTATTGGTTTTACCTCACAAGTTGACTATAGTGTATTATATGAAAATGTGTCCTCATTGCATATCGGTAACCAAACCATCATTATAAAAGGCACAGTTTGATGGAATAGATCGTTCATTGGACATAGTTGAATATTATACTTAGAGGTAACGTTTCCCTATCACAAGATGGTTCTTGTTGTTCTCATGTCTTTTAAGTTTTAAACGAAGTTTGAATATTTATTTTAAAATATTTGTTTCTTTAATAATTTCTGAGTAAAATTGAAAGTTAAACAATATTTTTTTGCGTAGTATTTTAAGATGGCATCGAGTATTCTGTTAGCAATTCTAACTGTGCTAGTTGCTTTAACCAATGCAGCAAGACTGCCTCCAACATCAGACCAGACAGCTTTGATGGCTCGGTACATTGTCAACGAAGCTGGTAACATAAGTATTTTTATCAATTGATAAAAAAATTTTCATATCAACGTTTCACCTTTATCAGAATGGGCTTCCATTGCAACTGTGAGTGTACGAAATAACTCGAAGGACTATCCATTTGTTACTCTGATTTCTGCAAGCGACGGTGCTGTGGGACAAGGTACTGGTGTTATATATATGCTTATGTCTCCATACAGTTTCGCCGGACAAGATCTCGAAGTAAGCTGCATTACTTAAATATTTATGACAATCGATGACAGTTGATTAAATGTTGAAAAACGCAGAATAAAAATCTGTTGAATAATTTTTACAGAAAAATTCTCGGGTTACCATGATGATGTCTTTGGCACAGGGTAGTTTTTGTAAAGATAGGGGCTACGATCCGATGGATCCTCGTTGTGCTCGAGTCATTTTCACAGGAACCGTTAAGAAGGTACGTAACAACTTAAGAAAGTATAAAATTTATTCGGTAAAATTTCGTTTTTATCTATAAATTGATTCTTTTGAACATTGTCAATCGTGTCGTTGTAGAATAATCATTAATTACTCAATTTGTATATATTTTTAAGGTATTTTTGATTAATTTAGTCTTCGTAGCCAACAAATTAAAATGAAACTCAAACCATTGCAGATAAAACATACAGACGCAGAATACGAAACGGCGAAGTCAGCATTGTTCACGCGTCACGTAGCGCTTTCTCACACGCCGAAACGTAAGTATACTACAACGAGGAAAATCATTTCAAATTTGCGACCGTCGATCAAACAACATCAGAATTAAAAAAAAAAAAAAACGAATTTATGACTTTCAGGCTTTGATTACTACTTCGCCAAGCTGGAAATCGAGACTATTGTTGTATATACCCAATTCGGTTACCCACAATCCATTGATGCCAAGGAGTATTATTATATTGATAAAAATAATATCAATCCTTATGCTCGTCGTTACAAATGAGATATAGCGCATTTAAATTGATGTTAGTATCATTACATATATATTTATATGTAAAGGATATTGAAAATAAAACACAATAATTTTATTTGTTATACATTTTTACAAGTGGATTTTTTATATATTTTTTAAATATTTTATTACCAAAGATTCTCTAACAAAGAAAAATATAAAGTTCATATTCAACCATTTGTAATCAATTAGAATTCTATTTAAAGTGTTACATTCTTAATTAGACTTTAATTACCAGCGACTCTACTTTCTCGGACTCTTAACTTGCTAAAATACTGCCTCCCCCCATACACGCACACAGACACAATGTTTCTTATCTTTTAATCCAGTATCATTCTTCACAGCTACGTACTTAAAATAGCATTCGAATATTAGGAAATTTTATTACATTAATTACTTCATCTTTGAAGCTGTCGAATGTCACGTATTCCTGTTTTATTGTTTGATAATTAACCGATTAAACAAATTTACCTATAAGTACAGCTTAATCGCAATTATATGAAAACTTCTTCCAAAGAGATGAGTCCCACTCTAACATTACTTGCCCACAGCTGACTGATTATCATCTTCCTTGTGTGTTACGATAGCAATTAAGATTGTCAACGTTTTGACACTTTTAAGAAATAACGTTTCTGTCGGGATGTGTTAAGAGGGTTGCATCGTTTGCATTTGTTTCTATTGTTTTATTCTTTAAAACTTGTGACACGAAGGCATAAATTAATTAATAACAATATTATTTAATTACATGTTTGCATCAAGTTTGATAACACCTATATAATACATCTTTTTACGATTTGAAAAAGATTCTGTAATTGTATTGTGAGGTCATAACGTTTGGAAATTACCCGTACTATTCGTCTTTCGTTGTTAATCAACCTATAAAATTCCATATTTAGCCTAGTGCTAGTTAGAAACCACATATAGATATATAAAATTCAATTTAAATACAGGGCTGAGAGAAAGAGAGCACAATTTTAAAAATGCATACCTGTTCGTCGATTACATAACATAAGATACGTAATATCAACGTTGATATTAAATAAATAAAAAGAATTTCTTAAAGCGTTGCGCACTTTATAAATCAAACAGTTGATAATGCAGTTACGATGGTAAATCCCCGCTCTTATCCAATTGTCCTAGTATATAAAGCTCATTTCGATTAAGAATTGTAATCATTAAGTGTAGATGCGGGAGCAAAGGTAGTGTTCAATTATTACGTTAGATAAAAGAATTAAATTTTTACTCAGAAATCTGAAATAATTTTTCATTGGATAGTTATGCCAACTTTTAATGCTGTATAATATAAAATTCTGTTGAAATTTATTATTATAGAGTTCTTAATATTAAAATATGATATATTACGATACAATTTTAAATAAATTACTTTAAAATTGATTATAAATTAGTGTAAATTGGTTTTAGAAATGCTAAAGAAACCGAAGTATACTGAAAGTTTCACTGTCAACATGATTAACAGCTTGATTGATACAATTTGTTGTTCGAATCGTTCAACAAAACATTTGGGATATTTTAGCTAATAATTTTTCAAAATTCTAGCTGCACCAAAATGTTTGCCAAAATCTCCATAGTCTCCGTTGTGATTCTCGCAGCGCTTGCAAGCTCAGCTCGCTTGCCACCATCATCTACTAAGCATGCATTGATGGCTAGATATATTGTGAACGAAGCCGGTAATTTTTTTTTTTAACGTGAAATCATAATAAAGTATACCATTGCTTTCTTATTTTTACATCAGAATGGACATCCATTGCTACTATCAGCGTGAATAAAAAAATCAAGGGCTACCCGTTTGCGAATTTGAAATCAGTCGCTGACGGAGCAATCGGCAAGGGCAACGGTATACCTTACCTATTCTTAACACCCTTGGATTTCTCAGTTCTGGATCTTGCTGTAAGCTCAAATTTGTGTTCCATCGATCCTAAATTTACGAATAGTTCTAGCTGTTATATAATTTTAACATCTTAATGTTTTGTTCGCGTGCAGGCAGACCCGCGTGCTACATTCATGATGAGCCTGGCTCAAGGTGATTATTGCCATGATATGGGCTTCGATCCAATGGACCCGCGTTGCGGTAGAGTGATCCTCACTGGCAAAGTCAAGAAGGTGCGGTGCTTTTCTTTTAGATCAAATAAAATTCGATGGATACTCCGCGTGCTTATCGATATTCTCTTCGTCACATTTTCAGATCGAAGAGGACGATGTCGAACACGAAGTTGCAGAAAACGCTGTTTTCACTCGTCACCCATGGCTGAAGCAAATGCCGCCAAGTGAGTAAAAATTATTCAACTTCCAAATGCCGGCAAAGCATAATATTTATATTTCGACTGATTTCGTTTTCAGACCACAAATTCTTCTTCGCTAAATTGGACATTGAAAATATTGTCGTACTTGCCCAATTTGGAGATCCCCAGTACGTCAACGTTAAGGAATATTTCGATGCCAACGGTGATGCTATCGAAGAATACGCCAAGCTTTATCGTTAATGATTCAGATGGAATTCAGTCTTCGATATTGAATAATGTACATTTATTTATCGTAAATAACAATATGATATTTATTAAATAATGAAATTCAGAGAAATCAACTGTACATTCTTATCATTTTTTCATATACTGTTTGCTGACTTGCGGTTAAGGATAAAAAGTGACGCATCAATCTTACTTTCCTCTGATTCATATCGAATCTAAGTCAAAAAATATGAGACTGAACCTGTATTTAATTTTTATATTCTGAGTACTTGACGAAGCGTAATGTGACTGAGTAATTCTTTTCGATATCGACAATTCTAGTAGCATATCTGCTATCCTGCAACCTGCAATCTGTTTGACGCGCGAGCAACTCTTACTATTCGTGTCGCAAACATCAATCCGACGATCATCTCAAACTTATAGCTCACTCGCATCTTCTGCTTTAGTAACGTAAAAAATAACTTAACAGCGTAATGTTGTTCGACCGCTCGATCAACACAAAATAAATGCACGGCCGCCTGGTAGACACTCGTTTATGACAAAGAGAAAGATTAAATATAGATACAGTGGCGTATGTATATTGCGGAAGATCATTGTGTATACATTTATATACTTCGGGACAAAAGTGCAACTATACAGTGTATCAGTGTTTAGTCTGGATTCTCAAAGACGCATTTCTAAAGTGCAATATCGGCGACGTTTGTGATGACACAGATGGACGACTCTAGCTGCTCTCTTGCGTTTCAGTAATAGGAAGTTGACGCTATTTTTATTAAATACTGTATAGATCATTTTGGCCACTGAATTAATTGTAGTATTGAAGACATTTCTTGTCATGTAGTTTTGGTTGATTGTCAATCAATATAGTTAATACATAATCAGTAGAAATGTTTAAATAAAAATAAATGTAAACGTTAGCAAAAACAAAACATTTTATTTTAGAAATGAAACGAAACAGTCTTTTACTATAGTATATATTGAGGGTTTAATTTGAATCACAGTAGACACCTAAGTTCAAGTGAAAATGAGGCATAGGGCTACGATACGGGCTCTCGCTCGGTGGCTACTAGAATTCAACAAGGAGTTTCAAGCTTAGAAAAGAGAGGAAAAATTTCGAAGAGACTGCCAAAAAGACACACTAGAAGAGACATCGATCGAGAGGGCGAGCGGCTGATCTACCTCCGATAGATCAGGTTGTTCTTATGGTCCGATACATCGGCCATCAATAGCTAGTCATTTTTATTATTTTTGCGTTTGTTTCTTTTTACGCATTTTAATGCTAACAAAGAGGGTTTGTATAATTGCTTATCAAAATAACGGATCTCTACGTGATCGTTTTATCAGTCACTTTTCCGTAATAACGCAATCATTGAAAACTAAAGCATGATAATAGACACGTACTGTTTATTGTTTTACGAAAAATTATAATGGATATTGTTTCGCAGAGCGAAATGATATCTTGGTCGAAGACTAACCGATGATCGAGATTTTTTTTTGCATAGACATATTAGACATATTTATAGCGACAGTTAGTTCGTGAAAAAGACACTTTAAGCTATCCGTTCGTCAATATGATTTCCTTCAGCGATGGGCCACTTGGCAACGGTACTGGGATTCCATATTTATACCTGACGCCGTTAGATTTCACGGCTCAAAATGTTTTCGTAAGTTCAATTCTGGTAGAATTTCCTTTAACCATATATTAGCGCGCGTTCGTTTGGATTGAGTGTAAATGTGACTGTTAATTACCTTGTCGCTCACGAAAATGCAAAGTAAAGATAACGATGTCGACAAAGAAGGAATAAACTGATTGATTTCCTCGACGTGTATTTTTCGCGGAATGACAATCGCGTGACGCTTATGATGATACTCTGCAGCACAAGGAAACTAGTGCCACATCAAGGATTATGATCCGATGGATCCTCGATGCGCCAGGATTGTTATGTCAGAGAAAATCGAAACGATTAGTACAATACATTTATAACTTATTGTAAAAAAACACGTTAAATCAAAGGTGAAAGAAGATAATCCGGAATTCCCGAAAGCTCAAAGCGCTATATTTGGCCAACATCCATGGTTAGCTCACACGCCAGAAGGTAAACAATTATCTCAGTGACTAAAATACTCTTGCTTGGAGTGTACTTGATAATATCATCCCGTTCTGGATCACAATTTATGTTCTACCAAGCTAAAGACGAGTACAATTGCGGTGCTGAACACTTTTGGAGGACCGAAATACCCGACTGTTAGGGTGAGAAGGACTGAGAGTGGGGGTTTTAAAATATTTAATATAAAGAACACCGGATTTATTTAATTCACAATAACACTACTTAAAATAATAAATAAACCGGAACGCTCGTAATCAAAGTAAGCTTACAATCAAACTAACAACTAACGATACAAATTACATTTATAAAGGTTCGCCGGCTAAACTAGTTAAAATAAGAAAGGATTAAATTTGTGTCGACACGAGAATCGTAATTCTAAAGAGTATAAAGGTATAATTAACGGAAGTACAATTAATGAAATATAGTTGACGCACGCGTGCTTAAAGATAGGCGAACTGCTTGTTCAAGTACCGGATCTAGAAGGATTGAGACGCGTCGCCGCGCCAGCTGAGTCCGATCAAAAAATTTTCTTATCTCAATTCCCTTTCCTCGCACGAAGGTCGAAGGCGTGAACTTCTTGACCTCCTGCCAATGAGGTTTCCTTATTCATGTGTCAACTGCTCCTTTCTCTGTTTGATTGGCTCGAGTCGAAGTCTGTGATGATTCCGACCGTGCGCTAAAGATTGTGCCGTGTTTTGGTGGCTCGTGTTGCGTTGTTTGATATCGCCGGCTTTCGGCTCAAACAACGGGGTGACGGACGCTCAATGTCCGTCGTCGACAATCAGCTTTGAAAGGTAACCTTTCAACCAGTCTGATTGCCACAATGCATTTGCCATCTTTTTTAGCGATGTATGCATTTTTGCGAGTTTGGAGGCAGTGATCGTAGCAATGGTAAATAGTCAAAATTTGATTCTAAATCGTAACTCAGCTTGATGCGGCGCACGCTTCTCTCACACGCTTATCTTAAATTAAACAATATTCGTAGTGTTGCTTAAGTTTCGCGTTTCGAAGAGGCCGTAACTGAACTTAACAACAAAGGAACCAACCGACAAATGTCGGCAGATTAGAGATTCTTTTTAAAAATGAGAGTGTCGATGTCGTTACGCATGGTCACTCGATCTTGTTTTCGAGTTCGACATCGCACGCGCGCATCGATTAGCAAACAGTCCGCGGCGCAATGAAATGATTCAAGCGCAATGTCTTTGTCCAAAAATTCTGTGAGAGCATATTTCAAATTACATCCGTAACACCGACGATAGAAGATTATTTAAACTCTCCAAGTCCTACAGGTTTCGTTTGATTGGAGAGCTCGTTATCAAATTGATGGCGAAAGATCCGACACTTACATATTAAGCTGACAGAAGGAAGGAATATTTTGAATACTATTGCAAGCAAGCTAATGACTGTAATTAACTAGTTAAGTCAATTTCGTGATTTGACATTAAGAAATTATTCATGCTTGTGATAAGGAATACCAAAGTAAAATATTGTTGCTACACACATTTGCCAATTGTAAAATAAATGTTCAATGTACAATATTTGAGAATGTTTAATAATGTTAACTTTCGTGAAATAACATTTGAATTGAAATAAAGAAACAAGAACAGTTGTATTTGCATAAGCATTCTTTCTGAAATGTTAAATATTATTCTGCACGGATAATTGATTAAATAAAATTGTGGCAGTCGCGGGACTGCATAGCAAGAACAAAGCTCAACGTTAATTGTTATCTTAATTATAATTATTTCATGAGAGTAATAGTTAACTAAAAAATTATATAAAATGTGAGTGGTTTTCATTAAGAACACTGAACCACAAAGAGCAAAAAGTAGTCTTGTACTTTTAATGATGTCCGTCTATTTATGCATATTTTGACGTGCTCAATCCAAACTCGAGGTCATATACATCCTTAAAATATTTGTTACATTAATTAATAAGGTCTAACATAAGTTAAAATAATGAAAAATAGGGGAATCTAACTTTCAAAGTATGTATATTAGGTGCAAGAATTTTGAGGGCGCATGCCTGACTCCGACCTCGAATTCGGAGTCAAAATATGTATATAGATAGGTGGATCTTCACAAAAGTATAGACCACTTTTGTTTCTTTGTATGCTCTTAAAATCTATATAATAGTCTTCCCTCGTTCTGAGATGGATAATAATATGTCTATGTTTGTTTATATAGAATTATGACTATATTTGTTTCATAGGAAAAAAACGAAGAAATTATCCAAATAATTTATCGGTTTATTTTCTCAAATGAATTAGTAATTTATTATCAATACAATACTCGTACTTTAATATAGGCTAGCTTTAATATACTGAGTTATTTTATATACAATGTTGGAATAGTTCAAGATTTTGTTTATATTATAATTATACAAACGTATAATGTAAATATATTTGGATAACGATACGAAGACTTTGACTCCTTTTACTTCAATTATTGTTACTCCATCACTAAAAAGCCTTGGTTTCTTCATTAGATCTCACTCGCCTCGGTATTGTAGTGGTAAATCAAATTCGCAGCAACTACCTCAATCTAGCTTATAGCTGTTTTCGCAAAAATTTATATCAGTTTACCTCAATGTTTTTGTGGAAGAGCCCAAGAGGTCTTAGATCATATGTTTTTTGATCCTGCTCAAAATTCACTCAGCAACAATCTCGTCTGTTAAGATCTCTCACTAAACACAAATTTTCTCCTCCATACGACATTATTTTCATACTTTAACTGTCTAGAATAGACATTTAATATCCTATTTTAGGTACGCGGAGATATCTTTTCTATATTTCAAGTAGAAAAAACTTCAAGATTTTTAAATTACTTCCTCTGTATTCACGCAAAGCGCATGCGCACAAGCTGTTGATGGCCAGATAAGTTAGTGCCAATAATATTTCAGAATAGAATAGAACAGAATATATAAGCAAGGCAACACACGTGTTTTGATAATTTGAAATAACCTCAAAGTCTGTTCTTTTGATCAAAGTCATGCATAATCTGAGTAGGTGAAATATTACCAAGTATACATAAATAAATACAGTAAAATCCTCAAAAATTGTGTAGGCAATAAGAAATTCACGTGAAAAATAAAAAGTAAAAAGGATGTCTCATAGTAGAATATTTCAGCGCAACCGCGCTTTAGGATATGTAAGCAATCACATACCAGCAGTAACAAGATATATTCAGAGAAGAAAAGAGAATTTAATTGTCACTTGTACTGGTAGAAGTTTTCATACATATGGTTGTTCTCATTTTACATTACTCAGTGTGTCACCAGCCCATCCTGAGGACATAACATGCCTCGCTGCTGATACTTATCATATTTATACTGCTAGTGGTAACAAAGTTTATGCTTGGCGAAGAGGAAGTGAACTGAAACATACTTATAGTGGTCATGAGTGTCAAGTCCATCTTCTCCTACCTTTTGGACCTCACTTGATATCTATCGACGATGATAGTTATATGAAAATATATGATATCAAAAGTGAAGAGCTTGTATCAGAATCAAATTTCAGTAACAAAGTATTCAAGATTACTGTCATTGCACATCCATATACTTATATAAACAAAATAGTGCTTGGAAGTGAACAAGGACAGATACAGATATGGAATATCAAAACTATGAAGATGGTTCATACATTTAACGGTTGGAACTGTGCAATAAGTGTCATTGAACCAGCACCTGCTAAAGATGTAGTAGCTGTAGGTTTGACAAATGGTAGAATTATTTTACATAATTTGCTGTACGATGAAACCTTATTTGAAGTCGTGCAAGATACAGGCTTGGTAACTTCAATTTCTTTTAGAACCGATGGACATAGTATAATGGCAAGTGGAAATCTAGAAGGGGATATTTGTTTGTGGGATCTAAATAAGCGTAAAGTTGAGAGTCAGATTAAGAAAGCTCATTTTAGCTCAGTCTGTGGATTGAAGTATCTCCCTAATGAACCATTAATGATTTCTTCGTCATCTGATAATACGTTAAAATTGTGGATATTTGACATGGCTGATGGTGCAGGAAGATTATTAAGATATAGAGAAGGACATGCAGAACCTCCCACAACCATCAGGTAACTAATAAATAATTTTTTTATTTGTATAAGTAATAATTAATTTTACTTTTGTTTTTATTTAAGGTTTTATGGAAATGATGGACACAATATCTTGTCTATAAGTGGAGATGCTACTTTAAGAATATTTTCAACTCAAACTGAGACATTTAATAAAAGTTTGGGAAGAGCTTCATACAATAGAAAAGCTTCTAAGAAAAAAGGGAGATTAGAAAATGATACCTTGATAATGCCAAGAATGGTAGAAATGGCTGCTGAACCTACAAGAGAGAAGGACTGGGATAATATTGTAACAACCCACACAACTCTGGGAATGGTTACCACATGGTCATATGATAAACTCAAAATGGGAGAACTTAAGTTACTTCCTGAAAAATTCAAATTTAACATGAATGTTGTTGCTAGTGCAGTAACACTAACTCAGTGTGGCAACTTTGCTTTAGTTGGATACAACACTGGCCATGTTGAGAAGTTTAACATTCAATCTGGGCAGCATAGGTGTTCCTATGGTGGAGAAAAAGGAGCACACGATGGTGCTGTAAAAGGAATTAGTGTTGATTCTTTGAATGTTATAGTTATTACTGGTGGAAAAGATGCAAAAGTTAAATTCTGGCATTTCAAACCTATGAAAGGTATATAAAGGAGTAGAGTCTATTCCCAATTCAAATGTGAATATATCTACCATAATCTTGCTTCTATTTTATTTACAGATATAAGGCCAATTAAAATAATTAACATGGAGGAGCCTGTAGAGTGGATTCGAGCTCACAGAGAAAATTCTTTAATTGCCGTGGGTCTCCAAAATTTTACGATTAGTATTATTGACATTGACACAAAACGAATTGTACGAAAATTTGAAGGACATACCGGTCGGCTCACAGATGCAACATTCAGTCCAGATGCAAGGTGGCTCGTCAGTGGTGCTATGGATCGCACGATACGAATTTGGGATATACCGTCTGCACAATTAATAGATATTTTTCAAGTGAGTAATGATGCTTTCAATTTGATGTGCGGCAAAATTTTAATTCGTTTTTTAATTTATTTCAGGTACCCGATGCATGCATCTCATTAAGCTTTTCACCAACTGGCGAGTTCCTGGCTAGTACTCATGTCTGCAACCTTGGAATCCATTTGTGGTCCAATCGTACTTTATACTCGCACGTGTCTCTCAAGGCTATTAAATCTGAAGACAAAATTCCTTCGATTTCTTTACCAGGCTCCACCGTCGACATAATTGAAGAAACAGATGAACATGCAGTCATGCAAATCGATGACGATAGCGAGGATGACGAAGATTCCAAAGAATACATCTCCCCAATACAACTCAGCTCCAAACTTATTACCTTGTCTGGTCTAGCGGCATCTCGTTGGCTCAATTTGTTGGATATTGATTTGGTGAAAAAGAGAAACAAACCAAAAGAAGCACCAAAAGTTCCAAAAGCCGCTCCATTTTTTTTACCTACAGTAGCAGGTCTACAAACCAAGTTTGACTTTTCTGACGTGCAAAATAACAAAGACAACAGTAAACTGCTGATTCATCCAGATTTCCAAAACTTAACGCCATTTGGTCGATTGTTGCAAAAATCTGTTGAGAGTAACAATTTTACGGAAGCTGTGGCGAAACTTAAAGAGATGGGACCGAGTGCAGTGGACGCTGAAATACAAACGTTAGCTTTTGACCTTCAAATTGCTACGCCAATGCTTCTGCAGTTTATGAAGTTGCTTAAGTCGATGTTGAAGAGTAAAGTAGACTTCGAGCTTGCACAAAGTTATTTGGCTTTGTTTCTGAAACAACATGGAACTATGATTACTGAGGAACAGGAATTGGCTGATTATCTTGAAGAGTTGGAGAAAGTGCAGCTTAAAAGTTGGAACGTTCTGAGTGAGAAATTATCCTACAACTTAAGTGTTGTCCAGCATTTAAAAAGGACTTAATTGTTAATGCATGGTACTTTAGTTAATGCTAATTATTTAGTTGATATAATTTTTTTTTTTTTTGAAGGAAATGTATATAAACATTAAATTTTTTAAGACTAGATTAAATAAGTGTCATTTATGTATAACATTTTTCTATTTGCATTATATGTGAATGAAATATTGTTTAATTACAATGTCTGACGTAATGAAACATGATTTTGCATGTTAATAAAATAATTGATAAACGATAATAATTTACACATATTTATGTTAAATTCAATCGATTTTTTATGATTTTTGCCAAGTTCTAATATAATAATAAGCAGTAAGGATTTCATATTGGGTTGATTTATAAAAAGACAGAAGTAGCAACAATGTTTTTTATTATTTCTTATATTGGAAAAATAAATAAAAAACGGGTAGTTTTATTAAGGAATTATGAAAATACATACAAAAATTCACATTGCTACTCAAAGTATCAAACAATAAAATGAATAAGTTTAAACATTTTTACAAAAAAATGTCCTGAAAATCACACATTTTAAATTACTCTTTATAAGTGAAAAATGGCTGCAACTGGTCAGCAACCCCTGGAGATAAAGCTAAATCGTCTATATAATTCCTAAAATGCGAAATTATTCTGTAAAGACTCCTCCTCACAGCCGATCGAAGTCCAGTCAATGTCTGCTTTAAAAAACGGTCGTCACTTACAGGTTTTCTAATTGAGACATTCAACTTCTGTAGTTTATCCAGGGATTGTTTCAGTGACAAAAAAACTTTGATAATCTCGGAAATATCTTTTTGTACAATTCCATAAGGATCTTCTTCAAGTGATACTGCTGCCAACGATGAGATTGAATCAGCAGCCCAGATGACAGCTTGAGCTTCATTGAATACATGCCTTAATTTACTTTCAAATTGCTCTGCAAATATGAAAGAAATAAGTCTTTTTGACAATAAATAATTAACCACGCTCTCTTTCATTTTTTTCAAGTACTGAGTGATGAAGCTTTCAGCTGGTACTTGTTTTTCTTCAATTTTGGCTGAACATGGAGTAGCAGGTGATACCAAACTTCTCATATGGTAAGTATGTGGTTTCCCTGTTCCTGAATTTTTTAAAATTGGTATAGGATTTTTAATGATTGGTTCTTGTTCTTTTTGTGTAGAACAAGCGGCATTTATCCCATTACAAAAGTTCTTCAATAAAGTCATACACTTTCCATAAATACTGTTCCAATTGTATGGATGTCCTCCTGGCTGACTTAATGTGAACAATACTGCTCGTCTATTTTTATCTTTCTGTGCTATGTTGATGAGATCCAAATATCCTAATTTTTGTAAAATTGGTATATCCATAGCCAAAGCATCAGACAAGCAAATATTGCCTTTTTCACCATAATGATTTTTTTCAATATTAAATGAAACCCATTGAGTTAAATAAGCTTGGAAAAATAAATGCATACTTTGAACTATCAAGACAAATAGAACTGCATGAAGCCAAGCATAAAAGATTATAGACACAGTTAGTAATCTGGAAATATGATCTAATGGTTCTTCTTCAATAGATAAATGAAAAGGAGTGGTAAATAAGTGCCTACAATAATTTCCAAAAACTACGTAGAAGATCATAAAGTACATTGTAGGCCAAAGAGCATCCATCATTGTGCTTCCAATTATTATACGAATTCCTCTCCTAACTTGAGATAACTTGGACTGAGGTATAATAGGAAATTGTAAAATTCTTGTACCAAGGTAACTAGAATTTGTAAAAAAATAGAGGCCAATCCATAAGCCATTGAGCAACAGAAAATAGTGCTCTTCAACAAGACAGTAACCTTGTATTTTTTCACAACTTCTCACCAGAGAACCAAATCTTCCACCTTCGACTGACAAATGAAGCCAAGCAAGTGCACCTCCAAGAATAATATAAATGCTGCCTAACATAAAATTGTGTGGAATAAAGATTTGACAAAACTTTACAAATCGACTACTAGCGTAAGATGTCGGATTCATGTAATCTTTACTGCTGACAATTCCATTTAGAAAAACAACAAGTGAAAATACAAAAAAGCAAGTCCACATTCTCAAACATGTGATAACATTCCAGGTATTTTGCAACCATTGCAGTGGATGAGTAATTTTCAGATTAGTGATTAACAAAACTACACTCATTAGCAAAAAGTGAACAACAATACTTGCTCCAATAGCCAAGAACATCCTACGTACTAACAACTCTCTGCAAGTGGCTTTATTAACATTATCTACTTTCTCCATGGTTTATTTTTGTAGTGTAAAATTATTAATTTAATCTTTATTCCAAATTCTTCAACTTTGTTACAATCTCTGAAATAATAAATTATAATTAATCAATACTAATAAGAATTTAAAAAGATTCGCACACATGAATTACATATTTACTCGCTTAAACAAATTTCTAATGTTTAAAGAAATAAAAAATCATTGTTAATCACTGGTAACTGATTTTTTACTCTGAAACTAAAGAAACTTGAAATACTTTTTATCGAGGAACATAAGTATTACATATACATAACATAAGTATATATCATATACAATGTAATCTTATATATTTAGCTAATCAGAATTAATAAAGCAAATAATAAAGATTTTTTGAAAAAATTAAATTCCTAACGTTTCCTGGCATAACCTCAACATAATGAATTTGTGAAAACACACGAACCGGCGACTAAAAGATAGCTCATGGTGCCATCTTTTAGTCGTTCATTAAGAGTGAGTTTGATTTAAATATACCGCTTGGTGCTCGGTCCTTATACTCCTTATGCATTAGTAGGTTATGTAGAAAGCGGAAAGTACAGTACGCGGTACAGTACGGCTGTTTCAATTTATTGTCAAATGTAATTTACAAATTAACAATAATCAATCTGAGATTTGAAAGATTTGAAACTTTTAAATAATTAATAATGTACAGTTTATGAACGAATTTGAAGAATATTAAAGTTAATTTGAATATGCTGTTTTTTTGAGTTATAGGTAGTTTTATTTGTGCAATGGATTCTGATAAAGATATATTTATCAGAGAACTTGAATTAGAAAGTCAAGATACTATTTTGACGTTTTCACAAAAAAATGTGGGTGATGTTAGTTGTGTTGTATGGGATGCTGCAATAGTGCTTGCAAAGTATCTTGATATCACCAGTCATAAAACCAAGTGGTTGCGAGGTAAAAAAGTGTTAGAACTTGGAGCAGGTTTGGGATGTGCAGGACTTACTGCTGCTTGTTTGGGGTAATTCTTTGAAATTGAATAACATTCCTTTAATAAAGTCAAACTGAATAAGTTTTTGCTATTTTGCTTATAGCGCAGATGTTGTTTTGACTGATTTGGAAAGTGCCCTATCCATGCTTGAAAAAAATGTAAAGGCTAATGAGAATCAATGGAAAAAGTTTAAAGGATCAGCTAAAGCACATATACTTGAGTGGGGCAAGGACATAAGCTTAAATTTTCAACCAGACATTATTCTACTAACAGACTGTGTATATTATGATGAGGTATAGACATCATATTCAAAATTATTTCAATAAAATTAAATTTTTTTCTAGTTTTTAGTCTATCCAACCACTTTTGAATACTTTGCAAAAACTTGTTAAAGATGGAACTTATGCAATTTTATCTCAAGAAAAACGTGACACACCAAAACAAGTTACTGTATGGGAAAAATTTTTAGAAGAATTAACTGAAAAGTTCAAAATAGAACTAATTCCTCCTGCAGAACAACACTCACTGTATTCAAGTCCTGATATACATCTTATGAAAATTCATTGTAACTAAGAGAGTTCAAATAAAAAAACTTTGTAAATATTAAAGGGATCAGAAATAATTTTAATTTAATTTGGATAAACCAAAAGTATCATCTATATCGTTAATTCATCTTATGTATTTACAGCTCATATGGAGAGTAAGATTTACTTTGCTTGATAATTAGTCCTTAGAAATATAAAATGTATAGAATAACTTATTTTGTACAAAAAATTTCATTCTATTCTTGCTGCTGATACGACACACGTCCGCGATGCATGCTCTCATGTAATTGTTCCTGCAATTGTGCGTAACGAATCTGTAATGCTCTTTCTCTTTCCTTTTGTCGGTTCACATCTTCCATCAACGATTCGAGTCTCCGAGGTAAAGCAGCGTCTTCTTGCTTCTGTAGGAATTTGAATGTAGACAGTTCTAGACGTAATTGGTCTATTTGATCTTGTAAATCAGTATATTGCTTTATTAATACTTGAGCTCTAGTCTAAAATAAAAATAATATTTAATTTGATTATTCCGTGTCATTAAATTTAATATATGGTTTTCAGCATAAAACGTTACTTGGTAGCCTCCTAATGTTATTTTTAATTTCTTTTCCAACTTAGCAGCTTTCTTAGCTTGTACAGTCATGTGTCCCCGATTTTCCTCTAATTTTCTTTCAGATGCTTCAATTCTATCTTTTTTTGAAGCTAGTGTTGCCCTAGTAAATCGTTTTTGTGGCTCTAAATATAGCACCTAACAGAAATAAAATTAGAATAAATCATCTACTAAATAAACCTATTAATCCATCATTACTGTATTTTATGTATTTACTTACTTGTGATAAACATTCTTCCCAGACTTTTGAATAAGACTCCAAACTCAATTCCCCATGAGCCATTCCTTCCTTAACCGCAGCCATTTCATCTTTGATCACACTTTTCGCCTGAAAAAAGAAAAGTTTGCTGATTTCAGTATGACTAATATCAGTTTGTACATGCATAATAAATTGAACACTCACAGCTTCTAAATCTTCATCAGTAAATTCCTCATAAGGATTATGGTCCAGCCAATTATAAGCTTGATTGAGAATAGACTGTGCACGTTTATTACCAGGCTGTACAGGATTTTTTATTGCATCATAGCACATCATGGTAATCATCTCCTTTTTAATCATTTCTTCTGCTTTTTGTAAATCTGTTAAGGACACTTCATTTGGTGGTCTTAAAACGTTTAGGTTGACTTCAAATGGTCGAGGAAGACCTCTCTGTAGCACTTGTGAACGTTTTGCTAAATCACGTTTTTCTGTAAAAATTTTTAAAATTATTCAAGTTAACCGCGATATGCTATATCTTCACATGCATAAATATTCGACATATGCTTAATTTCTTACGTTGTTCAATTAACTCTTGCTGTTCTCGTGCTTCAACATCAGCTTGATCTTCAACTATCATATCAGTTGATGTTTCGGTTTCTTCTTCCAAAGCTTCTTCTGGCACGACAATTTCGTAATCATTTTTCGGTGCAGGTAAAGTACTGAGACTTGCAATAAGCTCATTTTTCGCCTAAAAAAATAATTAAGGTTTTATATATACTAGTTATATGTAATCGCTTACTTTCTTTTAAAAAATCCAGTCAATTAACCTGTTTTTGAATCAACGGCGTTTCTGAGCCTTCCAAAGCATCTTCAGGATTTATATTCAACTTATCACGAAGAGGAGTCTGCCCGACTACAGCATTTTGACCTCTGGCTGAACCTGGTGTACTGAATTTAGCTGGTGAGGCATCAGTTCTTTGAGATCTAAATGGGGTAGCTAGGACTGTATTTGGTGTAGCAATTACATTTGCTAAAGGTGTTACAGAACTGAAATCTACATTGACTAGTTCGGGATTTAGACCACCTGAGAAAATACATAATCAAAATCATTCTGATTCGTTATCAAGAAAATATTTCTTTTATTTTATTTGTATTTTTTTGAACAAAATATTTACCTTTTAGAGGAGTATCTACATGTGTCAATGCCATTACATTTTGAGCTTCTTGTAAAACTCTGTCGACAACAGCTGGAGTTCTTGGAGTTATGGCTGTATTTGGGGTAAGAGAATAATCTGCCAATAAACTGTCAGTCAAATGGTTTCCACTTTCTAGAGCAATTTCTCTGGCAGTCTGAACAAAATGTATATTTCATGTAATAAGGAAGAAGCAAAGTAAAATATTTAAATAACCGAGTTTCATTTTCAAATGAACAAACTAGATTTACCTCAGATGCTCTTCCTAATTTAACAACTTGCTGCAATTCTTTATCAGAAATTTGTGGTTCTGGCAATACAAGTTTACTCCTTTTCCTCAAAGGCTCATTATTCATCATATTTGCAGGCATATCATTTTCCTTTCTCTGTTTTAACTTTTGCTTATCCTTTTTCCTCTCGATTTCCTCCTTTTCTCTCCAAGTCAATTGATTTTGTTGTCTTAACTTTGAAAAGTCAGAAGCCATAGGATCAATCTCTTCCGTAGATGTATCATAAAATCCTTGAGCTGGTTTCTTTTCAAAAGGGATCTCTGTGTTATAATTAATGCCTCGTTTTTTCTTGTTCTTTTGATTAACTTGAATTCCAGCAGCTCTCAATTCTCTTCTTTTCTGCAAAGCAGCCAATCTCCTAGCTTCCTCTAACTGCTTCTCACGAGCTTTCCTCTTGGCTTTCTTGCCTTGTGTGTTTGCTAATCTAGCTCTGGCTTCTGACAACATTTCTAATTCATCTTCATCCATGTCTTTGGGATCAGGGCGTGCAGGCTTAGTTTCAGGATTAGGATCAATTTCCCCAGGTTTCAGTTTCCTGGGATCATCTACACTTTCATCTCCCTCTTCTTTTCTTTGTGCATCGTCCAACACATACTCGTACCTCTCCAAACACTGAGCAGCTGTTCTGCCAATGATTGGAGCAATAGTACGCCATTGAGTTGGCATGAGTTTGGCTAAGTGCAAAAGTTTCTCGTCTTCTTCTTTGCTCCATTCCGTTTTTTTGATACTGGGATCTAACCATTCGAACCAACGTGCTTTGCATTGTTTGGCAGACTTTCTATGGAGAAGGGATGCTATACGACTCCATTGGTTTTTGCCATATTTCATTACAGCTGCTTTTAAAATTTCATCCTATAACAAAACAAATTTACATTGATTTTTTGTTTTTTATTAACGCACATGGATTTCATGATTGAATAAATAGAATCTAGATGACTCAAAGCTAAATGTTTACTCATACAGAAAAATATCTTACTATCTTTGCAAATAGCATTCAGAAAGGTTATGTTATTGTATTTGAAATAAAAAAGTATAGAACATCGAAAAGAAATAAGTAGAAATATGTGTTGAAGCTTTTATTTAAACTAAATAAACAAAAAATATTATAAAGATATGCAAGAGTCAGGTTAAAACTCACCTCGGTATTACGCCAAACGCCACCCTTTATCATAATTCGAGGCATCTTGATGGCTGTCTTGGTTCTTTCACACTAAATAATAAATACAACTAGCGTCAGGCCAAAAAATCACACTAAAACGACGCAAATTCACAAAAAACTAAAGAATTATCAATGGTAACAAAACTACAGCACACTGGACCAGTTAGGCCGTACTCATAGCTGCCAAAACCTGAAAAACCAATCAAACCAAACGTGACGTAATGAAGCAGTCGACCAATAAAATGATTGCGCGCGAAAGTACCAGTATTTGCCCGGGAGAAGACGGAACAACAGGTTATCTATAGAGTCGTCCATAAGATAATATTGTTGATTGAAGCTGTTGCAAGTGTCTTTCGTTTGAACTTCAATAAAAAAGAAAAAAACATGAAGTGCACGATTCCCGAGATATCTTGGCATAATCGTGGCCCAGTACTTAGTGTTGATTTGCAGGCTGGCTGTTGGAAAAATTCCTCAGGTGAAACCTTTTGGAGGCTGGCATCCGGTGGTACTGATTCTCATGTTTTGGTATGTTATTAATTGTCTTATTATGTTAATTTTACAAGTTTATTTCATTTTTTTGACTTTTGAATGACGTTAATTTGTAAAAAGGTTATATTTATCAATTTATATTTAAATGATTCAGCTAAACCAACAATGAATTTTTAGCTAACAATCTAATTTAAGCTATTTTATTGCTATAGATTTGGCATGTCACAGTAAATGAAGCTGGTGAATCTACAGTGTCCTGCGTGTCAGACTTGGAGAGGCATCAAAAAACAGTGAATGTGGTTCGTTTCTCTCCTTCAGGAGAGATATTAGCTTCTGGTGATGATGGTGTGTGTTAAAAATTCAATAATAATTATGCAAATAATGTTTTATTTTTTTCAATAAATTCTTGCTTATATAGAATCAATAATAGTACTTTGGAAGCAACAAGAAACTTCAGAGATTCTAATCATTTCTGGAGATGACATTGTGAATAAAGAACGTTGGAATTCATTAAAAGTATTGAGAGGACATATAGAAGATGTCTATGATTTAAGTTGGTCTCCTAACTCAGGTTTTATAGCTTCTGCATCTTTGGATAATACAGTGATTTTATGGAATGTTGAAAAAGGCAAGAAGATTGCTATGTGTAGTGATTACAACAAAGGATTTCCTCAAGGAGTTGCTTGGGATCCTGTCAGCAAATATGTTGCTTCTTTGAGTTCTGATAGGTTTGTTGAATTATTTTTCAATTAATATATTTGTCTTAAAAACTCCATATATAATGGAAATTGTTTTATTTTCAGAATTTGCAGATTAATAGATGTAAATTTAAAGAAAACTGTTCAGCGTGTCAGCAAATCCAGGATTCCTACTCCTGCTGGACATGCTTTAGAGGGAAGGGTTGTTAGGCTGTTTTATGATGACACATTCAAATCTTATTTTAGAAGACTAACATTCACACCTGATGGTTCACTAATCATTGCTCCATCAGGTATCATTGAACCACAAGAATCAACAGAAAAGGTTTCAAATGGTACAATAGTATTTTCAAGGCATAGTTTGAAAGAGTAATTATTCAAAACTAATATTGACAAAAAATTTTATATTATTAGAGCGATGCATTAAAATTGTTTTCAATTGTAGACCTGTAGCCATTCTTCCTTCTTATGAAGAAGTAACAAACGCTGCAAGATGTTGTCCTGTATATTTCAAGTTGAGAAACGATGGACCTATGCCTATGATTGACTTGCCTTACAGAATGGTATTTGCAGTTGCGACTGACAACTCGGTTATTGTATACGATACACAACAGACGTCGCCTATCGCTATCATTTCAAATATTCATTACACCAGACTGACTGATATCACCTGGTAAGTTTACTTATTATAGAAATGAAATTTAATAAGTCGAAATTAATACGACTTCGTATTCTAGGTCATCAGATGGCAGATTGTTAGTTGCTTCATCGTCTGATGGGTACTGTTCAATCATCCATTTCCAAGTTGGTGAATTGGGAGAAATATATGAGATGGCTCCTAAAGAAGTAGCGACTAAAAAATCTGACGTTGAAGATATAAAAGAAAAATTAAAATCAACGTCGACACCATTTATTGAACTTGATGCAAATGCTGTTGATATGTACATTTTACAGAAAAATTCTGAAAGTATTCAGAAAGACGAAACAAAACCTGCTACATCGAAAGAAAATTCTGATAAAGTGGAAGTGGATGATCGTGCGAAAGTTGAAAATAAACCAACAAGAAAATTAAATACTTTGGAAGGTGAAATTCGCAAAAATTCTTCAAATTTCGACGAAACGGAAGATTTTCAATTAATCTTGGAAGATACGATAGCCGAAAGCGAAAAACCCAATGTGAAAACAACTCCTTCAAAGAATGAAAAAACATCGACAACAGTTTTGGCTCGAACGCCACGACGAGTACAACTGATCACTTTATCAAGTCCAAGACGAGCGAAGCCGAGTGAATAATTATTCGTAAGCATTAGATATTTCAATGTGATAAAATTTATTTACAAAGTTTATAAAAAACCAGGCATTCATTTTCTTATCAAGTACAAAAAACGTAGAAGTTTTTATATTTGATTCTTAGAGAAGAACTTCTTTTTGTCGATTGGATTTGGAATGATCTAAAACAAAAAAGAACAAAAATACGTTTGTGAGTTACTAAGTAGAGTAAATTCAATCGAATGATGTTAAAAAAGAGCAAATTACTGTATCCTGTCCTGGTTTCCAACCAGCTGGACAGACTTCACCATGTTCATCCGTATACTTGAAAGCTTGCACGAGCCTTAGAGTTTCATCGACTGATCGGCCCACTGGAAGATCATTCATTGTAATCTGTCGCAAAACACCCTTATCGTCGATGATAAATAATGCGCTAAAATAAAAAATTTTTATGTTATATGTTTATGTGACATTGGTTCAGAACGTGATGTAAAATTGTAATTGTAAGTGTTGAGAAAAAAAAATCCAATTCTAGAGTGCAGTAATTTTTTTTATGCAGTGTAAGATAATTCACGTGAAACTAATCGAATGAGTATGAATTACGAAATAAATTTACGAAGCGTCCGATATGATATTATACAAAACAAATTATGCAAATATGAATAGTTTTATGCCAATAAAACGTTACAAACTTTGAATTGATATGATTCTTTTTAATTGTACTGCCAATCATCAGTGCTGCATTTGAATTTTTGAAATAGATATAGTAATTACCGAAGAGTATGGCCTAAATCATCGAGGTAAACTCCATAATCCTGAGAAATTTTGTGCGTAAGATCGGAGAGTAATGGAATTTTGATATTCTCGAGACCACCCTCTTTCCTCGGTGTATTCATCCATGCCAGATGAGTAAAGTGCGAGTCTACAGACGCGGCTACAACTTCCACGTTTATTTTACGGAACTCCTCGACCCTGTCTGAGAACGCTAAGATTTCCGTTGGACAGACGAAAGTACTGAAATAAGAGCGACAGTGTTACTACTAAAAGATGAGTTGGCGAGAGTTTTCAATACTTACAAATCGAGCGGGTAGAAAAAGAAGACGAGGTATTTGCCTTTGTAATTCGAAAGTTTAAGCTCTTTGAATTCGCCATTAACTACAGCTGTTCCTTCCCAGTAAGGTGCCCTTTTGCCAACTGTAAATCAACGATAATTTTCGAGCTCAAAAGGGAATAATTACACATAAGGCGACTGTAATAATAAATTGACGATAATATTATCTTAAATATAATAGCCTGCGAAAAAACGCGAGGTTTACTACATTTTTACTTAATCTGATTTTGAACATTTTCGTTATTTATTTCGTTTGTCGTTTTGAACTTATTAGCGCTTATCTTATCAACGAATGTAATACAGTAAACGCTCACGCGAGAATAATTACGTTCCATCGGATGATCTATGGTAAATATTTCTTTTCCAAATAATCATACTGCACAAAAACAATGTTACTTTTTATATAACTGTTTTTGAGTCAAATAATTACGATCTGAAATGACAAACAAAATACAAATAGCCTCAATTAGAAAAGCAAATTATATCAAAGATCTATAGTAAAATGTACGGATTCTCCAACAGAAAAAAAACTAATGAGCCAGCATCCACACACGCATGCACACACTTGCCCGCAGTTAAGTGTATAGCAAAGTTCAGGACCCCGTCTAAAAATAGTCTAAAAATAACGGCCCCTAACGAATAACAAATCTCGAATTACTTACTGACAGCTTTGGTAGTATGCAATTGATGTCCCTCGTGTTTAGTGCCACTAGGATACACGGTGCCACCGGCGAAGGAGTAACAATTCTCGTCCTCGCCGAAGCCGGCATGGACCGTGACTACAAGGACTAGACTCAGAAGAAGGCCTACGTGGACAAACATCGCGCTCTAACAGATGCAAGGCAAAGAATCGCGTGACGTTAGTTTTCCGAGTCTCTCTTTTCACGCGTTTCATTGAGATTTTTCCAGATGCTTTACTTACTTTGTCGGCGTGGATCTGCAAAACGAAGTCCGCAACGCGCGCGGAAGTGATATTGTTTACAAAATGTCAGCGCTGGACTGCGCTGCCCCCTTGGATGTTTCTGCTCGGCGCTTGCGACTGCGCGGCCACGTTCTATTGGTCGGCCATTGTGAAGAAGCGCCAGTTTTCGAGATAAACCGGTTCACTCGAAAATGCTTTAATTCACAATGGAGGAGCAATCGAGCTCGATGCGTATATATCGATAATGGAGTTGGAGATAAAAGTACGTGTAATAATTGGAAGAGTCGTGAGTATAAAAAATAGATTTTATTCAGACTTTGCGATAAGTGCTACGTTCAACGTAGATTACATAAAAAAATTTGAAGATTTTTGATGTAAAAGTTTTAAGGGTCTTTATACGTAAGAGCCATCGGGCGTGATATATCGGACACCAGGCGTGCTTGAAGATGTAAAAATGAATTAATTATTTGACATTGATTCTTAAAATAAATGTTGCACATGGTCTTTTCAGAGCACGCACAATTCTTTGGTAAGATAATGACAAACAATCAATTTCTTTTTTTACCTCAGTGTTTGTTCAACGTCCGATGGCTCTAACGTAGAAAGTGCCCAAAGCAATGAAAATTACAAGTGACATCTCCGAGAAAAAAACGATTAAGGATAAAAAATAAAAGGTACTTACAAACAATACAGACGAGCACAGGACGTATGAATCATGAAATACCTTGCAAGACGTATGTACACCTACCTACTAGCATGATACTAATCAAGATTCGAGATATACATTGACTAGCAGTGGGTTGTTCACTTTGATCAATAATAAAGGAGAGAATTTGCTTGGACATTGAGATATATTCTCCTACTCGACGAATAACCGATCAGTCTCCACGTTTTCGATGATAAAAAGCACCCGCTGACTGCGTCGCGCGACAATCTTCAGTCGTACGGCTTGAAGTCCTCGCACCTCATCGTCGCGGCCTCGATGGCCTCGATGAGGCTGCCTCGGAAACCGTTTCTCTCGAGGGCGTGGATCGCGGTAATGGTCGAACCTGCAAGCGAGACACGCCAGATCGTCACGGACTCGGGGGCCGAGTAACGCAAATTGGTGCGCACCTGCCGGCGAGGAAACGTCGTCTTTGAGCACGCCCGGGTGGATGTTGGTCTCCATGACCATCTTGCCGGCGCCGAGGACGGTCTGCGAGGCCAGCTTGTAGGACAGGTCCCTGGGCAGGCCCATCTTGACCGCCCCGTCGGCCAGAGCCTCGATCATCATGTAAACCTGCGGACAATCAACGGGCGAGGCGCCTTTCGTAGAGCCGCCGCAGCTGTGTCGCTCGAAGCGTGCGACATCTCGCGATCTCTCACGTAGGCGGGTCCCGAGCCGGCGAGCGCGGTGATGGGATTCATCATGCTCTCGGCCACTTCCTCGCACAGGCCCACGGCGGAGAACAGTCTCCTGGTGATCTCGGTGTGCTCCTGGCTCGCGTGGCTACCTCGCACGAACACCGTCGCGCCTTGGCCCACGACCACCGGGATGTTCGGCATGACCCTCACCACTGGCGTGCCGCTCGGTAAGTTCTTGGAACAAAGCGACAAGCCTCGATGTTTTCTCTTGGTCTCGGCAGCCTGCGGTCCGCGTACCACGTCTTACCTTCTCCAGCGTGCCCAGAGACACTCCCATGGCGATCGACAGCAGTAGCTTCTTTCCGTCGGCCATGCTCTCCTTCAGCTCCGGCAGCACCACTTTCATCGCTTGCGGCTTGACCGCGATCACCAAGACGTCGCCGTGCCGGGCCACCTCGGCGTTCGTGAACACTGCCTTGGATCCTATCGCCTGCGGACGGGCTCTCGCGATTATTCTCGTTCGAATCTCGCGAGCATTCGAGTCGGACAGCGCGGGCGCTCGGCGAATTGGATTCGGAAAGACGGCGACGACGCGGCGGCGCGACGGCTCTCCAAACGACCGAGGTTCGCCGTGATAAAAGCCGTCTGGCGACGCGGTGCCTCGCCGATAAGCCGCAGGATTAGGCGTCGCGTAATTTTCCGAATTCGTGGCTCGGCGCCCTCGTTATCGACAAACAACGACACCTCGTTCAGATCGGCCAATTCCTGTCGAACGCGTCGGCCTTTTCCCAAATTCGATCGCTTATCGTTACGCCGCGAATCGCCGGCCTTTTTGCCTTTTCAGCGGGCTATTCGAGCGCTCGATTTTTACGATTACTTTATTCGCTTCTTTATCCTTACGAAAAAAAACAAAAAACAACATCGATTTCTCGGTGTAATCACTTGCGCGGGACTCCAAGATTCGAAGTAGCTTCTTAAGCGCCAACTATTGACACGCACACTTTGTCCAGAAAGTTCGGTCAATCGCAAGAGTAACGTGCGTAATCACGAACGCGCCGCGAATTATTCGTAACATCTTCATCGATCGGAATTTCCGATTATTGCTCAATACCGTACTCGCGATACACGCCGCGATAAAGCCATCGATGATTATTTACATTCGCCGACTACTTATCGTTTCGCACTTCCGAATTTCTCGTTTGACTAATCAACTGCGTTACTCACCTCCATCTCCTTTATTGATAATTTGTCACTCGGAAGGCAACTGGCAACTATCATTTCTCCTTTTGTTAAACCTGCAAGACCAAGTGTACATTATTAAGTTGCGTCGCGCTGTTATTCAACGTCATTGTGGTCTTTGTAGTGGAACGACATGAATGAAGAACGAGAGGTAATATTGTTTTTACGTCAGTCATCGATCTCATCGATTTATAGAAAATAAAAGGCGAGACACGCGAGATAGTGAACCCGAGCGACATTCGCCAGTGAGGACGGGCGCGTACCTGCTTTGATGAAGCCTTTGGCGAGAGCCTGGGCCATTTTGCCACCGCCAACGAAGCCGATTTTCAGCATTCTTCAGTCTGGTTTTCGATCGCTGAAAGTAATTTTTCCATTCAGTGCGAAACATTCGCTTGGCTTTCTTTGTCAGCCGAGTCGCGTGAGTCATTCGCTCGTAACGCCTTTGTGCACTTCCGAGTATTGTCCTTTTTTGTTTGCTTCGATCCACCTTTGGCAATCAGTTATGGGCATCGGGTGGCTGTGCAAGTGTTGTTCGAGAAATGCGCTTTGCCAATGCTTTCGGTCGAGGCCCGGGGCGAGAGCGCGCGTCTTGCCTCGCTTCGCGCAGCTACGCGGCCGACGGCAACGTCGAACAGGAGAAAGAAACTCTCGTCACTCGGCCGTATCGCGCTTTCACAGAGCGTACGACGAACCACCGCGGACTCGAAGCTCGACCGACCGCGAATCCCGAGCGACGGCTTGATCGATAATCCGAGCTGCATTGCGAAATGGCCGTACACGGCGAACGAGTGCCCGTTGCGCACTGGCAATGCTGGAAATCGGAAAAGCCGCCGCGGCTCTCGGCAGCGCGTCGCGCGTCGCGCGTCGAGGAGGACTTACTGGCAACAGCTTGGCAGGCAAAGGCGAAAGCGAACTCGCGGAGCGGGCAGAGATCGGGTGGCTGACCCGAGAGCGATGCTGGGAGCAGACTGAGGTCCGAGTCAGCGACCCGTGGTCTACTTATAACGAAACTTTCGGCTGCTACGCGGGGCATCGTGCGTGCGTGACACGCGCGCTGCTGCAGCGCGAGTCCTTGCAAAGCCTTAAGCGCCCGCGCCGTTATCAGATAAAGCGCACGCGGCCGGCTCTGCCTTTGTCGCAAGCGCCGCGGAAGTTTTTTCTTTTCTTTCGGCTCGAGGCTCTTCCTCCCTCGGTCACCTTTCCGACGCACCTCGTCGCTCGAAAAATCGGCCGCGCGACGTCTGTGCTTCGAAACTTACATAACTCGCGTTTGGATTTCGCTCGCGAGCAGCGTTATGAAATACACATCCGTGGTGTACGTCTGTGTCGGATCGAAAGATAGTGAGTTCGTCGCACGTATACAGCGATGAATATAACAGATAACGCCTTTTCTTTATTTGTCCCCGCGGCGGTTTATCTTCGTGTGAGTGGAAAATTTCATTTGTATTAATTCGCTTGCAAGCGCGCAATGCAAATCGATGTGTTTATGCGGACGCGGGCGTAAAGCTCTCTCGGATCCCTTTTCTCTCGCAGACGACTTTGACGTAGGTTATCGCATCGCGACGATGACCCGTCGAAATCGCTGAACTTTGTACGTGCGATAACGTATAAACTTGCTCTTCCTTTATTTACATGCGCTTTACAGCACGTAAACATTATTTTAAATATATCGGTCATTCATTGACGTTCCGTGAGTGCGCGACAAATGCTGACCACGCGAAATTGTTATTGCAAATAAAAAATGCAACGACTCGCGTTTAACCAAATTTCTATTGGAAAGCATTGCATTTATCTTTACATTTTAGAAATGCGATGATGTTTGTCTTTGACCATCTTCAACAACTGTTTAAATAAAGTCCTAGAAGAACAAGCAAGACAAGATGCAAATGTAAACAATTTGTGATTTTTATTCCAAATTGAACCTTTGACCAATGAGTTGATCAGCTGATCGATGACACTTATGAACATAGATAAGTCCCGCTGCTTTTAAGAATCCGATTCACAGTCCATCAATACCGGATATTAAAAGCCTTTTTAATTTTAATAACGAGCTTCCTAACTGCATAATTATCGTTTAAATACTCATCATAGCAATGCCTACGCAAACATTTTAATCGATAACTTTATTGGCAAAGTATCAATCGATCAAGATCAATACGTTTACTTACACTTACTATCAAACGCACGTGCAAATACACTTTTGGCACGAACCCTCAATCCAAATGAGACTGTAGATAGTCTGAGGCGTTCGCCAAGATGCAATTACTATTTCATGCTTGACAAAGCTACCGATTAGAGAGTACCGAGATAACATCCCAAGATTTAAGATAGTTCACCTACTTGATAAGATTAAATTATTAACGTGAGCTGACGGAGAGAAAATTTTTCCAAAGTAACATTATTTTTCAATACAGGAGAAGGCGCCACTGTATGCAGATAATACATCGCAAGTAAACACATTGCGGAACAATTTGAAAAGTAGCATTCCCTTTGTTCTACCGATATTGTAGGAGTTTATAAAAATTTAATTAAATGTGCAAGATTCTTGAACGTCGATAAGCAAAATTATTAGATTGTGCAATCTTCAGTCGTGCATAATTTTCAGTCTATAGTTTTGAGCTTTCATTGATAATTGTTTTTTTTTTGTTTCGTTTTAGCAATGACCAATTGAAAAAAGAAAATCAAGAACGTTGCATTTTTTCACAAACATCATAAATCTATAATTTTATCGTTTTGCCAATGTACGATTATCATAATAGCCTTAGAATGTTTGGCATTCTCGACTTGCGACTTTTCATATAGAAATCGTTGTTCTTGTTGAAATATCATTCTTTTCACAATGCCGATTTTTTAATCTACGTACTATATGTTAATAGAACAACATGATAGATTATTAGAAATGTATAAATACCGTTTATATTAAAATATTTAAAGTAATTTCAGATGGAAATTCACAGTTGCTACAATTTAGTTATATTTTCCAGCACTTTGTTCATTATATTTTTCGATCCTTGGCTATTTTCGAAGTTGTTATCTCGTGTTGCAGACAACTGCAGTCGGATTTTTCTCTGCGGTGGTCATACCTTTGATCGGCCTTATTTCCGAAGTCACGTTAATCGTAGGGATTCCGATATGGTTACCAATTTTCTCCGCAGAGGAGTTCTCTGTTGAACCCGCCACGCCGAAGACACCAGTTTCCACCATCGCGGACCCATCGAGCGGTCCTTACACTGACTTATCTTCACTCCAAAAACTAATGTAGTTGACGAGTCTTAAATGTATCTATCACATCACCATGTACTCGTCAGCCAAGCGGAAGTGTCATAATAATCACTGCGAACATATAGGCGCCTATTGCCCACTGCACATTAAGCGTTGCGAGGTCAATCGCATCTGTCATTCCATATATCGAATAACGCACACTATTGAACGAAAGATCTACGTTCAAAGCAATTGATCGATAGCCAAATTGGTCGATTATTTAGATCATTGGTCAGATGTTAGATGGCTTGAAACTGTTTTCACGTCGAATACGAAAGCTTTTGCTCTAACGATTAGGTAGTAATTTCAGAAAGGGATCAGGTATGGGTTACTAAATTATCATTCACATGGTCAAAATATATACAAGAACTCGTCGAAAGAAGTATAGTTTTGAGTGAATCGAAAGTAATATTGTATTGTGGAAATTTAATTTGACTTACCTCGACTGGAGAAATGGAGACAATTGTAAGTGCTACTATCGTCGGGTTCATCTGTAAAAAACTTCTTTATTAAATTTTCAAGTTATTACTACAGTCGACACTTATTTTGACTGGAAAAAGATTTCTATCTCCTGTAAAAAGACTGTCTACGGGTACCAACAAATCCATGACTCTTATTCTCAATCTTCACGCGTTTGACGAGAAAAATATTCCAATTCTAAACAGAGGTTAAAACTACGGATCTGTCTATGTCTTGATAGGCTCTTTTTCTTTTTTATTTCCATAGCTTAGATAGTGCATTATCGCATATTACTTATTCTCTCGAAACATTTACGTACATCAATGAGGCAAGTACGTTGCGAACTTCGCGATTTTCCTTTTGAATTCAGAAGACGCAAATATCAATCTACGCTAGCGTATAAAATTTTCAAAGAGTTTAAAATAAACCTAGATAATCGGGTACTGTGGGTAAACAATTGTAAAGTAATTTTCACCTGTCGAACATTTTGTTTGGAAGTTTTAAACGAGCCATTCGTTGATGACACACCAACGCTAACGATCGTTCGGTTTTTGGAAAAATGTTGTCTGGGTGGAACACAAATAATGAATTTAATCGAAGAGCACGTTAAGAAATCTCATTTTCGTGGCTAAAATGATGTGTTAATGTTTCCGTTCACTTTGGTTTATACATTACATTCGCATACTGCCGCAAAGAATCGTAATCTTTTTGCTTCGTACATAATCGGTGCCGCATTTTACATTGACATTGAAAAGAAAAAGTTTTGCTGAAAATTAATTTGAAGTGGAAGAAAATTATTCACACTTCGCACGAAATTTATTTTATCAAAATACTTGAAGTTATAAATTTTGATCGTAATCCAGGTTATACGAGGAAATTTTGCATTTTATGCTATATGTATGGTTAGAACACAGAAATAAAAATTCTCGAGAGAAATACATTATACTCACGCCCTGAATTGGGTGCACGGAAAAAATCTTTCCTGTTATTTCTTATACAATTATTAGTTGTTCTTTTACAGAAAAACATAGCTTCATCGACGGTTTATTTCAACAGTTAATCTACGTACGTATGAATTAATGTACGGCGCAAAAATTATAATTTGTCTTCTATAAATCTGAAGATCTCATTTGAACTTGGCATATTAATATCGAATAATTTAATATGCGGACTAACTATTGCTATTTTGAGAATTACAAATGTCTGAAAGAACCATGTCTCTATGCGCCTCCTAACGATTGCTTGATTTTTTGGTCAATCCAGTCTCTGTAATAAGCAATTCGAACGTACACTCCGGGCTTGTTTGCTCTGCCGCAATGTTGACCCCAACTTGTCAGGCCGTACAAGGTGAACGCACCTGAAACAAGGTGATATAATCGCTCGTCAAATTGCCGTGGCGTCAATCATACGTGTTCACGCGCGCATTTCTGAAATGTCGTACCGTTGTGCAGGCAGGCGAGCGGCCCGCCAGAATCGCCGTCGCAGGTGTCAGGTCCACCGTGCAGGTGGCCGGCGCAGAGCATGCCGTTGGTGATCGACGGGCCGTAGACCCGCTCGGCTCTGCAGGTCGAGTCGTCGAGTATCGGCACCCATCCGTACCTCAAGTCGCGCGAGTGAGCTGAAAGCAGGCGCGTGGCAATGATTGCGCGATCTCGGGAGCTGTTCGTAGGCAAGCTGCGAAGACTCACTGGACGAGCCAGGCTCGATGCTGCCGAAGCCGCTGATCGTGCAATTGAGACCTGGCGGGTAGTCGATGGCCGCGTGAGGCAAACAAATCGGCATGACGTTGCGGCCCAGCGACATGCCAGGACTCTTCAGCAATACCAGAGCGATGTCATTGTTCATCTTGTGTCCCTTTCGGAAGTCCTCGTGGATGTAGTAGTCCTCGATGTTCGCTTCGAGCTCCGTTCCTTCGTCGATCTGTCGTCATCGAGAACACATTATCGGCCGATCGCCAAGAGAGAAACTTTGAGTTACATTACAACGGGCAAACTACATTGAGATTCGATTTCATACGGGGATTGCATCGACGCCAGATCGCCGATCTGGCTTGTCGTATTCAATCTGTTTTCATCGGCGCCCGGTGTTGTCCATCGCGTGGAATCTCGCGAGAGCTAATCTCTTGTTTTTTTATTGATCGTTATCGCCTCGCCGATGATTCCTCATTCCGCGATGTTCAAGTATGTTCTTGTCGCGTCTCGACGGTGATGTTTCGCGAAAATATTTCGAATTTACATAAAAGTGATGTCAATAACGATATCTAATTAGCGAAGAAACGCACGAGTGCACAAACGTTTTGTCTCAACAATTGACGTCAAAGTGAAGTGAGTTTATTGAAATAATTGTTTAAGTTCGCTCGCAAGTACATTTTATCGGCAGATGTTTTTTTTTTTATGCAAACTTAATTCCGTCATATCTATAATATATATATTACCTTTAAGTTTTTGAGCTCACCAATAAAATATAGTCCAATAAAAATACGCGTATACTTAGGAACTGATTTGGACAGGATATTTGTGTCATTCGTGCACATGGCAATGAAAACAAACCACACATATCTCTTAATCGTTTTATTGCTCTGATAAAAGCGAATATTATCACGTTTTCACCACATTTCGCAGCAATCGCCGCGAGTCGCTCGTCATTTCTTCGTATCAAAATACATGAGTCTGTCAACGCTCTCCGGCGAACTTCACCAACTGCAGCTTCCCTCGTCAGGTATTTTTGATTACCGCTAACGCCAAACTTCAATTATACAAGTAACAGTATAACTTTTTTAAATAAATTTTCTTAACTAACCGGTCAAACCTTTCAATTTTGCCGTAAGAATAGGAAGAAAAAAAAAATGATTCGAAAGCTATACTCGGGTTGCTTACGCGTTAATGTAGTTAATGATTGGTGCGCAGTGAAAAGATACATGCGCACGTGCGAAGCGGTGAGTGGAAAGTGTCGAACAAAGCGAAGTCCGTTAAGAATGAAAAGCAGAAAAGAATAAATTGAAAGGTTGCGCGTAGCTCGACCAGTGCCGATGAGCGCGGCCTGAGAAAAAGAAAAGCAAGGAAAATCCAGCGACGCAGTACCTAAGCCAGCATCCTAGGATCGATCACATCCTCGCCGCCGAAAGCACAGGGCGTATTCCACGGCCAGTCGCAATTGCCAGTGCGCGAGTTGAAGCGTGTACCGGGAACGCAGTCCTGCACGTAAGCTCGACCGAACCAGCAGTTGATGAATTTCTCACAATCGGGTGGATAGGGATGCCGACTGTTCGAGTGAAATTTCGGGCACATGGCGTATGGATCGTACCCCGCGACCTAAATTTTTCAAAATTGATTTTGCTGCCTATTATTTTGTTATTGCAAATATCTGATTGCGTAGTTAATCTTGTTTTTAATAATCTTTAAAAGTCATCACTTGTTTATTGCTCAGATGTTAATTTCAGTTTTACAATTGTAACGCGAACTACCGAATGCACTTATATTTGATAGAAAAAGCTGCAGACATTTTTTTTGTCATAAAATAATGTAAGACGAATCTAAAAAAGTCTAATGGAAAGAAGTCGATCTGATTGATCGCGAGTCATTACAAGTCGTAAATAATTTGCTTAAAAAACAATGATTCATGAAAATCCGTAGCACAAAATAAATGAGCGCGCGTAGTTGAACTTACCCCAGCCACCGTGCAAACAGCGACGATCGCAAGTGCAAAAATGGCTCGTCTCATCTGTGAAGCGCAAAAAGCGAGATCCATTAGCTTTGACGACCAAAGCACAACTGAGCTTGAAAACGTCACCCGGTCGGAGTGTGCACGAAAAGAATTTATCTTTTAACGCGCAAACACTTTTTGTGCGCTCGTGTAACTTTGCAAATGCTGAGAAAATAAAAAAACAAAGGAGCGAGCGAATAACGCACAAGTCAACACTTACCTTGAGAGGTGGCGGTGGCGGCAGGTCGGCCTCTCCCGAGAAATCGTCGACAGGTAAATTACGAGCGCTCGCCGTGAGCGTTATATTCACTCGTTGCGCGTGCCCGCACGCACTGAGCAATAAAATATCGGAAAATTAAACACGCGGCATCAACGAAAAGCTACGATCGTGTCTTTCGTCGGAGCTTTCTCTTATCAACGTTCCTTCGTTCAACCTCAATTACGCACTCTTTCGGCAAACGCAATTATGTAGATTAGCGAACTTTCCTGGGTTTCGCCCACGCCTCGCGCCAACGAAATGGCACGTCGGCTCTTTGCTCGTCAGCGTTGCAACGTAAACACGAACGACAAGCCTTGCCGATAATTAAAGATGTATAATTAAATTTCAATGTAGCTTGTGTCCCCGCTCGCCAAAGAGGAAAACAAATAACAAAAAAGAAGAAAAGTAAAAGAAGGGTTTCTCACCTCGGTATTGTAATCGCCGGCGCGCACAAAATACGTGCCCTTGTTGTATCCCTGGAGGCAGTGGGCGGCGGTAAGGACATGAAGTGGCGACAGCACCACCGCGCCGCACCAGTGGTTCGACTTGCTGTGCCCCCTTACTCGTATGCTCGCCTTCGAACGTGTGTGTTTTTTTTTTGGTTTGCATGTTACTCAACGCTCTTTCGCTTTTTTCCTCTTTTCAATGAATCGATCATTCGATTTCAATGCGAACCGATTTGGATCGACGAGAGAAGAAATCGACGCGGGAAAACAAACGTGTATCTTTATTTTTTATTATTTTATATCAAGGGGTCTACGTTAATCACTTAGATCAAACAACGATTGTCGCGCATCATTCTTTTCCTTCTTCTGCTTTATTTATTTATTATTTTTTTATAGCCTCGCAATTTTTCCAGATTACGTTCAGAATCTTATTCAAACGGATAATTTTCGCGCATTGCACGCACCGTTTCCAAAGTCAAGTAAGTAGAGTGCGTGCAATAAGAAAAGCGCAGATGCCTGTCTCGTAAAATTGTCACTGAACCGAGTGATTTTAAGCCGCATTTTAGTTTAATTCGGTTGCGTGACGCCAGAAAAATAAACGGAGAAGACAACAGAGCGTTTACACGAGCATGTGATATTTTCGAAACCAGCGAGGCGTCATTTGTCAAAGGCACGAGTTCACACGAATTCACGAAGATTAATTAAAACTGGCGCATGAGTCACCTACCTGCCAAGGATAAGAGCCACGGGGTGCAACCGAGCTGCGCACGACTCTTTCGAAAATCAGCTCGTCGTCGTCGTCGAAATCTTCGAGTCTCCTTCCGCACTCCGTGGGCAGTACGTCATTCGCGTTGAGTTTGGACTGCGCCGCAGTCGCCGTGTGCATGCCCCTGCTCTGTTGCAATACACATATTTATTCGCTCGAAAAATAACGAGGAAAGGCAATCTTTCCTTTTGTTCTTTTATGTGCTTTTTGTATACCGAGGAAAACAATTTATTCGGACTCGTTTTATTTCGTTTCGTCGATTATACACTCTCACCAGTGTAATGTACTATGCCACGAGCAGGAGTCTACGATAGATTCAAATGCTCGAAAAGCTCGCTAAAGTGCAACGGAACGACCGAGAGAAAAGCGTAGTTCGCGGCAGTGCAATTTGTCGCGCGTTGTGGCGTGGTTTTGCTTCGCTTGAATTACCTCGTATTCGTGCGGCGTCGGCCCAGCGCTGCACACGACTCCCGCGTCCTCGTTGTGGCCGCAGTTGTGCGTGCCCCAATTGTCGTGCTCGCATCTGGTTATCGACGTCTCGTTGCCGTAGCAGAACACCTGCGAACGCGTTTTCCACCGATTTAAGCGTGCGACCAAAGACACTTGATTTCGAAAGGGCGATCGGCTCTTACCTCGTCGAGCCAAATGGGACCGGTGCCAGGGCCAAAGTAACCATCCTTTTTTACCACGGCATGTCCGTCGTATCCCAACGATCGACAAATGACTTTGGCGTTGACCTCGGAGAAATCGTCGTCGCAAATCGTTCCCCAAATTCCATGATGGCGGATCTCGACTCTTCCCTCCATTGGACTGCTGCCGTTAGCTAAACGAATCTCGAATGGCGCCTGCGTGAAGCATATTGGTTCTTATCGTTGGCAATTACTCGCGCAAGTCTGGAGCACTTACGTCGCAGTGGGCGGAATTCTCGTCAGAGCCATCGGAGCAATCCACCACCTCGTCGCAAATGAAGGACGTTCTTATGCAGTCGGGCGAATTATCGCACTTCCAGTGACCATCTTGGCAGACGTCAGTGTTGGTCTTGCACACCACACCCACAGCTTCCTCTGGTTCGCAATTGTGATTGCCCCATCTGTCAAGTTAGACGCGCACGAGATCACGAACATCTCGACCAAAGATATCGCATGCTTACCCGTCGAAATCGCATTCCCTGATCGTGCTCTCGTTTCCGCGGCACTTCAGCTGATCGACCATGAAGGATTCTGGCGGATCCATGTTGCCGTAAAATCCACCTGGTCTCACTTCCAAAGCACCAAGATTGAAACCCAACTCACGACAGATCACTTCAGCGTCGATTATGTCGAAACTGTCGTCGCAAACCTGGCCCCACTTTCCCAGAACTGCAAAGATGTCACCGAGATCGTCAGTGGATCGAAGTTGTCCAACAGCTAAACTTACTTTTAACTTCAACGCGGCCTTCGTGACTCGAATTGGCTCCCGCCAAACGAATATTGTAATCCAAATTCTGCACCGTGCAGACTTTCTCGTCCGAGCGGTCGAAGCAATCGTTCTTACCGTCGCAAACTTTCGTACGGTTCACGCACTTTTTGTTCGCGCAGACAAACATGTCCTCGCAGTCGATTGTGTGGGCGCGCATCTCGTAGTAATCATGTTGGGTGTCTATCTCTAGGGCACCCGTCAGACCGACGTTGCTGTCCGACAGGTAGCAGGTGTTGTCTTTCGTGCTGAAAATGCGATTTACGTTTTGACTTAGCAGTGTTTCAAAAAGAGGGGAACTTAGCAGTGTTTCAGAAAGACGCTTACTGATGAGTGAACGATCTGCAGGTGAAATCGGCCTCCTTGCAGCGCAAAGCGCAAGTTTTCGCTGGCGTGTTGAGCCATTTCTCAACTTCGTATCCGTCCAGCCTGCGCCTCGGATATTTTTTAAAGAAACTCATGTGCGACGCACATTTGAGCTCGTCGGCGCCGTTCGTACAGTCCTCGAATCAAAAAGCGTAAAGCATCTTTATTTCTATCCGCTATCCGGTGGCGCGGAGCAAAGCAATCTTATATCTTACTTCTTGACCGTCGCAAACCCACGGCGACGGAATGCACTCGCCGGGCAAACATTCAAAGTGTTTCGGCTTGCAATTGCCAGTCAGGTGTGATTTCTTTGACACTGCAATCAGTCAAGTTGACGTCGCGAAGATGCCGATGGCAAGCAGTGCTGTCGCAAATCGACTCACCTATTTTGCCGCAGTAGGGAATGTCACAGTACTCGTATTCGCTCCGCGGGCCGGTGAAGCACCAAGGCCTGGACTCCCTCTGAGGATTCGGGTTGCGACAGTGATTGTGCGACTTGAGCTTGTCGCGAGCCCCCCGGTCCGGAACCTGAACACACGCGCGCGTCAATCATTATCCTCGCTCGATTCGTTCGTCGCGCGAAATGCGCCAAGAGACACTGACTTTGCTCACGAGCGAGCGAGAAACTTGTGGATCGGACCACGATAGGCAAGCTCGGCCGGAAGCGCTCAGACTCGCGTTGCCGTAGTATTCCTTGCCGTTGCCGTACACGCAACCAACGTCGTCGAACGCCCGTTCGCAGATGTAAGCGTGTCCCTTGTTGGAGGCAGCACAGTCTTCCACATCCCAAAAGAAGTAGTCGGTTTTGCAATGATTGTCGGGCCGACTGTGACACGGGAATTTCCTCGTCATGATTATGCAAACTGGTCGCGATCCAGCGCTCGGTGTTTGGCTTTTGTCTCTCTCCCAACCTGGCCACCACTTGGTGAATCTGGAAAAGAAAGAATACAAGAAACGACATTTAGCACGCTCCTACAGTTCATTTTGCGCAGTTAATTCATTCAAACTCGCTTGAATTTGGCCGCTGAGGGATCCTCCCAGGTCCAAATCGTTCGATTCATCATGTTGAAACCGAAGCCGGAGGTCATAATCGAGTCGACGTGCGGCTGATTCTGCATCAGGTACTCGGAGACGAAATTGTTTTCAGCCTGGTCGAAAATGTCGACGAGCCTCGAGCTCCTTCGTTGACAGTAATTGTGAGCCTCGTCGCGCGTCAATGCGTTTGCCGCCTCGGCGAAATGGTAGCATTGGCCCTCGTGGGCCACCTCGTCGATACGACAATGAGCCAGTCGGTGCGGCAGACAGCGCACTGCGACCGCGTCCCGCTGGACGTTGCATTCGGGTTTGTGAGAGAATCTGCGCAAGGATCGCATTGAGAGCACCGTCGAAGAGGCGGATGCCGCGCTGAATATACGCACTTGCAAAATTGGAATTTCGTTTCGTTGCCGTAGCAGTTGACCGAGCTCGCGGCTATCCAAGCTGGAACTTGGGAAGTTTTCGGGCGTCCCTGCCACGCGGACGATGCACCTCTGAAAATATTGATGCACGCAGGCAATTCAGATTGACTGCAGGTGAGAGATTTTACGTTATAGAATACCTGTTGTAGCCGAGTTGTTTGCAGACGACGCTCGCCTCGTCGACGGTCCATCTGTTTCTTAAGTCACAAACGCTGCCCCAGCCAGGATGTTCGCCTTGGACTTCCACGTATCCTTCCGATGGATCGGAGCCGCCTCTGAGACGTAATGCCTATTGGACAAAGTAAATACAATAAAACAATGTCGTTTCGAAATTGTCGCGAACCGTGTCACGGCGGACTTACTTGGCCGGATAATGGCGTTGGCTTATTGAGTTGAAATGGATCGAGTTTGAGAGACGATGATCTTGGTGGGATATAGCTATTGGGAAATGGCGGTTCGTCTACGTCGAAATATAATTGTTAACAATTTAATATTATTCATTATCAAATTTCACGAGAATCGTTCTAGTGCAAGCAAACTGCCGCATGAAGTGTAAAGACAGATTATAAGGGCGCGAACGTGCCAAAGCTTTATCTTTCAAAAGCCATTACCTGAAGCTCAATAATCTCACCTGAGATAAGCTCATTTACAAAATTTATCGTCAACCACTTATTTTCAAACCAAATTACACATTTACCATTCGAGAAAGGCGCCACCACGACGTCATCGTGATAACTCGGCTTGTGTTTTCCAACTCTCATAATCACTGATTCCTCGTTTTTTCTCTGCTCAGCCTCGGCTTTGTTTTTGAAAACGAGTTGCGGCTTCCAAGGCACATTCTCGTCCGAAGTCGTGACTTCGACTTCGAACCCGTCAGTTTCCGTTGAATCTTCTTCCGTGGTTGATGGCCAAAAAGTTTTAGCTCCTGAATTCGTATCCCGGGTAGACTCGGCTGTCTGTTGGGCAAACGATGAGTTCCAATCCTCTTCGAGCTCGATCGACACTGTCGGCAAGTTCGTGTCCATGGGTGCACGGGAGTATTGGAATTCTTTGTTGCGAACGTCGAGCTTTGGCTCACCAACTTGGATCGTACTAGTCTGGTAATATTACGGAACAATTAAGAAAGAACAACATGAAAAATTGTTCTACTTACCATTGCAATGTTTAGTTTATCGGGAACAATCACATCTGGTTTATGCGTTGTCGTAGTAGCAGTTGTTGTGGTAGTTGTCTTATCGAATCTCACTGGGATCCTCATGACGTGATGCGATTGGCTTGACGCCAAGTCTTTTATTTTTGGTATTCGAGAATTATCTGAATTACTGTTTAGCGAATTCACAGCCGTACTTTGCTTCCGCATGTTCGAATGGCCTTGATTTATTTCCACATTTTTCGTGATGTAGTGGCCAGGGGTATTGTTGAAGTTTATCACGCTTGGTACCTTGGGTGGTTGTAAATAAATTGGCGGCGGTACTGCACCTAATATTGTTCTTTTAGATATTCCTTGACTTTTTTCTCTAATTAAAATTTTAATCATTTACCTGAATCAGTCGATCGAGAATTTTCGTTGGAATACTGAATATTAGGATTCACCGGTCTTGCGAACGGCTTCATATTCATCGTCACGGTATTCGGACCTAGGCACGTTTATTTTTTTCTTTTTAATCTCATTCGATCAACACAAGATTAACAACCACAAGCGAATGAAATACCACCTTTATAAAAAAAAATTGAACCCAACACCATTGCCGTTATCTCATAAAATATATCAATAACCCTATATCTACAGAATTCTTTACATAAACTATGCAACACAAGCATTTTTAGCAGTGAACCGGAAAGCAAGACAAGTGCGAATCATGAGGCTGTTCACGTATCATTTTGATCTGTATAAAAGTGAGTATGCTAAGCATCACAGCCATTAGTACTATGAAATACAAATGGAAAGCTGAACGCAGACAACACACCTTGGACATGTGGTCGCCTGTCAGGCACAGCAGGTCGCTCGTATCCGGGTCCCATGCCACGCCAACCACTCGGTCGGAAGCCGCTCTGTTCGGTATCCGGTTGGCTCCATTTGTCGTGATCGTTGGCGCGCCCGTAACCGGTTCTGCCCGGTCGTCTCGTGGTTGCCGGTACCGCCCAAGCGTATCCCCGATCCGGGCTCGACGCTGGATATCTTTCCTCGCTCGAGCTCGTCGAGACGTCGCTCCCGTCGTCGTCGCGATGCGCTATCGGTTGCGCGTGACCGTTGATGGGGTGGCTCGCGTCGAGTTCCGGTCGTCGACTCTCCAACGGACCTCGGCTGCTCGTCGTCGACGGACGTTTACCTGGTTGTTGATAGTAGCGACTGGGCTGCCGAGTGTAAACACTTGCCGACGGCTGTTGCGCCGGAGGAACGTACGTCGAGCCCTCGTACTGCGAGTAGTCGGTAACGGACGCAGCGCCGTAATAGCTGTCGGTCTTGGCGTCGTGCCACTGATCCCCTCTGTTCGTCGGCGATCCACGACCAGCCGGCTGGCTGTAACTCCATTCCGTCTGCTCGTACGAGTTACGTCCGTGGTCTGCACCAAACGGAAGTGGTTGCATTGTCGGTCTGTGCAGCGATTCGACGATCAACGGGCTTACCAGCTTGGCACGACGGTACATTGTGCGGCCAGTCGCAAAGCGTTGTCATGGGATTGAAAACAGTGCCGACGCCACAGTCCATTTGGTAGGTTATCCCGTTGGCGCACTGCAGATACTTGGCGCAAGTGCCCGGGTGTGGGAGCAAACCCGAGAAATCGGACGGGCACTCGATTCTCTGGCGACGCGAGCCTTGGGACGATTGCCCGAAGTCGCGATCGGTGGGTGGCCCGGCCGGTTGGTAATAACGATCCTCGTGCGATGCTCCGGCAACCGCTCCTGTAAAGAACAACTCGAATGGTGCACCTTGGAATAAAAGTAAAGCGTGCTCTCGTTCCTTCGATCAATCACGTGCCTTCGCATCCCTTCGCGTTCCTCGGATGATCGCAGGTAGTCAGGGCTGGATTGAACACCGTGCCAGGGCCACACTCCATGAGGTGAGCACGGCCGTCGGCGCACTGCAGATACTTGGTGCATTCGCCAGGCAGAGCCGTCAGGCCGCTGAAATTCAGCGGACACGACAATCGCCATGGCTCCTCGGAACTCGACGCACGGCTCGAGTGCGTGGCGGTCTCCACCTCGCTGTGCTCCGCCGACGCGCTCGGGAAATCGGCGATCTCGCTGCCGTAGCATCGGACTTTGTTCGGGAAGTCGCACTCGAGGCTGTCGGGACTGAACAGCAAGCCCGGCGCGCACGGCTGCACGAACGCACGACCGTTCCAGCACGTCACGTAGAACTTGCAGTCGGGTGGGTAGACGAAGAGGCCCGTTGCGTCCAGCGTCGGGCACTGCGCGCCGATCGCCGGGTCGTATTTCGCCACGACTCCGTACGTCGAGTCGGACGCTGGCTTCCGTGGCAGCTTCTCCTTGCGAGGTTTCTGGACAAACGTGCGGATTTTGGCCGCGTCAACGTTGTTTCATCGACGACCAGGGGAGTTTCGGCTTGGACGTCGATTACTCAATCGCAGTATTTACGACGAGTCCGCGAAACGATTAGTGCACAATACATATGTGCCGTGAAAGCACAGCCACACACTCACGTTGCTTTCGCTCGAGACGCCCTCGTACCACTCGTCGTCCTCCTTGTTGCTCAAGCCTTGAACGTTGAAATTGTTGTGTCCACGCGACGATTGCCACTTTGCATTGTCGGTCTCGTGGTGGTAACGCGGCCGCTGAGCGCTTGGTACCCATTCATTTGAATTTGGAATGGCCAACCGTTCGCTCTGCTTTCGCGACCACACCGAGTAATCGACGACTCGTTTGACGATCGTGTGCTCGGCTTTATTTGCGCCCGCGTTGTCCTAAAAAAACAATTGGGAATTAGCTGTCGAAGGGAATAATGGTTTTTTAAGTATTTATCCGTGATTATTGTCGGACTTTCAGTATACTTCAGCCCACTGGTATTAGTGGGCGTGACCCCAAGGGAAAAACAATTACGGAAGCTGAATTTTCAAAAAACCTGAATCTTCAATATTGTTAAAATTTCAGTGAAGTTGTTCTTTGTTTTTAATTGTAAAGATTCAGCATATAATAGTTTTTCGACACTCCGTGCACAAAGTGCGTCTTCCTCGCACGCTCGGCAGAAAACGTGCGTTGAAAATCGCACTTTCCACACGTCGTATCAAAAAATACGGTACGGCACATGTTCGGGAAAGAGTTTCTCGTCTCGTATCCCCTTCTACCCTCGCTTCGCTCGGGTGTAAACGCCACACGAGACCAGAATCTACTTTCCCGCACTTGTATCGTAATGTACTATTCTGTTGCTTCATCGTACATTTTATAATTTTGAAGCTCAATGTCGCTAAAGTGTTACTGGAAACACTAACGATCAACCAAATCTCTAATTAAAAACATGGAAGAGTTGTAAAAGTTATGAAAAGCTTGGCGTCTTCCATGGGCATTGAAAAACAGCTGTGTATATAACTATTTTTCTCCTCTTCCGTCATTTATTTTGCGCAATGTTTGAACCTAAGATCGCTCGAGTGTCGGGTAAAAATTGTGTCAAGCGATAAGGAAACACAAATTTTGAACTTTGAAGTGAACAGCTCTTGAATATTTCACGCCAATCGTCAACGGAGCCTGCGGGCAAGTGTTTCAAAAAGCGATGCAACGGCAATAAAAATCATCCTCTCGTGCAAAGTGAAAGTAAGGGTGAGCGTAAAAAGCAAATAAGCATTGATCTAATTGATTATTTCAGACTCCACCCGACGCGGCATGCAAATTATAGATATCTATTTCATCAAAAGTAATCTCGGCGAATTTACGGTCTCGATCCGTTATCGCGCTCGAGAGGCGTCATTTGTTCAACATTACAAATATGCACGGAGTGCTTGCGCGCCAACATTGCGAACAGTGTAATGTGACTCACGACGCGCAAATTACGAATTTCCTTGGGCAATTTCACAACGCGCGCCGCGAATATTACTATTTCTTCCAGCGTTGACGAGCGCCGTCGGTTGTTTTACGAGTCGGGAAAATAATTATTGAATAGGCGCGCGTACGCCAGCGTCGCAGGTGAATTCAATCGACAAATCTCGTCGCACAACTCACCTCGTATGGAAAATCTTCGCTCGCGTCGTTCAGTATCTTGGGAACGCTGACGCTCTCGCTGGCGAGACACTCCGATAACAAACACACGCCAAATAGCACTATTACAGTCAGTTCTCGCTTTGTCGGAATCATTGTTCGGCAATTAAAACTCCATTTGTGCGAAGGAAAAACAAAGAGGCGAAAAAGTCTCCCTAGTGTCGAAAAAAATGCGTTCGGCCGCGCAGCTTTTCCTCGACTGAGCGTGTCTGTGACCCTCGAAAGCTTTGAGAGAGAGAGAGAGAAGTGAAAAAAGGTTATCGCTATGGGTCGCTACGTAGCGAGAGAGAGAGAGAGAGAGAGCGACAATGTGCGACGCATCTGCTGCTCTGCTCCCTACGCTGTTTTCAGATGCCAGATGTTGCTAATATATTTCTTCTAGTTTCTTCTATTTCGAGGATTTTCCAACGCTTGGAGGGTTGTATTTTATCTTTCTTCTTTTCTTAAGGTTGCAATTTTTTTCTTATTATTTGTTCGTTCCGTCAACGAACGTTTGTTCAGGTGCGCAGCTTGCAGTATCTCTTGACGACATTATGATTTCGAATTGAATCATATATGTATATGCTGCCGTTCGGTTCGACCTTCTGACTTATATGTGAATACAGCAACTTGATGACTTAGTCTATTAACTCCATAAAGAATTTCAGATCGTTAGGCTAAATTGGCAGTACGTTGTCCGATCAAAATTATCAATGCCGATAATCATAAGCAACCGGGAAGTGTTTTTTAATTTCTCAGTCATGTTCGTTCAATTGATCGTCTTATTGTGCCTTGCTGAAATCGCACGGAGAGCTCGCGGATTCAATTTCTGCAGGCATAACGACAAGACCGTAATGAAAACTAATGGTATTTTCGCCTCGTCAACGAAGACGTTACTCATCGGCACACTTCTTCCGTACCTATCAAAAGCGCCGCGCGCGTTGTACGTGTGACGCTCGGTATCGTGAATGAATTCATTGATCGTCAGCCGGCCCTGACGATATACAAGTCGGTCGCGCAGCCGTGACGGCAAGTGCAATTGAGGAATGAGAAACGTTTGGACGCGGAGATCGCGACTGCCAGATAACCGTTACGCCACCCGGAGAGATAAAAAGAAAAAAAAGAAGAAAAGAAACTTGCACATGTGCGGACGACGACGAGTCACATCTTGTGTTTTGGAAAATACTCTTTGGTGGACGTGATGTATGAAACAAGTGATAACAATGAAGAGGGAGTGATTTGAATTAGTCTCTAGTCTTTTCTGTGGTGATCTGAAAAAGAGAGTATGAAAATGATATTTGGTTTAGTGACGAGAAGCAATATTTTTCCACTGTTGTGTAATGAATTACCGGACTTGAGACCAATATGTTCATTTCAAATTAATTTGACTTTCTGGAAGTTGCGGGCTACGAACAAATCAACTATCCTATTTGGTGGGAATATGAGATGAAAAATATCGTAAACGTTAATAAGTTAGTTGTAATAATTTTTTCACTGAAAAACAAAACAAAAATTTATTATTATATTTCATAATGCATTGTACTCAATTATAATTGGTTCGCTACGCGATGATCAAATAAATAAGTTTAAAACCTAATTGGCAACTCATCGGTACTCGTATAATTAATAAAAAAGGAAAAGAAAATATAAAAGAAATTTTTTATCGCGACAACTAAAGATAATAATCGTGTCAGTCTATTGACGCGTTGATCGTCGCTTAACGAATTGAGCCGGGAAAAACCGAGACTCTGGCGAGAGTGTTAAAGGTCGCGACGGATGACGTGACATCCAATTCTTTTCCAGAATCCATTGCATCAAATGCAAAATCTCTTACGAAAAAAAAGCTCCGCGGTGTCAGCACAAATATTTACAGCTTGCTTGGAAGGCAGTTAATTGATTTCGAAGATTAACGTCAAGGGTCACTTCATTGAGATATTTAATTATACTTGTTATTGTTTCTGATGTGTTTACGCATTACTCGATTATTATCTCTTAGCGGGAAATAAAATATTTGGGATGCTGAGTTGATGTACGTGATAGTGGTTTTATAAGAAATCTAAGGGCTTATCTTTTAATGCACTAGACTACAGCGATAAGATTATTACACAGTAATAAATTAAAAATAAAACTTAATCATTTTGTTTGTATTTCTTAGACGAGGTTTGATTATGAGATTGTTTGAATGAACTTGTATAAAATGAAATATTGAGAGCTTAATAAACAAGCATACAAAAAACCTTATTTCTCCATTGAAATTATTTACTCGTAGATAATAGCGATATTCTTCAGTGCAGACTGATAGTACTATGAAATGATATGTCAAAACAAGGTCGATTTTATCTGAAAATGTGTTAGTAACTTATTTACATGTTATGTATTTAAATATCAATCTAAGTAGAAATAAGTTTTCTAAAATAAAACAATTCGAGTATTTTGGAAAAACCCAAATTGTTCAAGTTGAAAGTAAAATGAGCCGATGTAAAGCGACAGACATTTTGCAAATTGAAATTAGCTAATCGATACAATATTATTAACAATTTCTTTATTTAAATGGATGGCTAAAAGATACAGTGATAAAGTTAAAACTATTTTCTTCTATTTCATTCCAGTATTTTTTTTCCTCAACATGAACGATATCTTGTGAACATTATATATATATATATATATATATGTTTTCAATAAGCGCACTTCTACAAATCGCATTTATCCACAGCCTGCGGGACAACTTTGAGCCGATAATGATGGATTTGGACTACCCGAGCGTGAGTATTCCGGATATCCCGGATTTCCTGGGTAACCGTTGCTCGGTGCTGGAGAACCGATATTCGATCCTGGATAAGTGTTTGCGGGTTCTTGGTAAGAAGGATAATTAATCGCACGACCGGGATAAGGTATGGTAGGGCCTATATTATAATCCCTTATTCCGCAAGCACCTCGGTCTCTTAAAGGGTAGTCGCACACCAAGGTCCGCGGGTTGAATTCGGTGCCGATGCCGCAATTGAATACGAAGCAGCCACTGTAGTCGCACACTTGATATTTCGTGCAGTCACCCGGTACTGGCATAACGTAATCGCTCTGAAAAAAGCGTCAAGAACTTGAACAAATTTAATGTGATCTATACGTGTGCGTTTAGAAAAGCTGCTTGTTATGAGAAATTGAGAGCAAATTATCTTACGAATGTACATTTTTAACTTTTGTTTTTTTTATCCAATAAATTTCAAGTAAGAAAGGAACCAGAAAAAGCTGTTTGCTTGTGGTTAATAAAAAAATGTTCAAGTTTTATTGAAGATTTTTACGGTTTTAGTTTTAAAAAATATATGCTGTAACTTACAGTGACTAGATTCATTTGAAAAATTGTACTTATTCCAACAAAAATAAACACTATATGGTATTTCATACTTAAAACTTGAAAAAAAAACTACAAAAAAGAGATTTAAATCACAGCAGTGAAAGAGACAAGTCTTGTGAACGGCAGGAAGGTCTGAAACTTGACAAACAGGTAAATCAGCTCATCATTCGTTTTTAAATAGCTTTCCTTGATTTATAATTGTCCAGCAAGTAATGTGATGTAATATTACAGTACATAAGAGTGTAATGATCGTGTTTTTCCGACACAATCAATGATACTGCAAAATCTCTGCGTCTAATTGTGCGATATAAAAAATAAACGTTGTAATAGAAAGTACTACTCAAAATTAAAATGAAGCTAGTGTCTCAAAGTCTAATATGGTGACGATACCTTATTCATTATTTCGCAACAATTGCCGTCTCTCCTTTTCCCAATCTTAGTTTCTCTTTTGTATATTTAAGGAAATATCGATATGGTTGTTTCAACCCTGGATCATTTGCGGGCACTTTGAAAAGCCGTCGGACCGGTGATGAATTCAGAAGGAAAGCTTGCAGAAATCCATATGTACTACTACTTAGCCAATAAACATTGACTGCCTGTAGTGAAATTATTTTATTTTAATTAGAATTTATTTCAGTCACAGAAATTTAGCGCATGAGAAAGGAAACTTACAGCAGGACAATAAGCAGCCAATGGTATCATGCCAATGCTAACTACCCTGAAGAAAGCACATCTCCATTGCTCACTTCTTGATCTTCTTATAACTTTGAATGATTGGTGGATCTTAAAAGAATATTTTTTCGTCAATGTGTAAAATTGTGATAGTTTTATTTATCTAACTAATTAAAATTACCTCCACCAGTAGTAAGTTTATTAGTCCTATTGAGAATGGTAATATAAGATATGAATCAATTTCGGTAAGGTCAGTAATCCATCCAAATCCACCAGTTTTCATTTGATTGGTTATTTTTTCACTAACTGATTTTACATAAATTATCTTAATGAACATCTTAATGAACATTTGAATTTTCAATTATTTATTTATATTTATGAAAGATAAATGCTTGAAATAAAATATTTTATCACTGTTTTGGTCATATAAAAAAATCTTACTAAAAATAGGATGACACAGAATATATGTTGCAGTTGTCATAGAAATCCATGTGACACATTGCATGCTTAGAAGAAAGTATGTCTTCATTGGGTGACAATTTTCTTTTTTCACCAAATTCCACCAAGCTTCTTTTTTCTAAAATAAAATTATTGATTGATTATTGTATATTAAACTGATTTAATTAGGTAACAATAAGAGCTTACTGCTTCTTCATATTTTTGATTTGCAAGATCCTCGGGCCAACCATAATTTCTTTGAGCTATCACAGACTCTTTTTTTAATAGTTTATTGACCTTTTCTGCCTCTATATTTACCTTTTCTAATTTAGCCAAAACACGTATCTGAAAAATCATTCTATTAGAAATCTATTTTAGCCATTAATTTTAATATAAATCAATCCCTTTATTGTAAATACCTGTGTTATGGAAAAAGGTAGTAATATGATTGTTCTAATGAGAAATGTAGTAAGCACAATCGAAGCCCACCATGGTAATCCAGTAGCCTCATGTACTTGCATAAGAAATTGTAAACAATATTCTACCAAAATATTATCAGAGACGTCAGGTGAGATGAGATCTGATGTAGTTTTTTGTGTTATTTCTACAGAGGGAGGAGGAGCAACATTAGTAATATCTTTTAGTGGGTCAGGATTTTTTATTCGATGTAATCGTGATGTTCCAGAAAAATTTCTTTGAAAACATTTATATATTGGTAAAGTTGGTTGGCACAAAGTTTTGTTATTCGAAAATTTCATACAAATAAAACTAGATGAATGAATTTCCTTTCTCTTATGAAAAGTAACAGTGTGATAAGTGCTACTACATTTGTTAATATTCTGTTGTACAGACAGATAACGACATTGACTATATCGTAAATTTTGTAGCACCACTTTGTTCAAAATTCTGTAGTTCATTATTATTTACTCAATGCAATATTTCTATTACAGAACTTGAAAATAAATAAACGTTATTGTTATCAAACACATTATTATTTGTTACACATGGACATGGAGAACCGGTTTTCATTGAGAGGTTATCTTGGCAGAAGACAATATTATCTTTTATCTGCACCAGAGCATCATCTATTACCAATTAATTAATCATCTCAAAAGTCACTTCCTCAAATATTTGTTGTGTTGAAAAAAATAATAAGAAACGACGACCTTTTCAACCAAAAATACAGGTTTTATCCACTGGTATTAATTAATTTTCACAATTAAAAGTGTATATCATTTTAAAAAATCTTATCGGAACTCTAAGCGCAACAATCGTGAGCTTGAAAAACGTATAAAACCGTGTACGAACTTTATCAATTATACGTTAGAAACACAACCATGAAAAAAGTGAGAAAAGAAGAAAAAATACGGTCAATATTATTCAAATATAATCGATTTATTTTCAAGCTACGCACTAGTTTTTGTATATTATAGATGTACACAGCTCTACATCGTATAAATAAGTCGTTTCTTCAACAAATGGTGTTGCCATTGTCGCCAGCACCGATGCCCGGTGGAGGAGTGTATTTTTTGAGTGGAGGTGCCACCGCACCGTTGTTATCGTCGTTGTAGTCCTCGCCATTGTCGTCGGGATCCTCGTAATCACCCTCTCCGCCTTGATGTGCAGGTGGATATGGTGCCGGTTTCTGTGGAGCACCACTACCACCGCCCATGTGACCTTTGTGTCCTGGGAATGGATCACCACCAGTCAAACCCATTCCACCCGACGGTCGATGGGGAGCTCCGTTTTGGCATGCTCTGCAGTTGCCACCTTGAGCGTTGGGCTGCACTAAGGTCTGCTGCTGATTTTGCGTATCAGAAGAATGAGGACTACCACTACCGCCGTTGCCAGGTCTAGTGAATGCATGCCCACTCGGTGGTGGTAAGCCACCTTGGTTTCCCATAGGTCTAACACCTTGCAAGAAAGGGTTGCCACCACCGCCGCCACCTTGAGGTCCGTGATTACCAGCCATGAAAGTGCTACCGCCACCTCCGCTATACGGCTTCTGAAAACCACCGTTGGAAGGATGGCCACCTTGTGATCCTTGATTACCACCCATGAAAGAGCCACTACCAAGTGCGCTTTGCGGTCTCTGAAAACCATCGCCAGGATAGCCACCTTGTGATCCTTGATTACCACCCGTGAAAGAGCCACCACCAAGTGCACTTTGCAGTCTCTGAAAACCATTGCCGGAAGGATGGCTATTTTGTGGTCTTTGATTACCACTCATGAAAGAACCACCACCAAGTGCACTTTGCGGTCTCTGAAAACCATCGCCAGGATGGCCACCTTGTGGTCCTTGATTACCACCCATGAAAGAGCCACCACCAACTGCGCTTTGCGGTCTTTGAAAACCATCGCCGGAAGGATGGCCACCTTGTGGTCCTTGATTACCACCAATGAAAGAGCCACCACCACCTCCTCCTTGCGGCTTCTGAATACCACCGGTAGATGGATGACCAGCTTGTGGTCCTTGATTTCCAGCGCCGTGAGGACTTGCACCGTTATCACTTTGAGGTCTTTGACTGCCACCTCCGCCTCTTCCAGCACATTTCTGACAATTTCCACTGCCTACCACTTGTTGACCATTGACGGCTGGGCCGACTCCATTGACTATTCCACTCGCGGCAGCAGCCATCATCGCTGAGCAAGATCCTCGATCGCTTAGCGGATAGTCGCAGACGCTCACCAAGGGGTTGAATTCGGTACCGGGCGCACAATCAAATACGAAGCAACCGCTCGCGTCGCAGAGCTGGTACTTCGTACAGTCGCCTGGGAAGGCCATTATCTCGCTCTGAAAGAATGCACATGTGATTTGTCTTCATTTGTCTTAATTAATAAATGCTTGTGATTTAGATTTGTTGATTGTTAGCTTGCAAAATAATAAAAAACTTAATGCTTCAATGGTATTGTCTTTTGAAATTTATTTATTCTTTCGTGATTTTTACGAATAAAAAAATTTGTGTTATTGAAAAACAAGTGAAGCTATTTATGTAGAATTGATCGTTAATTGGTTATTTAGGGTTTTCCCAAAAATTTTCTAATTTTAAGAATAACTTCATTCAAGTTTTTAACTTAAAAAATTATATTCATAAATTACTTACATTGACTAGATCAGCATAGAGAATAATACTTAGAGTAAGGCAGAGACGAACAAAGGCAGACTTCATGTTTATGACTAAAATAAATTAACCACTAATCTCTTAAAAAAAATAAGCATGAAACGCTTGAGAAGTTAAGACTCGAATACAGGAGAATCGGTTTTAAACGTTGCTATTTAAACGGAATTCCCCCAACGAAGGCATATAATTGTTCTTTTCTTATTCTAATGCCAAACATGACGTAATTTTCTAAATGTCTCGGTCAAGATCAATATTGTTAAGCAACGATCATCGTGTTTTCCCCGATTAAATCATTAACGATGTAGATTTTCCCGACACACTGCAACTGCATTGCTAATCGATAATAACAAAAGTCGCGATGATCTGCTATTATGCAATCGCATATGCCAGATATTCCGGCGAGATTACGGAGAAACGAGGCAAACGCATCTCCGCATTATACTTACAGTTTCGATTTGAGATTACTATAGAACTGACGATACGGATGTTTATCATTTTCCAATAAGGGTATACCGCATGTGCGACGAAGCTTTGGTGATTGTAAGATGAAGGCTTGCACCAAGCCAAATGTACTACTTGTTAACCAGTAGATATTCGTTGCCTGGAAATAGAGGAATACTTATTTTGATCTTGGTTGTAGTACAGTTTTGAGAAAATATACAATGTGTCCTAGGCAATAATAGTCAGTCTTAAAAATAAACTTATTTACTATTGCAGCATTGTCTTTGAAAAAATGTAAGATAATAACATGAAATGCCAAGTTTTTTAAGCTTATATTTTTCTTTGCTTTAAGTCTAAAATACTATAACGTAAAGTTAATTCTAATGAAATTAATTTACTATATTCATAAATCATAAAACAATATTAAATTAATAGTATCATTAATAAAATACTTACTGCAGGTAAGAGACTAGCAATTGGTATCATCACTATACTTATAACTCTAAAAAAATTAGTGGCATACTTGTCTAGTCTTGGGTTTGATGGAGTTTCTGTTCTGAATAATCTATGAACCTAAAAGTATTTAGTTTTTCTAAATTACCTAATTTTTTGATAAATTGCTAGGAGTTATAAAACTTACTTCGATAACAGCTATATTTGTGAGACCCAGTGCAATTGGTAAAATCATATAAGGATCCGGAATAACAAGACTAGGAAACCATCCTAAGCCTCCTACGCTCATTTCTATAAATGTTACCTGAGCAGCTACTCAAAGAAATTTTATATTAAATAGGTCTTAAGGCTTAAACATTAAATTTAAATTTTCATTCTCTCCTCTTACCAAAATCTGCTTTTGGAAGCATGTAACATAAATTTCTAGTAGCAAAGGAAAATGCAAACCAGAGTGGGAGCTGTACCCAGATGAGGATAAAATTCTTAGCTGGATGACAATTTTCTGTAACTATCATTTCTTTATATTCTCTTGATACCTATTATCATTATTTTTTTAGTTATATCAGCATATATTTCAAATATCACTGATAACTTACAGCTTTTCCATATTCTTTCTTGACAAGTTGCTCTGGCATATGACGAAACTGACAAGCAAAATTGGCATCTTCTTTTAGTCTTTTTACAACTTCATTCATTTCTTTATTGACTTTCTTGAGTTTTGCAGTATTCTGAACCTAATATTTTAAATATAAAAAGATTGTGTCAAAAAGTATGAAATTTGTCACATAAATTATCAATTTAATGCTAGTACAGTTATTATAGAAAAAGGTAGAGTCACTAATGTTCTAGTAATCAAAGCTGTGAAGATGATCGAAGCCCACCATGGTAAACCTGTTGTTTCATGGACATTTAATAGACATTGCTGAGCTAATTCAACAATTTTCCAATTAGATATATTTTTTAGCATTGGAGGGAGATATGTCATCATGGCATCAATAGTTTCCTCAGATAAAATATCACTTTGGATATCCAGTGATTGTTCATTGTTTTTTAGAACACTTGTTTCATTTGATATATGTCTAATTTGAAAATTTTTGCAAAGTGTTACAGACGAACAACTAATTGTTTTGAAAACATAATTATTTACAAACGTGTGATCACGATAAGTTTTTTCTTTTTGCTTTTGAAAACAAACTGTGTGATCGGCACTGCTGGATTTAGTCAAATGTTTTTGTACTGGTAAAAACTGAAAGAAATTTCGTTGAAATTTTTGTCTCACTAATTCATCGGAGATTCGGAGAATCATTATTGCAATCACAAATTATTCTTAATAAGTAAATAACTCTAGCATTAATATTATTGAAATAAACGTTTAACTCATGTCGCATGCCGATAGTCAACACTGCCGACTGAAATTTAATTTTGTATGTTAGGTTACGGATGCGGACGGATACGGACGCGAATTGCAACTCTAGTAACATCACTAAAAATATCTAGTTCGATTATTTAGTACCAACACTACCGGTAGTGAGCAAAAGTGACTGTTGTTTAAAACTGTAGCGCCGAACGTACCACATTTAATGTAACGCCTATCTAACCTTTACATTATTGCAGTTTTTAAGATGGCAAATGATAGAGAATTGATAGACTTTCAATTAGTGGAATTAGGCCTTAATTTTATGGAAGTACTTGAATATATGAGAAGAAGAAGAAAATATATATAAATGATATGTATTAATCATCCCAAAAACTTTTTTTACATTAGCATACTCATCAATAAGCAATATTCATGAAAATTTGAAAAGTAAATTGTAAACCTGACACTTGAACATTAAATGTGGTACGTTCGGCGCTACAGTTTTAAACAACAGTCACTTTTACTCACTACCGGTAGTGTTGGTACTAAATAATCGAACTAGATATTTTTAGTGATGTTACTACAGTTGCGATTCGCGTCCGTATCCGTCCGTATCCATACGTAGCTATGGGACCGGGGCCTTAGAAGCAGATGACAAATTTATCTGCGAATCATCTGCTTGCCGCTACCATGTGATCATTTGCATTCAAGGTACGAAAAATTTTCAATTTGATTTCTTAAAAAAATAAAACTAGTAAAAAGATCTATGAAAGTTTATTGAATTATAAAAAATATTCATGTATTAGTTATGCCGAAATGAAAGTAAAATAATCACAAACAATAAATGTAGTTTGTTTAATTCTTTTCTGATAAATTTTGTTTCAAGTGTATATGTATATACACTCGGCGTGGGATGGATATCATGGAATCTTTTAAAAAATTGGCATAGTGTTGAGTTTCAAATACATGCAAAAATAATAATGTAAAAATTTGACATCGGGGGTCCTTCTCGATTTGCATTCTTCATGCGCCTGCAATGTCGATTCGATATTGGCAAAGAAGGGATTTTGTAAAAGTTCAGAACAAGTAATCGAAATTAGTAGATTACGATACAAATGTGGCAAAGTAGATTCTTGTCTCGTGTGGCGTTTTACGTCCGAGCGAAGCGAGGGTGGAAAGGTACATGAGACAAGAAACTCTTTCCCGAACATTTGCTGTACCGTATTTTTTGATATGACGTGTGGATAGTGCGATTTTCAACGCTCGTTTTCTGCCGAGCATGCGGGAAAGATGCACTTTGCGCACGGAGTGTCGAAAAATTAATTATAGTCATAAGTATTTGGAGTCTTTCTAAATAAGTTTCGGATTTGAATCTCTTTTTCGAGAATATAACATTTTGAAGACGCTATATTTTATTATAATTGTGACACGTTAATTTATTTGCCAGATTTGAATCTTAAGTGTCGTAAAATTTTTGCTGAAGAGATCCCAATTCGGAACATATTTCGTAAGATTCTATATACTTACGACTATTATTATTTTGATTATTTGTCCAGAATTAGAGGACTCATGTTCTTTTTCTTTACTAACAAACCCAAAAGTACTATACTTTTCCTAGATCGCCTGTTATATCACCCGTCCGCAATAGCTTGCACCTAAAAGCGCCAAGAAAACGATTTGTATTTGATAAAACACTCAAACGAAATAATTCAATCAAAATTAATAAATGTCACACAGTAGAAATTAGAAATAATGTAAAAATATATTCAATTTTCATTTATACATATTTGCAGAGTTTAAGCAATTCACTATCAGATTAACTACATAAAAAGTAACTATAACGACAACAAATGTCTTTAATCTCTACCAAACTTTGTAATATCGTTAACAAGTGCTATGTAATAAATTCAATATGGACTTTATACAAAACATTTCCAGTCTGCCCACATTCGCCCAACTGTATTAACATCTGTTGCTAGATCCAATAAACAAAGAACCTATAATCAAATATTCAAATATAATAATCGTCATCTATGATATTTTATATAATTCAGCATACCTGTTCTTCAGGCAAAAGTTCATGATCCCTTAACAGTGATCTCGCAGTGGTATGGAACCTTTCGTTTCCGTTCACAATCATCTGATACAGAGCGAAGTACCGGTCTTCTGGCTTTTTGTGTACGCGCGATAATTCATCTGTTAAAATTTTTGAAGGCTTTACACAGCGCAACTTCTGTTTTATTATTTCAATTTTTCCTAATGGTGACCATTCGACGCCTGCAATTGAATAATTTATTTTATATGTGGAATAAATATAAAAAGATTTATTGACTACATAGGAAATAAATCAAACCATTGTGCGTTACATCGTCCTGTTTCCATATATGGTTCAACTTAACGTTCCACTTGATAGGTTCCTCAAGGAAAGCTTCTGAACATCCAATAATTAAATTGCTATCGGTTATCATAGCTTTCAGTACATGGCACATAATGGCACTAAATAAATCTTTTTCTCCGAATGGTTTCATGAAATTGATGATTTGTGCTGTTAATCTGAACGGAACAAGCTCAGGAACGGGAAGTTCTGCTGAAGCACCAAATATTAAATTAAAATTGGTACCGAAACAATCGCCATTAAAAATGTCAACGAGGATATTTTTCAGTCGACGATCGCCAACACCAAAAAGCCAATTGATAAGGCACATTGTCGCATAATTTCTTATAAAATTTTGTCGTATCTATAAGCAATAAATGTTGTTAGGAATAAATTAAAACTTATTATGACATAAAAGTTGATTTCTTTATATCTACCTTGAAATAACTGTCAAGTGACAAACTTATTTGGTGAAAAGTACATTGAATCAGATTTGGTTTTATATTAGCAGTTAGTTCTACAAGTTTTTCGGAAACATTATCCACTGAATATTTAACAAGAGCACGTTTATACACTAAACTTTTATTGGAATTTTCGTTTTCGGAAGCATGATTTATCCACTCCTGATATTTTTCCTTGGCGGTTTGAATGACCAATTTATCTACCAACGTATATTCTATAACCTCGTCTAGGGATTTGACATTGGAAATCCACTGTACTAAACCTGTCAAAGATGATATAGGTACCACATTGAACATGTTAACTGATAAATGCCTGTTACGGCAATTCAAATCATTTTTCAAAGTTTCATTTGCAATCTTGAATATCCGCTGTATTTTTTGATTTTGCCGTAGATCAAATCCACATTTAACTAAAAACTCGTAAGTCTTTCCATCAGAACCAATAATTTTTATAACTAGGCTTTTTGATGGTAGAACTTGCACAAACCGATCAATTCTCACGATCTTAGGTCTTTGTTTCAGATAATTATATTGCACAGGAACATCCACATCAAAATCTCTATCTGAGAAGTCATTTAAGAATGGACTGTAATGCGATAATATGGTAGATGTAGTCAACTCTGTTTTCTTCATTCTGTGTACCATACTATTCTGAAGATCCATAAACAATTGTTTAGCAATCTTCTTAGCATCTGTGGCATCCGACGTACTTGATAGTTTTTCAAATACTTTTGTATTGTTGGTTAATACGTTTTTTAGCTCCGTACTTTGTAATGTGACATTAGTAACGACCTATAAATAATAAAAAAACTTAAGACTTAATTACTCTATAACAATGAACAAGTCGTAAATGAATTAACATACCTGGCTCATTAATAAATCGATTGCCTCTGAAAGTAATTTATTATTATCTATGGAATTAATAAATTCTAGCAAACGATGCCTCAAGTATTCTTCAGGTTGACACAAGTATTCCATAGCGCAGAAAAAAGTGTCATACTTCGAGTTCGTGAAGACCGATTTGTACAACTCATCAGCTATCGGATTTTTTGCACGAGTTTTCCAGAGAGTAAGTATTATTGCGCTGGGAAAATCGCTGCAGAGCTTCTTAACGATTGGAAGAACTTGTGGTGCTAATGGAGTTGCTAAGTGCGATATTATTTCTTCCTGTAAAAATAATATTGAAAAGAATTGACTCCTTTTTGTGCGGCAAATCGTAAAATAATAAATAAAAGAATTTCATACCTGCCAATCTAAGAACATTTTGCTCGGAACCGCTTGGCACTTCTCTATGAAAATCTTTGACATTAGTTCATTGTTTCGATAGATTGAGTGCTTCAATAAGCAAGGAAAATATCGTATAGCTTTAGTCGATCCAAAGCTCATGGCTAGCAATAACGAAAAGAGAAATTCCTTTAGCAAAATATCGTCTCTATCGTAAACATCAATCGTCAGCTTTTGACAGTATTCTGCTAACTTTGTGTAACTTTCAGCCATATCCTTGGCGCTTCCCTCTTGACAAATATCCTTTAACGTATTAAAGCTGTAGTTGAAAAGCATGTTGTCGAGCGCTTTAGGATTTGTAGTTTTTAACTCTTGATTTATAAATTTATTTTCTGCAACTCGCCGTGCTATTGTATCGTTCATGAGTACCCAAGAACGCAAAGCTTGCACAAGCTCGAAAATTTGATGACAAATTTTTAATCTCAAAGATACGTCGACTTGGTCATCTTCATATAAATGAATAGCTTTATTCCACGACCCTACTAAGTAAGAAAATCGCTTATCCAAGTTAGCATCAGTGTTAGAATAAAATAAAGCGTAACGGAAAGATGTTAGATCAAACTGATGGCTAAGTTTTTGAATACTCTCGTTTTCCAAACCAGCTGTACGGAAATGTTGTCTTATTTGCAAGCTGTATTTACGAGCAATTTCTAAATTTTTGTACTTTAAGGCCAAGTCGTTCACAAGAAGCCGCTGTTTAATACTTGTCTCCGTTAAATTACTAACGATACTGTGAATATAAATATAGCGTTGAAATTTGGTATTTTAGTAAAACAACATGTTATTAATAAAAAATTAGTGGTACATACCCAGAATCCATCGATACATCTGTAAGCCTATTAGAAAGTAAACTTGCAAATGTCAATCTGTAGTTGAGCCGAATACTCCAATTGAGCAAATCATCACCGATTTTTGGTACTTTCGCCCCCCAAAGACTTATTAACTCTTTTGCTCCGTCGGACGGATCTTTCTCAACAGCATTTATGTACGATTCTATTTCACTCAATCTCTTGAATTTATCAAGAACTCGTTGATTCAATGCTTTGTAAGTCCATTTTCCACGCATATGTTGCAAAGTACTATATAAACATTTACGGGCTGTAGTGTTGTCTCCATTACACAAGAAAAATAAACTTAATTCTTCGCCATATGGTCTTGTAATAGAATCACTTTTCTCGTTCACCCATGCTTCGAGGAGATTGGTAAAGTCGGATTGAAAATCTCTGCCGCTAATTAAATTTTCTAATTTCTCTTGCAACTGTGCCTGAAATACAAATTGCGAATCAGTTAAAAACTTATCTGAGATGTTACGTTAAGATTATCGATTTTACTTTGAACACCCATGGTAATAATTGATCTTTATTTGGATATTGCCAAATCAAGTTGTAATCTTTGTCATATACAATCGCTTCAATAGTTTTATTGATCTCCGACCAAGATGAAAGCCTGCTCAAGCACTAAAAATACAAGTAATAATATTAATTTCGAATAAATAAATAAATTGTCTAAGCTTTAACTTGTGATGAGTATACAAACGTTAAATTATAGAAAAGTTTTTATTGCAGTTTTTTCCAACGAACTGAACATTTTTTTAAATCACTTAAATGAAATAAAGTGTTTGAAAATCTGAGGCATTGGATATCGTATAATAAAATTATGCGAAACAGCCAATACAATTACGCAATTAATTAATGATGAAAACACTGTTGCGTTATTCGCAAGCTTGCTTATTCATAAGTCGTCTGCGTGAAAGTTGGACGTCAAAAGAGCACTGAATCCTCTTTACCTCTATATTACACAACCGCAGAACGCATGTGAGGTGCTCAGTTCGCATTCGGATTTTAGCACGCGAGCGTTACTTTTTTTTGCACTATACCAATAGTCGCGTAATGCTGATATTAAATTTAAGATACAAATTGACATTCAGAATGCTCACGACTCTAAATAATTTCTCGCTTGTTGTTAGTTAGTTTTAATATTTCCTACATATTTCGTCAAGTGTTTTCAAATGTTTCAAAAATTATAACCTCCAACAAATAACAGTGTGCTCTAGTTTTTTTCTTTCAAGGAAAACGTCAAGGTATTTATACAATAGGACATTACGTCACAGTATCACAACCGATGTATATTAATAATTATCATAATTGATGTGTATGTTAATTATGTTGGATTTTTGCAGTTTTGAATTTACATAAAAATGGGCAACAGTATGACATCTCAAGTATCAGCAGCTACAGTGGCTCCTCAACCAAGCAAAGAAAAAATGTCAGGATGTCCAGTTCAACATGACAGTCCACCAGTTCATAAGAAAAGTGAATGTCCTGTGCAGCACGACGTCAACGATATTAATCCACTTAACATGATGCCTAAGGAGAATCAAAATCCAGCACCTGATCAACCATTTCCGCTGTCAAAAGATAGACAAGTGTCTACTATACCAAAAGCTAGCGAGGAAGGAGGTTTCTGGGTCTATCCTTCACCGCAGATGTTCTGGAATGCTATGCTACGTAAAGGTTGGCGTTGGAAGGACGAGGAAGTTTCTCCAAAAGACATGGATGATATTATCAAGATACACAATGCCAATAATGAGCAAGCTTGGCAAGAAGTATTAAAATGGGAGGCATTACATGCTAAGGAGTGCATGACACCAAAGTTGAAAAGTTTTGGAGGTAAAGCCAAAGACTATTCACCAAGAGCAAGAATTCGATATTTCCTTGGGTATGGATACCCATTTGATAGACACGATTGGATTGTTGATAGATGTGGTAAAAATATCAGATATGTGATAGACTACTATGATGGTGGCCAAGTCAATGAGAAGTTCACATTTGCACTATTAGATGTTAGACCTGCTATGGATTCAGTTGAAAATATTTGGGATCGCATGAAGGTAGCATGGTGGAGATGGAGATATGAAAACACTTCAGAGAAAAATCCTGTTTGAAAGTTCAAATTGGTATTTGTAGATATGTATACACATGATTTTAACTTCTTATATTAAAATTACTAAATAAAAAATCGATGTTTTTGCATTTGAAGATTAATTAATCTTATGGTACTATATTTGTACTTAGACAACATTGAAATTATATAAAATTATAACTAAATTGAAATAATACTATGGATTTATGAAACCTCACAATAAATATACAATAACAGATTTTTATTTAATTTTTCATTTCAATTATGTACCTTTCGAAAATAAAGTGAACAGTTTAAATTAGACAAGATTACTTTTCGCAAATTAAAAATTTATTTCAAAATAACTTGCTCGATTATTTCTTTATTTTCAAATCAGTAAAATTTCGATAAATTTTCTATCAAATTTTTCCTTTTTGTAAAATAAAATAATTATGGCAATAGATAAGAAATACTCACGTCAAACATGCCAACCATACAGTAATCTTTAACAACACCATCGGTCACTTTAAATCCTTCCTCATAAGCATCTTTCGCGGTTGACCACTCCATTTCTGCTTCAGCAGACGAGCCTTCACGCAGAAAATGAAGAGATGAATCCAATGACCAGTTTTTGAAAATACTTTCCACGACATCGGAATCATCGATAGATCGATAAAGCGTGGCTAAATACGCATTTGATTGTAATTCACTGGCAATTTTTTTGCCTGTTCCGTAAAGATCGGCATAGTCATAGTTTATGGATTGCTTTTCGAGTATAAGAATACCTAAAACAATTACTTTCATTATACATTTATTTCAATTCGTAGATTAAAATTCAACGTGATAAAACTTACCTAACGATTGTAAGTCCATAGATGTAGAAATCTTTAAAACATCATCAACATCAAATGAACAGTTGCACTTGTACAAAATCTCCAGAGCTACAGGTGCAAACTCATTAACTTCCTTTAATGCTTTTTTACACATGTTCACCAACGACTCTAAAAGCGTATTATATCTTTCCTTGCTTTTGGAATGTTCCAGTAGTCCGCAAATTATTGTCACTGACAATTGAGCAGCATAACTTGGACATTTCTTAGCATAATCTTCGATCGTTGCAACTACATCAGCCTGATTGATTGCGAGGTCAGGTAAATATGTACCCCTGTAAGTGCGATTTAATTTCATGGAATTCTCTTGCTCCAATTTTTCAGACTTCAATATTTCGTAGTATTCCGCGGTGTAATTGCGAGTTATAACTGATAAGAAAGCATATTCGTCAATCTCTATGTTTAATGGGAATTTGCGTTTTGACAGTCTTACGTCATCGTTATCTATTTTTTGTCTACAAAAAAAAAACAAACAAAAATAGAAAAAAGTAAAATAGATTAAAAACTAAAAATTTATTCTTGCATACCTGGGACTATCATCAATATCCATCAGGGATATAGGGTATGTAGGGGATGTAGGAACTGTAGGGGATGCAGGGGATACAGGTGTCTGTATTGGAACCTCCTGTAAACCAACCAAATTTTTAGGCAATGATGTTGGTGACACAATAACCCCCATATCCTCCGGGTCCTCATAATTACAAGGTACTAGAGGACTAAACAGAAGTTTCTGATTGTCCGGGTATTTGTTCGTCAGGTCAAGCATCAGTAAGCAAAGAAATTGCGCGTAACTCGAATGAACCTCTAGATTAAACATATTTAATATTTGTTCCAGCCTGTCAATGGCATTTTCCTTGAATTGTGCATTATCTCGCCAAAAGTCTAACGCTTCTTCTTGTACTTCCTCTGATGGATCAGACACACCGTTGATAAGTACTTTCTCGGTTAAAGTTAACAGATTTTTTGTGTGTTCATCGCTGCAAGTGATACGTAAAGAAGAAAAAAAATCATATTTACATTTCATTATTTTACGTTACTCACCGTACTTGAGGTTCGACTTTAATGCACTTTTTGTAAACACTAATAAAAAACCAAATGGCACTACTTTTATGGTCGATCAATACATCTTTTTTTGCATACATTTCAACAACTCGTGCGTAAGGCAACAACTGCTGTATATTAAAAATTTGCACTAATTCATCAATAATTTTAAAACCCATGCTGACGCAGGGCACTATTGTTTTATCATGTAGTAGCTCTATAAATTTCATATTCTCAAGTTTCTTATATATGACGGATGGTTCGGATCCCGCCATCGTCTCCCAAATCATTTCAAAACACTTGACTTTGCACTCTCCATCTTTCAAATCAAGTGGATTGATGAACGTTAAGAAGTCTTTGTATCTGGCTAGCCATGGACAGACAGTATACATCAAATAAAACATGCTAACGCAGAAATCGGCACTGCCACACCTAAAATAACAAGTGTTTATTCATCTGAATTAATTTGAAATTATAATGTTAAACATTTCATCTTACCTCCTCATTTCACTAAACAAAGGCATCAGAACTTCCTTCGCTATTATCTCTTTCTGATCTTCTGCTACACAAGACATTATATAGCCTAAAATCTCGATAATCTGAGGTGACATGCGTTTTCTCCATTTGTATATTCTATTGATGACAATATTCTGCACATCTTCACGGTAACTAATTTCTTCACGTTGCACGTCTCCTTTGAGAAGCACGTAAATAATTCTTATCGCTAAAATTTCATCAGACTGCATTATGATAGAAAGGTTTGCAGGCACTTGTAACTTTGAGCCCCAGATCATCGTTAGATTATCGATTATCTCGAAGTTGTATTCGCAGACTGGTACAGAAGAATCTTGGGCTTGTTGTACCAGAGCTTCTATGAGCTTTTGTCCAGCTTCGATTTCAGATTCATTCCTTAAATTACAACCAGCATCCAGAATCATCAGCAGAATGTCTCTGACGAGATAGTTAATCTTGTTTTTACGAAGGTAAAAGCAAATGGCTTTGGCAACAGATTCGAAAAACAAATGCATGCAGGGCATAAAGGCACGTCTGGCATTGATCATTACTCTCAGTAGGTACAGTACAACGTTCATCTTGTCGGTATCGAAAGCGGCGTGAAAGTCTACCATCCACTCGGGAAAAGTATCTTTTTCAGGCTTATGATCGTTCATATACAAAAAAATTCCAACGATCATTCCCATACATTCATGATCGTTGAGATCGTCTTGTTCGAGGTTGACTCTCATTCTGACGCCAGGTTTACGCATCACATTGATGAGCTTATCTGCTATTAATGAGGGAAGAAGCTCATATTTCCTCTCGCAGTCAATAATTTTCTCCCAAACCAGATGGTTCTTGAATCTCACTTCCTTGAATATCGAGTTCTGAAAGGTCTTCTCGACTTGTAAGCTTACCATAGCTATGTAAGAATTCAGTGCTGAACAATGTAACAGCCTTGTAAGCTCCTTCTCCTCGTCGAATTTTGCAGTGAAATTACGTGTCTCATGTGAACATCTCAATAGAAAAATATTAAGATAATTTTGGGGGTAATCTATGTGAAAACCAAGAATGATTTTGAACGGTATCTTAGCGTACATAATTTCGAACAATCGGTAAGAGGCTATTTTATTAACTAAGCTGTGTTTTCGTTTAGAAATGTCCGATTCATTCATTTCTTCGAGTATGAAGTCGTGCAAGTTTCGAAAGTAGCGTTCGTAAAAACTATTCAGTTCTACATGAGTGCGACAACTTTCAATGGACGGAAGGAGGAAATAATTGAGAACGTCGAGTCTTTCTTCCACGCATAAATTTGTGTCTCTGAAAATTGCGTAGATTAATTCTATTTTACTTGCCGCATTTCCATTTAACATCCCATGAAAATAATTTTCCATGTACTCGACCAAGTTGACGTCTTTGAAAAATGTTTCGCAAGCTCCGCAAGTCAGTAGAACTATACCTTCCCAAAGTATCCAAGACTTCATAGTGGCGACTTTATGGATAAAAGTATTGAGTTGTTGCGGTGCTTGTAATCTTTCTTGTTTGAGTTTTTTAAATAAAGTAACTACTTGAGACTTGGAAGCTGTTGAATCGTCGACAAAACATCTGATGAATCCATCAACTATCTCAATTCTCTTAGCTGCACTGCTACTTTCATTAAATTCTTTCAAAATGTATGGAATCAAAGGATTAGGCAAATTTTCTTTAGACATCGATGGATCGCTACTTAAGAATACTGCCTGTCGAAAGATTTTGAAAAATCGGTCGTGATATTGTATGTCGAAAATGAGATCTTTGTAATCGCTGCAAGTTTTTACTATACCATCAGCAAAAATTTTCGAATTATCATTTACATTGATTGCAGCATACTTAAGGAGAGACTCTAAAAATAACAGTAACAGTTCTGGTGATGATATAAGGTTTTTGTTGAGTATAACGAGGGTTTCTATGGGATTTATCAAGAAAAACTCAAGTATTGGCTGTTCGAAAGTATCAAAAAATATGCTGGCTGCTGTGCTATTACTAGAACATTCATTACTGATGAGAGTGATCATGAATTCTGCTAGCTCTGGCTAGAAATATAGTTGAATCATAAAATCAGTTTTATCTGTCATAGTGTATACAGCTTACCTTATAGAATAATAAGTGGAAGTTTAAAACACATTTTAGATACTGAATCACATTTATGCCAATGCCTGCATTTAAATTATTACCGATTGTGAACAAATTTAAAGTTACAAATATATTTGTGATCTTTTCCTTTGTATAAGCAAATGTGAATTTAAGCTGTAAGCATTAACATTCATTAATTGATGATAGAAAAGTTACATTTCAATTGATATTTAAATGTATACCCTTTTTTCAAAGTTTATAAATCCACAACTTTTTAGCCTAATAATGCCATTCAAGAAATATTTCAGACTAAGAAAATCATGTTTTGCTGACATCAGTTGTTGTAAGTCTGAGAAATTTTGAAGTTCTTCTTGCATATCAATAAAAAAATTCTTTTTGAATTTAGATAAGTATGGAGGTGGTAAGTTATGAACTGCAATAGCCAAAAACTTTTCTAGCATTTGATGTTCAACAGCATTTAAATTCTGCTCTGAAAACCCAAGTTTTTGTGGGCACAGAGTAAAGCGAGATACTAAAAGGCACAAATCGTCATTCCATATGTTCTTTATGATATTCTTTACTTGTCTCTGTATAAAAATAAGTTGGAATATTAAAACCATGATGTTATTGTTATTATCACTTCAAGGCCTAAGTTTATTTGAACTCTGCAGAGGTACACAAGGTATCTGTACATATTAGCCTTGCCTACTGTTTAGATTTTATATCATATGAAGCAAAGTAATGAAGTGTATAAACTTACCACTGATATGGAATTAATGAAAGCAAATATCTTCAACACAACTTTATTCATTAGTTCTAAGATTTTTTTTTGTTCTTCTGTATTTGCTGTTGTGAGTTTTACAGTATCCTCAACGTTTTTATTTAGAAGTATAGAAATAAAATTTTTTAATATATTCAAAAGATTTATCTTTTCCTTCTCATTCTTGTCTGCTGTAAAAACATCTTCTGGTGTCGTCATTTCTCTGTCAAAAACCCAAATGTAGAAGTCCAAAGTTCTTGCCAAAGTTTTCAAATTTTCCATATCAATGTTTTCAAAATCTTTTAAACCTTTTAAACCTATCTTTTTTAAATTTTCAATACCATACTTATCTACAAACATTTTTGTCGATTTTATATTGCTAACATGTACACAAAGATCTTCAAAAAGCTTAATGCAGTTACTTCTTAATAATTTACTAGGACTATTACATCGTTCAAAAAGCCATATTACTGCACTTTGTAATGTCTCATTTGCAAATTCTGAAGGTTTTCTTCTAGAAGGAAATTTAGCATTAAAAATATTTCTTGTTGAGCAGATAGTATCTTTAATGTGATTTAACGCAATTTCTACTTGAATTTCATCACATTTATCTAAATTTATTAAAAAACTATGAAGGAATTCTAGCCAATACTTGTTTGGCATAATCATATGTAAATTTGGATTCATACACAGGTCGAATAAATGATTGAATATAAAAGCTGCTGTTAGAGGTTCATTGTAAGATGGATATGTTGCTAAATTTATGATTTTGTGAACTGTATAGTGATAAATTGGAGAAGTTTGTTGATCTTTTCTTTTTATCAGATCTAATATACTTTGCAGATATTCTTTGATGCATATACTAATATAATCTTTAATAACAAAGTTGCTTTCACAGTTTAAACATTGTAACAAAATTTCTAAAAATTTCATGGATATATGAACATGAAACACTGACTTCAAACTGAGATAATGCAGTATTTGTATTATAAACTGTTGCAATAACTTTGTAAAAATATTATTGGTCTCACAGCCAAGACTGAACATCACAGAGTACAAATACTTATTTAAGCATAATTCAATTGATTTTTTCCCTAAACTAAGAGTCACTAATGTATGTAACAATTCAGTTACTGAGCATTTTGATCTTTTATTATCAGTTGCTATTATTCTAGGAAATAATTCAATGATATTTAATTGCAACTGAGCACTATCTGGTAACATTAACTCATACAATATCACATTTGAACTGGGCCATAACATTTCTTTGTGAACTGTGAATAATTGTTTAATTTATTTCATTAATCAGATACACTATAACTGATAATATTATGTGTTATTTCTACTTACAAGATGAAAAGTAATACTGTATTTGAAAATTTACATCTCGATTATTTGTTAGAATGAATGGCACAATTTTGCTATTTACAATAGAGTAATCTATTTCCACTTCCGTTTCTGAAAGAGAATTAAGAATTCAAGTTGAAAATATAATTATTCATGATTATTCAATCACAAATCCATATTTGCTCTTTAAATGAGCATGTTATTGTAGTTTATAACCTCAAAACAATTTTTAGCGGTTGATTATTTTTCAATTAATTGTAATAAAACCAGATTGAAAAATTGAGTTAAATATTTTATTTTACCTTTTTCATTTTGATGTTCTCTTTCACAATTATGTGAATTGTCTCTATTGATATTATTACTATCTGTCAACCTCAAGACTCTTGTAGTCTTTTCCATTTTTACTTTAGAATGGTTGATTACATTTAGATCTCAGAAAGGTGATCATATTAGAGAACTTATGTCAACAATAGTCACAGAAAAAATATTGAATGTTAAAAAGAAACTGCTTCGGGGATAACAAGAAAGCCGGTTAATCAATACATACACTGATACACGTAAAATGAGCATCAAGCATACACGAATTCTTTTAAGTCACAACTTGTATCGCAATGCGCGCGCTGGGATTTCGCAAACAACGTGGCCACATATAGCCTAACACAAAAACTTTATCCGATAAATTTGAAATTGAAACCAGTGCTGATTGGAACATTGAATTGTGAATTTATTTCAATTTGTCGCCGGGTAGCATTTATATTTTGTTCATTTGATCCTGTGCACACACATAAAATCTTTCAAAACAATTTTTCAACATTTTATTATAGTCAGTTCAATTATAACATTTTAAAATATATAATAAATTTAACTAGCATATAAAAAGAATTATGATCCGATATAAAAAGAGAATATTAATTGAAAATTAAAAGTGAAATTAAATAATGTGAAATTGCCCCATCAATAACTTATAAATTCAATGGAAAAATAAAAACCACTTAATTATAGGTTAAAACTAAGTTTCAGCTGTAGGAAAATTCATTAAGATTAGATTTATGAAATATTTGAAGAATTTTATTCGCTGACAATAACTGGTACAATGCATTGATGAATCGCAGGTGTAAATTATGGCGGTTTCTCAAAGTTATTCTTAGTATTCTCATAGTTTCTACTATTATAAAAATGTCGAATGTAAACAAAAACGTAACGAATGTACGTAGGAAAGCTCTATAATATTCTTAGTTGGATACAAACGCTTCTCTCTCATTTTCTTTTTCTTTAAGTTACCAATATCAAGAACTGTACATACACGTTTTTATTTAAATCTTATGCATATATTCAACCAACGAAAAATAATTGCAAAAACAGTTACATGCTATGATTAAATTCATCCATCCCGATAGCAAAAATTCTTCGACACCTCGGAACTTATAGGATAGGACGACAGAGAATTTTCACAAGCTTTATCTCTATCGTTCACGTATAAACAATTTTAAAATGAATAGAATAATATAGTTATCGCGCAGGCTCACGGGAAAAGTAAAATAAAATACAAAAGTTTAAATAAATGAAAAATACTGACTCGCTGGCCTTTTTTCTAAATAAAAATAATGGAAAAAAATGGTTCACTTGCTTATATATATCACTCTGGATGGAAAATTTAATAATAATCACTCCAAGAAAACGAATTAGTACTAGTCAGTTTTTTTGGTCAAGGCTCAAATTTATTTATTTATTTTTTGTTAAAAGTTAAAGTTAATTACATTTTTATAGGATCCAAGAATTTATCTACATCAGTCAAAGTTTCTTTTTATGCATTAATCACTCATATTAGTCTTAACTATATGTTTGATTATTGCACCGACAATGTTACTACATTGTTTATAATTTGTAAGATATAACAATTACAGTAACGAACTAAAAAAAACTTTGCGCTTATCAAAAATATTAATAAAAGGTCAAAATGTATATAACATCGGATCTTATAAAACAAGCAATTCACTTTCTTCAAAATAATTATCCCAATGTCAATAAAAATCTTCATTAAGACGAGCCAAGAGATGATCTGTTGATGCAACTTTGCTCAAAAATTCAAACCTACTTTCTTACATATATAGAAACTCATATACGATCATAGCTGCATCAACACGACGAAGGAAAAAAACTGAAGTATATAAACATCGATAAAAATCTTGTTGGCCATCGCAAGGATTGATTATCAACAATTTCACTAAATATACAGTCGTTCAATTTCTCTCGACGATTAGTGTGCAAAATATTTTCGCACGGACAGAGTTTGTCTACAACCAAACAGAAAAAAAGAAGAGAAATTCTTTTCTTATTATTTTTTATATAAAACATCCAATGTACAAGTCAAAACCTCCCAGACGGGTATAATTTGCGCATTAGCCCTGCTTCGAAAGTAGTGCGCGTATATCAACATCATCATTATTATCGCGGAGAGACAAAGACGGCTATCTATATCATATATAAATACGTGTATAGAGCGACGAAAGAAAAAAAAATAACATCGGAGGGCTGTAATCACTGTCAAATTGTTATTACATCATAAACTATACATAAATCACAGGATCACTGTGTCCTTGGCTCGATTGCATTAGCGAGCTCAATTTCCTCGGTTGGAGGTGTACCAACGTTCTCGAAGTAACTCCTGAGCATCGTGGTGATCTCCTCGAGGCTGAGCGAATCGCAGGTGGCACTTAGCCTCTCAGCAAGACTACCGATGTCATCGCGATAAGTCACCAAATCCTCGTCGGTAATAGCTAACACAACCTCTTCTTGGCCGTTGTCCTGGCGCAACTTGAACACCGCGGAAGTGGCATAAGTCTCCGCTGTGACTGGCGTCGTAGGAATGAGAATGCCACCGTTGGAGGTAGTTATACTGGGCGTTGTCGGAAGAGCGACAGTGCAAGTGGCGGTGGCCATAGAAACAGTAGTAGTGACGACTTCCTCTTCCTCTTCGAGCTCCGGAATTGGAGCTCCAGCGTCGAGAATCTTTGGCTGTTCGCAACTGCTCTCATAATTGGGCGACAGATAAAAATTTTCCAGCAGGTTATCTTCTGAGTCCTCCACTACCATGTCATTGCCAATCACAACCTCAATCATGTTTCCCGAACCAGGTAATTGATCTTCACTCAGCACAACTGGCTCGAGGAAAGGTTCAGAAACAACCTCCTCGGTACCGGTCTTGTTATTGTTGATCCTTGCCACTGGCAATTCACCCTCGGGAACAACATTACTTTCTTCCTCGAGCATATCCAGTCGCAAACTGACTTCTTGGTAGAGTACGTGCGACGGATGAACGCGATCAAGCTTGAGGTTGTGTACAATGGCGCTTACCAAACGCTGTATAGCCCAAACGTAGCTGGCGATGGAATTGTGTACGGCGACCTTGTGCTGACCAGCGACATTGCCACCGGAGAAACTCGCGTCGCATAATATGCAGGTGGAATCGTGCATCCATTGATAATGATGCCGACACGACTCGCGAGTAGCGAATTGTTCAGGGCAGATTGGACAACGCATTATTGCGTTGTTACATTTGCCCTCGAAATCATGATAGATCATTAGCGACTGCAACCTCTTCTTACCGAGTGTCTTTAGTAATTCAGATACATCGTCTTGAGATTTCTCAGAGCCAACGTTGCCGTTCTTGCGACTCGACTTGATGTGATAATCGAGCATGTGTCGCACCTCACTGATTTCGACGAGGAGTTTACCGCAGAATTGGCAGATGAAAGCCATGACACCATGCTCTCGTTTCAGATGATTCTTTAGGCTAACTTTCTCTGCAGAAAATTCGCAATGAGGGCATTTGCACTTTTCCTCCTCCTTGTTGTCGGAGGAGTCGCGACGGCTTGTTGATGAATTGGTCGTATCGTTAGCTTCGCTGTCTTTGCTCATATCGCTGACGCTCTGATTGCTACACTCCATGCTCTCGTCCTCGATACGCGAGTTGGACAGTGAGTCGTCATGGTGCATCTTTTTGTGTTTCTCCAGCATTCGCGACGAGTAAAAGATTTTCGAGCAAATGTCGCACTTGAGCGACTCACTTGGCTTGTTACTGTGTTCATCGTTTTTGTGACGATTAAGCTCGATCGACGTCGGGAAGCTGTCGCCGCAGCGGTCACACTCGTACGTATATCTCACTTGTGGTTGCTGTTGTCGTTCCAGCTCGCCGTTCGTCGATGGTTTTATGTTGAGGTTGTAGCCATTTTTTACTGTGTTGCGATGTCGTCTCGTTGAATCACAGCGTTCGCATAGCTGGGGTGCGGGCAAGTCGGTTGATTGCTGATTGTTCCGCTTCGATAAATTAGCTAGAAAGCATAATGCAAATTAGTAGTTTGATTTAAAATTGAAATAAAGTACGTTATATTATTTGTATCCAATGATTATTATGATATTCGAATTATTAAAAATAATTGATTATGTAAATAGAAAAATAACACTTAAAACAGTTTATGAAGAGATATTCTTTTTTCATAAAAAATAAGTTCAATAAAATAAATAAAATATTATACTGAACACGTACACTTGTTTGAATATCATAAACGCCATCAGAAAGATAAAATGTATTTTGAAAATAATTGTTACCTGAGTTAGCAGTCGATTTAAAGTTAGCCTTGCACTTGAAGCACTGCAACAGATCCTTGTCGCCGTAAGAATCGTCGTTCCAGTTCTCCTGCTCGTCATTGACCATCGTGAGTTTCTTGAGAGAAACACCATCATCATCAGTGTATTTGCCAAGGGCACTCGCAAGCTCTTCGATTTTGGCAGCGTCAGATCCACCGTTATTGACAAGTCGTAAAAGCTCAACGGCCATATTCTTCGAAGCTTCGTCAGCTTTGCAAGGTATGATATGTTCAAAAATGATGTGATCGTTCAAGCTCTTACGATAAGCAAACTTCTTCTGGCATTTAGGACAAGGTGTTTTTTTCATCCTTTTCTTAGTGGTAACTGAAGTAGCTGACGAGTCTAGTCTTGGTTTCTTCGGTGGTTGCATCGCTAGGTATTTCGACAACCTCTGAATGACAACACCATTTTTCCTTTTAAGACCATTTAATGGTGTAGAAGCTGATGGTACTGCTGGCGGTGGTGTTGTTTTTATAGGACCGAGCTCGTCGTTGGACGAATCTTCGAACTTGCTGTTATCGTGAGCTTTATCGGTGGGTAGTATGACGATATTGATAAGCTTATCAAGATCGCGAATCGTAGTTTCGGAGCAATGATGATTCTCCTGCATTTGCACCGCGCGGAAACTGGTGAGGCACTTGGTGCACGGGAATTTACACGACACTTCGTGCATCTTCATCAAATGCTCGACAACCTCGTCCTTCATCAAGAAAGTACTTTTACACAGCGTGCACGTGTACACCTCGTAAGCGGCAGCTTCGATCTTTTCCAGTCGTCTCATAAAGTTCGGACATCTCTTAAGCACTTGAGCTCTCTGCATCGGCGAGTCAGTGCTGCGGATACCGATTCTGCAAATACAGTCGCTCGGACAGTGCAACACTTCAGTCCTGGTTCCATTTTTGAAAGGTGGCGGTGGATAACATACCATACCAGTCGTGGAAAATTGTGACAATGGTGGTTTGTGCCGCATCAGACTAGCATGTTTAATCTTGACGTGCTCGTTGAGAGTGAATACATTCTCAAAGAGTTCATAACAGCTCCGACACTTGAGAGCGAAGGTGATGTATATCTCTGACTCCGACGATACGTCATGACTAGGAATTCTCAACGTATTGAAACCAGAATGTCTGCATTGTTTCTCGTTCTCGCACTTCAGATGCTCTTGTCTTAAATGGTATTCCAAATAGAATAATGACTGAAAGTCGTTCGAACAAAATGGACACTTTATTGCACATTTGTCTTCTTCAGTCATACCGACATTGGCCTCCAGTCTACCGATCAAATCCAACGCTTGAGTACATGTAGTGCAAAGGAATGATCTGTTATGCTGATCCTCGTTAACGAAAATTTTTGTGGGAGTAGTTGGTGTGTAAATAACAGATTTATTGGCAAGCTCAGAGTCGGGTACCGGTTGAAAATTGACGATCGTCGCAGTCGGTTGACTGTCTTTGTTCAATGCCGACTCGGCCGAGGTGAGAGCATCGGGTATAAAAATTATGCAAAATTGCTGTGGTGGCGGTTGCAAGTGTGGCGGTTGGGTTTGTAAAAGTGCCTTGTCGTCGGTAGGCTGCATAAGCATCAATAGTTTGGCGTCACTGTGCGTTGGCGGCTGGATTTTTGGTTCGATTGGTACCAATGGTGGTGGATCTCCATTGCTATTGCCTTCGAGCTTTCTCCGCAGATTCATTTTTACAATCTCTCGAATGGGTTCGGCAGGTGACTCATCAGCCTTGTCGATTTTGGTCAATTGCACTACAAGTTCTTTGGTGATACTGTGCTGATCGCACAATTCTTTTTCTACACGTGGTCTCTTCTCGTCTTGTATAAGAGAGTCGTCGCTGCTACTCGAGCGAATGCGCTTGCTTTTTGATGTCCGTAAATCATCATCGGAGCTTCCCTCGAGCGTGTCACCTTGAGAGTATCTTCGCGAACGGTTTCTCGACGGTGACCTCGATCCGGCAACAAAGGTGCTATCGTCTTGCGAGAATCTACGTTGATGAACGCTTTTCTTAGCCGTTTGTGAGCTTGGTGATTCGTCTCTGTCAGTCCATGTTCTCAAATAATCCGCGACAGTTAATTCCGATGTTCGGTTGTCCCTTGATTTAGGAATAACTGCTATTCCTTTATCAGGTGAAACTTTGCATGGACGACCCACGCGACTTTTTGGAACTTCCTTAATCACGGAACTTTCATCTGAGCTAACTGTTTGTGTACTCGCCACGACCGACTGCGGTTTCAATGGCTTTATGACGAACTGTGGTAGTTCACGTACTCTTGGCCGGCCACGTTTCCTCTTTGGCTGCGCGTCCTCGAACTCTTTTGGTCGCTCTTTGAAGAACTTGGGCAGCTCCTCGCTGAACATGCTGTCGTCTTGAGAATGTCGACGTTGCCTCAATTGCTCGGCTGTCATGTTACCAGGTAATCTGATTTCCTGCTTTTGACTTTGCGATAAAGCTGCTTCAAAGACAGACAGTTTTGCTGGTCGACCTCGCCTTTTTACAGAGCTGATTGGTGGTATAGATTCAGGTTGCGTCATGCTGTTCGTCACTGAAGTGATAACTAGAGGAGACACAGGAATGGGAGTTTGTGATGGCTGTGACATTTTCGGCTTTCTCTGTTGACGAAGTAAATTTGTGGTTGAAATGGTAGTAACTCCGACTTGCGATGCTTTCGACGTTAATGTTCGTACTTGCAAATTATTGTTATCGCTAATTGATGGTAATGAGAGTAGTGGTATCGATGGAATCGACGGCATTTTGTCAGCTTGCAAGAGATTGGCAAGTATACGTCCTTTCTTATTCATATGATCACTCACATTTTCAGTATCACTGACCGCTAACTGAGAGAACTGTGATGAGCTATCATCGTGCGGAAATCTCGGTGATCGTCCTGGTTTTCTCTTTACCGGGCTCGTGTTAGTTCCATCGTCCGAAATCAATTTCTTCGGTTTGCGTCCTCTTTTCTTGACAGCAATTGTTTCATCGCTGTCACTGATAGAAGATTGTGAGAGTGGCATGCCATCATCGTGTGAATACTTGCGAGGTGGCCGTCCTTGCCTTTTTACGTGTGTAGAGGCTACATCACCGTCGTGATTCAACTGAGGTAATACGGAGAAACTGTGTTCTTCGTCGGGTGAAAATTTGCGCGGAGGACGTCCCTGTCGCTTACCTAAACTAGGGATAGCTGGAACATCTTCAGCCTGACTCCTTTTTTGACTTTGTAAAAATACTGGAGTTGCCAAAACTCCGCTGTCATACGATAGACGACGAGGCAAATGCCCTGGTTTGTTCGCGTCGTTCTTATTTGACTGTACACCGCGATCAATAATATCAGATAAAATATTTTCGCCTTGTGACAGTTTACGTGGAAGTCGTCCTCTTCTCTTCTCCTGACTTTGCGACTTGTCTGACGTAGAAAGGCTATCGCTTTGAGGTTCTTCGGTATCGATTGCGTCAATCTCTTCTCGTGGATATTTTGGTGGACGTCCCCGGCGTCTTTTTTTCTTAATGGGACTCAATGATGTTACTGATCTGTCGTATAGAGGTTGGTCATTATCAAAAGTTGACTGATAAAGCGTGGCAGCGACTTGTTCGAGTAGTTTCGGCGTGATATTGTCATCTTCGGATGTTGGAGGATAATGCCGATGTTTCGTTACAGGACTTAGCTGCTTGACTGGGGAAAATCCCTGAATAGAGCCGATACTCACATTTCCTACAACTATATTTTGTGTTTTGTTGGCAATTGAATCTTTTGGCAGAACGATTTTGATCGATGAGAGATTTTTTGGAGGTCGTCCTCGTCTCTTCTTTGGTGATAACGTTGAAAGATCTTCCATGGAACTAGTACACACTGAACCCGGCTGTTGGATTTTTATGCGCGGCTTCCGACCCCGTTTTTTCGGGCCAACAGAATGTATACTCTGAACAGCTGATAAATCTTCCATAGAACTTGCAGCCAATGAATCCGAGTAAGCATTGTAGTCGCGAACTACACGTGGTTTTCGGCCGCGTTTTTTGGGAATCACGACAGTCGATAGATCTTCCATTGAACTTGCAGCTAAAGAGCTATTTTCACTTTCAAAAGTGCATTTTTCTTGACAAAGTAAATGGGACACATTCAATTGTTTCTTCGAAGCAGATTCTTCGAGAATAGACTGATTTTTGAAGGAATTAACAGCAAGCGATTCGGTCATATCTTCTTCAATAGTTGGCGCGGGCATAATTCCAACCATATCTTTTTGAGCGTTACGTGATTCAGCTATTGGTATATCCTCGGTCGAGCTGACAGTTTCATCCTCGGTTATCACTATTGGAGTCGTACTATTTAGCAATGAGTTGTTGCCTTGCGGAAGCTTTTTCAATGTTCGACCGCGTTTCTTCACAACAGGTGGTTCCATCATTCTTGAAGCCAGTCTAAATGAAGGCACTAATGGCATACCGTTGGTCTGCAAATGCTTTGTGCGTGGTCTACCTGGTTTTCTTTTTACCACAGGTTGATCAACTTTCGAAATGTCCTCGGTAGAGCTGACGGTTTCGTCTTCAGTTAACGATAACGACTCCTCCGAGATATTAATTGAGAATCGAACACGTTTTTTCTGAACAACTCGATCGACTGTAGAAATATCCTCTGTAGAACTGACAGTCTCGTCTTCCGTTTGTGCTTTCACTCTATTCTTCTCTACAAGTGACTCATTAACAGAACTTTCGTTAATAGCCTTGTCTTCAGTTACTAAATTTTTTTCAACTGTACAGGCATTATCTTGTGAAGGTGTGCGTGATCTTACTTTCTCTTCTGTGATTGACTGGACTGTAGAAGTATCATTGACAAATTCATCTTTGGTTATTGAACTTGTTTCTTCGATAATTTGATTTGCAAGCAGAACATTGCTATTTACAGAGTTTTTAAATGATCCTCCTTTAGCCATTTTTTCTTTAACAAGATCATCACTTATTGGAAATGCAATTTGATTTATCAAATGTTTCCATGGTTTGCGTCCTCTCTTTTTCTTCTCCTTTGGTTTATTCAAAAAAGTATTTGCATCCAGATTCTCTATTGTTGAATGCTCGTTCTTTGTAATTTGATCTTCGGATGAAGCTCGTTCATTGTCTAAATGCTTACTTGGCTGTTGTTTCTCTATAAAAGGTTCTTCAAGTATATTATGGGCAGATTCATCTTCCGTCATTAAATTTGTCTCACTAGTATCTTGTACTTTCTTGAGTGATTGGCGTCCTCGTTTTTTCTTGATGATTACTTCAGTCACACTTGTTCCATCAATAATTTCATTTTCAGTACCTTTCATTAGTGGATCTACAGAAAATGAATTATAATTTTGTGTAAGTGTAAATGATTGGCGACCTTTTTTTACACTCTCATCAATAAAAGTATTATTGACTGCTACATTTTCGACGACTAATTTGGCTTCATTAGTGGCAACATTTTCAGACGATGGAATATCATTGTCTTGCAAAGACTCGCTTAGTTCATCTTGATTTCTAACGATTTGTTTGTCAACAGACGTATCACAGACAACCTCATTTTCCATCTTTGAATTTAGTTTTTCAACAATTGTTTGATTTTTAAGCAGCGCACTTTTGACCAGTGGGTATTTGCGCGGTCTTCCTCTTTTCCTTTTCTCACCTTCCGGCACCGCGTTCAAGTATCTCCATGATTTATGTCCTCTATTTTTCTTTTCCTTCAATTCAGTCAGAGAAATATCACTCATGCTCTCATTTTCCGTCATTGAAATCTCTTTCTCTGTAACTTGATTTTCAGATAAAGCAGAGTTATCGTTTGAATGTTTAATCGACTGATTTTCCTGTGCCGCAAGAACTTCACCATCTTGTATTGCGATTATGTTTTTCAAATGTTTCCATGGTTTGCGTCCTCTCCGTTTTACCTTTTGTTTAATTGAGGAAGCAACACTTATATCTTCCCTCTCTGTTATTGAAGTCTCTTTCTTTTTGACTTGATTTCCAGATAAAGTACAGTCACTATTTGAATTCTTATTTGACTGATTTTCCTGTAATCCAAGAACTTCGCCATCCTGTAATGCGGTTATATTTTTTAGATGCCTCCATGGTTTGCGTCCTCTTCTTTCTACTTTTTGTTTAATTGAAGGAGCATCATTTATACTTTCATTTTCTGTCATTGAAGTCTCTCCCTCTGTAACTTGATTTTCAGATAAAGTACTGTCATTATTTAAATGCTTACTTGATTGTTTTTCATTTGTAACAGAAGCTTCACTGTCTTGCAATGTGATTTTATTTTTCAAGTGCTTCCATGGCTTGCGTCCTCTCTTTTTTACTTTTAGTTCAGTGAAAAAAGAATCATTGATATCTTCATTCTCCGTCATGGAATTGTCTTCCTCTGTAGATAAAATACTAATATCTTGTAAATTTTTTTTTGGTTTTTGCTCATTTCGTTTTACTTGTGTGATTTCTGAATTGTCATCTACAGATTTTGGATAGATTTCGTTAAAAAATCTTACTTTATTTATGATATTGTGTGACCTTCGTGTTCGTTGATAATTTGCGATTTGTTCGAAACTGTCATGGTAATCTTCATCTTCTGTTGTAGCATATGCATCCTCTGCTGTTTGATTTTTAGACAATTGCCTGCCCTCGTGTAAACGATTTTCTACTTTAAGGCGTTCTGAATATGGTTTGTCATCAGAATCTTCATCAACAGCTTCGTCTTCTGTCAAAGAAAAATCTTTGTCTATAAAAGTCGCAAGCATTACACGGTCATTCTGTAAAGGTACTTTGCAAGATTGCTCAATTCCTTTCTTTTTCATAGGACTGGTCTGCGTCATTAGGATTTCGACAGAATTTATTTGCGTGACAGGCTCAACCAACTCTTCTATAGAATCTACTACGTTGAATGCAACTCTTGCAACGGTAACATTTTCCTTTACTCTCGCCGTAACTTCCGTACCAATAATACTATCATTAAATGGCTTCTTTCGAAGTCGACCTACCTTTTTATTTTTCTTTTGAAGAGTTTGTTCTTTTGCAACTTCTTTTGCAAACTTAGTTAAAATTTCTGGCTGTGTTGGCATAGCATCGAGTAACTGAGTGCCACTGAGACACATTTGATTGGTGATGACAGTCTGATGTTCTTCGTTATTTTCCACTTCGTCGTCCTCGTTGATACGAATCGACTCGACGGGTTCAAACAACGGCTTTTCCATGAGCTTACCTGTATGTACATCAACGTTATTGACTATCGCAGTAGTTTTAGCAATAAGCTCAGCGTCTGTGAATATCGGGTACTTCTTTGGTCGGCCTTGCTTCTTCTTAATCGTCGTCTGGCCTATTTCCGTGCTCGCCGGCGACCATCCTGGCATACGATAACTGCCGCTATCGGGCTTAGCTGGAGAGCAACTTGGCACACGGCAACTGCTATTACCACTGCTGAGATCAGAGCTGGTTGGCGAGTAACCGGGTATCCGCGCGCTGTTGCCACCTTCAGGAGTACGAGGGATGATTTTAATTTCCTTGATTACATGACTATTAGTGGAGTTTTCTTTACGCATAATTATCTTGATCTCACCTTCGGTTACTTGTTCGGCAATTGCTTGCTCACTGCTCACCACCTCTTCTTGTTCTTTAGACTCGACCAAGTGAGTAACATGTTTGTTGGCATCGGTCTTAGTAATTTTCATAAGGATACGTTGACGCTTCGTATGATCCTGACTGATTTCATCATCTTCAGATTGCACAGATCTTTCTGCGTACGATGCATCTTCAAAAGAAGGTATCTCGAGGCTAGTTAGTCGTCTGAGTCGATCGGACAGACAAATATCGCTCTCTGAATCGGAGATATTTTCGAAGTAACCTTTATTTGTAATCACAGTTGGCTCGAGGTAACATTCTGGCGAAAGTACATTTGGAGATACTTTAGCGCTAATGTTGTCTGTATGATTCTCATTGAATATGTTAGCCGGTAGAGGCTGTTCGTGATCTATGCTGTTGCACGTCTTCTCGAGTTCTTCTACTTGACGCTTGTCAATATTCTCGGTGCACTTCTTTTTTAACTCCGATAATGTGTGTTTCCGCCGGTGTTTAACGAATTCCTCGTCAATTGATTCATTAACAAGCATGGAAGTTTCATTGAGCGTGGGTTCTTCAGTGGCCGGAGTCGACTCTAGAGTTTTCTCGGTTGAAGATTTTTCGACAGCACTGAAGAATTTGCTGCTCTCTTCAACTATTGTATGTTCAACGGTTAATGAAGGTTTAAGAGGTAACATTTTTTCATCCATGGATTTCTCGACAGGAACAGAAAGTCCTGAATTTTCTACATGTGTAGGTTCTTCAGCCGATACTAAAGGTCCAAGAGATTCTACGACTGAACTTTCTTCAATAATGGGTGAAGGTTCAGGGTTTTCCACGATCGGCGTTAAAGATTCGAGAGTTGTAGGTACTTCCTTAGGAACCTCGATATCGTTTACAAAATCCTCGACACCACTCTCAAACACGAACGTCTGCACTTCTTCAACTCTGTTGGTCGCAGATTGTGCAATTATTTTTGGTGAAACGATTTCGCCATTGAGAATGCTATCTATCACCAAGTTCTCAACGGATTTGAGGTTATTCTCGAAAGTACTTTCGTGCTCATTATTTTCAGTGCCTTTATCCTCTTGTGAAACATTTTCTACATCTACACTTGCAGTGCTATTCAGAGATCCGATGTCCTTTTCAGCGACTTGAGGTAGTTCTTTGAAAGCTTCGGTTTCTTTGCGTTCATTTTGAACGAGTTCATTGTTAACTTCTGGTTGATTATCAGTGTTTTCAGATAATTCCTCTTCGGTTTCAAATTCTTTATCCAAATTCCGTGATAGTTCTTCAGGAGTTTCCTCGATTAATGTGCAAGTGGAAGTTGTGCTTTCGGTATCTTCAATTGTTTCGATCAACGATTCATTATTCTCGCTTCTTATTTGTTCGTCGTTTGTTGATTCAGCATTTCCACAACTCATGAAATTAACATTTGGTAACACAGTGTCATTGTCATTCACTGAATTTTTAGCTGGTAGTTCGAATGTTTCACTGGCTATAACGTTCACGGATGATAATTCAGATATTACATTTTCTTCTATGTTTTTGACAGGGCATTCCGAGTCATCGCAATTTATTAACTTTTTAATTCGAAATTCAGAGCTTCGACTATCTTCTGAATTTTCAGCTAATTGTTGTGCACTTTCTGAATAGATCTTTATACTTTCAACTGTTTCTGGTCTTTCAAATAAAAATTTTGTATTTTCAGTTAAATTTTTAGAATGTATATCATAAATTTTCTGTACTGCATTGTTTTCAGCATTAGAGTCATCCAAAACAATGTTATCATGAGGAATTGCATTAACTTCCATTTGTAACGGTACTAATTCAGGTGCAGTAACAATATAACTATTGCCATTAGCAATTGAATCATCATTAATTGAATTTGATTCAATAATTTTGTTATTGACTTTATCTTGATTGAATTTTTTGGAAGAATTTTTATCATCATTGACCACTGCACTTTTATGAAAGCTTTTACTTTTGGAAAGAGAATGGCGACTGACCACTTCGTTAATTTTGGCTGACTCACAGGAAGTATCTTTGGAACTTTCATCCACATGTTCAATTTGATTCTCGTTTATTTGTACACTAGATACTTTATTGATTTTGGTATTGTCTCTGAGATCCTTATCACTGTCATCTTTATTGCTCTTACTTGTAATACTTTGTGACTCAACCTTTTTTTTCTCTCTCGAAGAGAGCCTTTGGCTTTTAACAACTCTTTTTGTAGTTTTCTCTTCCTTCTTGATCATGCGAGATCGCCCCCTATTCTTAATTTCAATCTTAACTGACTCCTCTGTGTTTTGTTGTATCTTTTCAACTTTATTCATAACATTATCCGCTGAGGGTTGCTTATCCAAATTATTTTGTATTTCAGTTTCATCTGCGACACCAGCATCGCTAGGAATTGCACAAGTTTTAATCTCCTTGGATGCCTTGGAAAAAACATCACTGTTTCGAGTTTTGCTTTCAGAATGATTTTTATTAATTTCAACAACCAATTCCTCATTTCTTTGTAACCTCTGCAAGCATTTCCCCTTCAAGAAATTCTCTACTTGTGACCTGTCAAGTGTGACTAATAATTGGCGTTCAATGATCTTTGGATCAATTTGATTAAGATAATCATTATTAACATTATGTACATTACACTCAACCGAACTGTACACAGGCTTCTGATCACTTTTAGCCTTATAACTTTTGTTTTCAGTTTGATCAATCTTAGCTGTATTACATCGCTTTTCAGTTTGATCAGAATTTTTAATGTATACAATTGATTTCTTTGACAGAGTTTTAATATTTTTCTCAATCACTACCTTTTTTATCTCAACCACTACCTCGTTTTTCTTATCAATCACAATTTCATTTTTTTTATCCTCAATCACTATTTCTTTTTTTTTATCCTCAGTCACTGTCTCCTTCTTCTTCTTCTCAATAATTACCGCCTTCTTCTCACCGATTGGTTCTAAAGTTTTGGCATCACTGCCGGCAAAGTTCTCGCTACTTCTATGCACGAGATGGCGAGTATTCTTCTTGCCAACAGGCACTAATTTTTCACTTAATAAAGTCTTAATACTTTCAATATTATCTGTCCTTTCGATGACCACCTTAATATCTGAAATTTGCTTAGTCTTTCTCTCATTGGATTTTTTCCCGTCTTCAAGCCTTGTAAGAAGTACCATAGGAACACGCTCGACGACTGCTATCTCTGCTTTCTCTTCATCTTTTCTGCGCTTCTTGCGTTTCACCGCTGACTTATCAACCACGTGTTGCTGACTCTGGTTGACATTGGTTGAGATCGCTGTTGCAGACCCGAGTGAAGACTCGGACATCCTCAATCCAATACCACCTGCTCGTTTCGCTGACATGTGATTGTTGTCGCTGTTATTATTGTTGTTGTTACTGCTGATGTTACTTAGCCCAGCCTTCGTGCTCATCGTCGATGTTGCAAGCTGTGAGTTTTGTTTCTCATGCCGTTGATCGTTATGCTCGATGACTTTTGCCGAGGAACTGCAAGGGATACGGAACGTATTGTTTTTTTTATTTACTAGAACATTAGCAAAATCGCAATTTTTGTTCATGAATCACAGTGTTTTAACAAATCCTATCAAGAATACGTTTCTAACTTTATAGAAAAATGTTAAAAGTTAAATTGCAATGTTAGTTGATTGTAGTAAGTGTAAGTAACTTTGATTGACTAAATGATTTTCTATGTGCTTTTTTGGAGTCATAGTGAATACTAATGGTATTTGTTGATATCATTGATTTAAAATTCTTACATATGAGATCTAAATATGATATTATGAATGTTTTTTTAGATTCATTAACCAGAAGTATAAAATCACTTATGTAATATCAAAGAATACATTCATTATTTTATCAATTGATATCTATAAAATATAATAGTGAAATATTAGGTCTGTATAATGGACTTATATATTTTAATAGTGAATCATTGATGTCAACTAATTGGAGTTTAATATTCTTTGATTTATACATTTATTGTACACCAAATCATGTTTACTAAATGCATAGTTATAAATTGGACATTCATCATTGTTCATCACAAGTGAATTATAATTACTGCTTGTTTATCAATATGGCATATTTAATAGTATAAATGCATTTATTGCCTTGATATGAGAATATATATCTATGGAATCCTATACCAACAATACACTAAATTAAAAATATATTTCTTAAATATCAATATCTCTATTCATTCATATATAATAAGAAACAGAAATATACCTTACCCTCAAGGGTTCTGCAATACTTTATCAAAGGATTCACATCTTTCAGGGTAGTTGAATCCAAATTTTCTGGCCATGAATAACAGGAGTACGGGCATCTGCAGGCAGATAAATCTAATTGTAGGTTAACCCTAAAGTAATATTTCTTAAAAAAGTGATCTAGGTATGGAAATGCAAAATATATGGTAAACAAAATTTAGATATGCTAAACAATTAATGTTTCTTTGGACAAGACTCCACTTTGCCTGTAATATATGAATGTGTCTTTTGTGTCAATAATCACTCTGCTTATGAATGAACTATGTGTATTTAAATGTTAAGTTCAATCTTGAGAAATGTTTTTTATACAGTTTATATATCTTTTGATGTACGCAGTGTAAGTTAAAATCTAAAACAAACATTAGCCATCAGATGCAAATTATTGATAATTAAATGTAATTAAGAAAATTAGTATTCAGAATAAGAAAGTTAAGAAAACAATTAAATGTCTTAATAACTTTCAGTAGCCAACTGTTGATGTTTTCTACAAACAACTATGTTGTCAATGATGCAATGGAAACCAGATTTGCCAGGAGTCAACCGATGAGAGTGAATCAGTAGTGCCAAGTGAATGAATCGGTTCAATTCTGATAGCGACAATGATATCTCAATGAGACAATCAACAAGATAGGAATGTACTCTGTAGAGTTGTCTCGTCTCAATTCAATAAAGTATATTTAAATATAGAAATAAACAAACAATTACAAACAAAGTAATGCATAAATACAGGATGCTCTCAACAAAAAATTTCATTGCATAATATACCTCTGGGAGATCTCTGAGAAATGATGCATTGCAGTTTTCATTGCGACAGTACAACCTGACAAAGTAATTGAACAAAACGTCATAATTCTGCATTATGAATAGATACAAGATTAATTAACTGAAATTGATTATAACAGAACTTAAATTAGAGGAAGAGTGATTGACCCTTTTAGGGTTACCATCATGTCACATAAACTTTACCTCCTTTTGATCGATACGAAGCAATTACACACATTTGTTAATATTGTGAGAAAAGATTGCTCATCGAGCAATTCTAGGCAGAGTTCATTTCGGTTTCTCTAGAGGCTATCACATTTATGGCGGTCTCATCTCGGCCCATCGCCACGATAGTTACTGTGCAATTGTCAGTCTGGAAAATCATCGGTTGGTTTTAGAAGTGAGTTCATTCACTTGGTCCAATATTCATCTTAGCTAAAGCGCAATTTCGACTCGTCGTTTGTCTAATAATACACACATCACTCTATAGGAATCAAACGCGACTAAAAAGCCATATAATCACAGCGGAGCTACGACGGCCGAGAGCAAAAACAAACACGCACTCACCACACATCATCGTGTATGTTCGGGGCGTGTATTAAATTGCGCTGTGTGTCCGAGTCATGCGCATGTAAAGCCCATCTTCATCGGCTTCGTTCAGTTCCGTTCTCTACCTTTTGGTCTCACCTGGAGATATACGTCGGAAGCTTTCTACACCCCTCTCGTGCGTGAGGCTGTCCATGTATACGGGCAAAGACGTATATGTGACACTTCCACACACATACACACAGACGCTGCTGCACGACAAACTATACAGCTATCGACAATCGGTGGCTCGAAGGATAAATAAAAATCTAACCTCGAATCAGCTGACAACGAGCAACTTTCTCTCACGCGCGGATGAAATAAAAAACGTCTTCTCTTTCCTCTTTCTGCGCTCACTGCATTTCAAGTTCGAAGCCTTCCACCACTCCCTACTTCGACAAACTTAAATATCTCATCGCAAAGAAAGCAAGCTATATCAAATGCGTATTTAATGAGAGAATGTCTATCAAAGTTGTAAAGAGAGAGAAATTTCTCTTGCCCCGTTCTCTGTATATATATGTATATACGTGCGTGTGTCGCGTATAGCGGCTTGTTAACATTTAAAAACCTAACCTCACTTCACTGCACTATTTACTACCCGTCGTTCGCTATACTCGCCCAAGTTCCCTTTCCTCTCCCCCGCTATTCGTTTTCTCTCTTTTTTTCCGGCACACAGAACATTCAATATTAAACTTAAAAATATTCACACTTTCTTAATACTTACTTATTCGTTAACTTGATTATCTCGTGGATGGGCTACGTTATATTCGGTAAATGTATCCGTAGGGTCGTATGTGGTGTGCTTTACTCGAGACTGCGGCGGCGGCAGCCCGACATGACGTAAGGATGCGAGGCTGCACAAGCGACTACTGCTCTCACTCTCTCAGTGCTCAAGTCGCCCAGTGGCGCACGCGTCGCGCGCCTAAATGCTATATGGACAACGGAGTGCGGACCAGAGCAAAAAAGCTACGCGCATGCACAAGACTCACACATACCTATGTGCATGTATATAGCGTTTGATTTTGGATAAGTGTATATACGTGTATTTGTGTGTGTTGGAAGGGCTAATTCGTAGATATATTTTTCGTTACTCGTAGATGTACCGTAAGCACTGCGTGCTTTTCGTTTAATTGGCACGGAAAATTTCCGGGGAGCGTACACCCATTAAATCGTGTTACTCCTTCCCATAATGCATTTCTTTTATCAGGTCAGCTCCATCTTCTTCGACTTGAGCCACACTCCTTCTGCTCGCACTCTAAGGCAGTTGACCTTGTCCGGTCCCTTGGCTCGCTGACATTTTTTCTCTATCTCGTTCGCACGCGGTGGTGACGCGTAATGACGATTAGTCAGTCAAACCATGCCTGCAGGAGAAAACCGGGTCTCGTTTGCTTCCACGCCGCTGGCCTGCTTGACCGTCGACATTTTTCCTCATGAAAACATGATACATCTGAGTCGTGTACATAGCTACTTTTATTTCTCGCTAGTCAAGTTTTTCAACTTCAAACTTTCGAGCTGCTCCCTTACTCATCTGTCTGTGCGTTGTCTCCTCTTGTTTACTTTTTTTCTCTCGCGGAAGCGTGTGCGTATGTATGTGTATTATCGACCTTGTAAAAAAGAAAAAAAAATAACGATGTGGGTCGACGGTTTCTGCACTCAAACATATGTACATGCATATACACCCGCTACTCCATGCTTGGTTTCCTCTCTCCGTCTGTCATTCTAAAAATAAGCTTTTACACTCGTGTAAATTTATTTTTGCATTTTATATCGCAGTTCTCGCGATGAATTTCCTAAATTCATACGACTATTTTATAATGATCGCTTAATCAATTGTCTTGAGTGCGAATTACAGTCATTGGTTGGAATTCGTCAAGCGTGAATAGAAAAAAAGAGAAATACATAAAAGTTCGATGTATACGGAGGAACACTCCGCTGGAGCTAATGTCTACCTGCGGGGGTTAGATACCTTTTCCGTTGTCATGTAGCAAATCCAAGGGGAGAACTACGTAGGCATATGCAAGAAGGGAGAGTGTACACACGTACACGTATGCATTAACGATGGAGGATGTTGACGACGACGACGACGACGACGAAAATTCAAGCAAGAGAAACGACGTCCCATTGCGATAAGATCGTTTTAATATCTCTCGCTCTCTCTCTTTCTCTCTCTCTCTCTCTCTCTCTCTCTTTCTCTCTCTCTCTCTCTCTCTCTCTCTCTTTCTCTCTCTCTCTCTTTCTCTCTCTCTCTTTCTCTCTCTCTCTCTCTCTTTCTCTCTCTCTCGCTCTCTTTCTCTCTCTATACAGTACTTTTGCTCATACTGTGAAATTGTGTTGTGTTATCGTCCCTCAAGATTTCGATATGTACTATACTTATATATCTACCGTAGACTTTTGACCATTAAGATAGAAGACCATTAAGAGAAAAAAGATTTCTGGCATATGTGTGCACTCGTCGCCGTTGTGTAACATCTCGAAGGATATGAGATATATATATATACACGTACGAGTATAATTTATGCTAATTACATAAGCGTGGTCGCGCTAAGAGCTAAAAAAGAAGGCAAGCTTGCGAGTCAAGAGTGGCAAGGATTGTATCAACGAGAGAGATAGTAAATGTTTGGTAAACATTGCAGTTACTCCGTGCGCGTAGCTTGATGATCGCATTGTTGTACATCGTTTACGCTCGTTCTCCATGGCAAATGTCCAAATACCATTACATAATAATTCCCCATTGAAAGACACGCGTCCGGGCTTCCAAAACGCTGATAGACAATGTATATCTTGTCTATATTCTATACAGCTCTCTCTCTCTCTCTCTCTCTCTCTCTCTCTCTCTCTCTCTCTCTCTCTCTCTCTCTCTCTCTCTCTCTCTCTCTTTTCCCCCGCCTGACTTGCATATATTAACACACACATGTCGATAAGCCGCGTCTCTTCTACATGCGCACGCATTGCCTGGGGAAATGTGTACATATACACGCGAGCAGCTCGCCGCAAGTCGGCACGGCTACGTCGGCGCCCGGTGGTCGGCGCGTGACGCGATTCGTAGGCTTTCGGCGCAGCGTCCACCATCTGACGGAAAATCTAGGAAACTCACGAGATTCGCCGCGTTGCTTTGACGGTATACTCGAAAAAAAAAATAATGGTTCTCACAAAGACGTTCATTTTCGCGAGCGCACCACGACGCCAGCCTGAATAACGTTATACTTGCTCGTTTATTTGTTTTTTAATTTTATATGTCGTCTTCCGCCGACGTACGATCGCGACAATAGATATATGTACGTTTTCTCGCGTAGTCATGACTTTTCAAACTTGACGCGGGAAAGGTGAATGCGTTGAACATACATTATCATGAAGTAATTTACCGTTTTTCTTTTTGTTTTGATTCTTTTTTTATTGTATTATTATTGTTGTTGGTGATGGTGTTATTGTTATTGTTTTTGTGTTGAAGTGATACGATGCCAATTGTTTCGATCTTCTTTTGTCTTTTTCTGTTTGAAGAGGAAATACTTTTGATTGAGTGAATTTGGATTTTGGAGCGGGTACTCATCGATTATCTTTTTTCTTAGCCTAATATTTGTTTGTTCTCATTATATAATATTTGTTTGTTATTAAAATACAAATATATTTTTTAAATGCATTTCATTTTAAAACTCATTTTAGCTTTTAGGCTGTACTTCTAAAATATTCGTAAAAACAATTGTCAGACATGCACTCACGCGCGAGCAGTAAATTAAACAAATAATAATGCTTGCAGATAAACTCGAAAATACACATTTATCGTACATTTGTCTGAATGTTGTTCGATTAAAGTTTTTGTTTCATTTTGTTGAGGGCTAAAACGGACACATCACCCATCTGCTTTTCAGGGATTACTATTGGAAACGAGAGAAAAGGGCCTTTCTCCGTATGGGAAAGGTCAGTTCAATAGTCAATATCGGACATGTACCACTTCATTGGCTGTATACGTATCGTGAAATTCTTAAAATATCGAAAATGTGAAATATTTTCTAATGTTTGGTCATTGAATGGAAAATAAACTTGATTTTGTTAAGTAATTATAACATGAATGTTATATCAAATATCAGAAGTAACGAAACTATAAAAATAATTACAGCGAGTTTGAAAGAAATTAATTTGAACGCTATACCATCATTGTACTCACAAAGCTTCTTTATAGAACGGAAGATCAAAAGATCACCAGAATACTCAATGTAACATAGCTTAGCGTCATCACTTTGTTATTATTTCTATAATAATGCAGTAGAAACTGGTTAGCGTTACAGTTCTATTTTGGAAGCTTTATAAACTTGATTGCCCTATGTAAGGTATAAAACATGGATTTATCACTGAAGAACTCGAGCAATTTTTATTGTGAATTAAAAAAAAAATGTTTGTAAGAAAAAGTGCTGATAAAGTACTAATAAATATTCGACAACAATGTTATAATACTTGCACAATGTTTACGGATATATGTAAACGCATCGAACTCAAATTCATATTGCAATGACGGCATCGCTTATGAAAATCAAAAGAATATGGAAAATCGTGAAGTAGTTATGTTCTAATTTTACTGACGTTTTCAAAAACTTAGGAAAATCTACGCGTCGTGGCTATGCAAATAACGCGAAAAATAATAGTTCGACATCTTACTTTCTCCATTCGGATTTAGAATGTTAAATTTGATAGCCACCATAGCAAATCGATGACACTTGCTAGGGTCGGTTCAACTCTTTTCCTCGCAAGCATCTTACTGCGCGAGAAAAATAGAGCGAAATCCTCATTTCACTCACTCCATTCAAAATCTTAATGTCAATTGCACCTATATGCTACTGAAATGATGAAAACATCGAGCGAGATGACTCAGCTCGATCGAAGCGAGAGATCCGGTAGAGTGCATTTCCGTAATTCGCCGCTCGCGTAGCGACTTAAATGTGCGACACTGGAAGCCTTCAACGCGTATTTGCCTCTTTATCTTTGGGCTTGAATTCGTGATTATTCTAATGAGGCCAGCTACTTGTCCTGGCAGCGGCGGCTCGCCAATTGTTGCTGCTCGATCAGCGGACACAGTGCTACACGTTTGTTTTCTGCTAAAAGATTCGAAATTTCGAATATGATTATCGTAAGCAGCTCGGCGATCAGATAATAAGCCGATGCTTGTACGAAAATAGCATATACGGCAACCTACGCACATCAGTTTTAATTATATATGCACATGCAGAATCGTGTATTTACATTCACGGCAACAAGAGCTTCACTCAGTATTTTCCAGAATACTACGAGTTAATTATCAAGCAAATAGCAGCAAGAACACGATGCCGTGGAAATTGCCCCTACGGGACACAGAGCGAAAATTACCGGTGCGATTTGGGACTTCAGTACTTGTCTTCTCACGGTGTGCCTCCTTAAGTAGATACTTCAAACTGCATCCAAAGACACTTCGAGTCGAGCTACATACAAGCGCACTCGCCACTGCTTTTATCGCTTTTCGAGAATAACAAAAGTCTGCGCAAATGCGAGAGTGAAACAATTAAAAAATTCGCACACGTGCGACAATTGCGCAAAACATAATCGAAAGTATTTCCTCCAGCGAGCTCGATAATACACAATCGGTCTCGCGTTTTTCTGGCTAGTCAATGCTCTATGCTTGAACAGTTTCTTTTTTTTTCTTTTTCTTTTGGTTGGAGGAGGGGGGGGGGGGGGGCATGCACACGTTTTATACCCGATGACGAGGAAAAAAGACGCACGACGAAAATAGAAAGTAGCTTTCGTAGTAATTGCGCATTACGATTGCAACTCTGCTGACAGAGCAAGACTGAAAATTTGGCGAGATATTTTGTGTTTGATGACATTG